CTGCCGCTATAGACGAAGAGAAGAGAGCTCAGGATTGATACAGAAAGGCTCGTAATAAATCGTTCGTACGGTTTAAGAAGGCTTAGATCAAGCAGTCTAGCGAGTTTAGCGAGCTGAGTAGGGACCGTTAAGCTGCCCTAGTTAAGGAATAGAGATCGATATATACAGCAGAATATAACCGGAAAGCGTAAGTTTCGTAGTCGGCGTCTATAGTCGGTATCTGCGGTCGGTATTCCTACTTCCTATTAAAGGCTAACTTCTCTAGTACTAAGAAGCAAGTAGAGACTGATCTAGCTCTCTTACCCGACGAACAGGCCGAAATCGATAAAGCTAACTAGTTCCTTGAGCTTGGAGATAGTAAAAGCAAATCAAAGATAATATTTCAAAAGGAGGATCAGGTTAAGTAGGAATAGGATACCCTTACCCTTAGTAAACGATACGATAAAGCACTTAGGGGCCTTAGTAACGAATGCCTTCCTTAAGAAACGATTCTCAATCCTTTATTATTAAAAGAGATTGACAAGGAGATAGCGAACTCTATTAGAACTTTTGCCTTTCAGGCAGCCTCTTCTACTTTTGCGACTACTTATAACCAATAGTATCGCTCGATCCGGAAGTTCTAGAACAAACTTGTTGCTCTGGAGAGTCTGGTTCTCCCTAACGAGGCAGCTATAAAGCAGATTTCACAAATTGTCGACAGCGAGACTAAAAAGGTAAGCTTATCTACTGACTATACCTACCGACCATTTTCTAATAATCCTAGATCTGCGTTAGAGAAGTACGACTCCTACTGCTATACGAGATTTTCAGCCTAATCGAGCGCGCAGTCTGCCGTAGTATCCTTGCCTAGGATATCGCAGCCTAAAGGGCTTATTCAAGTGGTCTTCCTAGACCCTCCTAGCTAATACTAGAAAATTATAACTACTCCGCTAATAGTTTCCTTCTATTAGTAAGCTTGAAAGGGGAGAAGCACCTCGCGAAGATAGCATACAAGCTCTATAAGAGGGAGAATACTCTAAGCCGCGAACAGACTCTCTAGCCTAAGATAATAGCTGCCCTTATCGAGTGCAATGTCAAAGAGTATAATAGGATTACTCTAGAGGCCTTTCTACTCCTACTACTGCGAGAAGATGAACTATGCCTAGCATCTTCGGGAATCGAGAAGGTACTTACGAAGGACTCTATATTCGCAACTTTGTTAGAGGGTTCGAGATTTTAGACTCGGAGGACTAGGAGCCTCGCCTGTTTCAAGAAGACGAAGAGGGATAGAAGAAAGGGTAGGAGGGTTGGTAGTAAGAATCAGACTATCTAATAGGTTAGCTCGCAGCCGGAAGTAGGCCTACGAATTCTATTCGCTCAACCCCTGTAGGGTAGCGTACTAGGATTCTGAAATTCCTACTTTCCCTCCTTTCAATTCCTACGTTCCCTCTCCTCTATCCTCTCGTAACGGATTCACGACGTCGGAGTCTGAAATACTATGTTTTCGTCTTCCTTTGCTTCCTCTCTAGGAGTCGGAAGCTCCCGATTCGAATCCTCCTCGTAGCTAGGAAGCTCTTCTACTACCTCTATACGATCGAGCGCTCGCTTACGCCAACGATATAGTTCCGCGACGAACCTCCTACCGAGCCTAACACTAGGGGACCGCCGACGTAGAACAGAGGTTCGTAAGCGTCGTACAAGACAGCCGACTATAGTGGAAGAAGATCTAGATTCCTCTCTAGTACTCCCTGTTAAGCCGGACTATATCGGGGAGTAGGATATTAAGGCCAACTACTGGCTATAGAGGTTCAAGTATAAGGAGAACTTTGAGAAGTAGTACGAGGTACGCTAGTAGAACTATACTAGGAAGCGGCTTAAAAAGCGGAACGGTCGTACTATATTTGATCGGTCCCTAGTTACCTAGGGGAGTAAGTCTCGGATATCTTAGGTATAGGATTTCCTAGAGGAGGGAATGCTTTAAGAAGATGCGATACCCAAAGTCGTATATAGGTGCTATAACGCTATACTAAAACATCCTGTACTGAATACCGGTACAACGTCTGTCGAGAAGTATCTGGACTCCTCGAACTACTAGGAGAAACAAGATAAGCGAGGGTTTACGAAGGAGATATTTGCAACCGCAAAGCATCGACAAGTAAGTACTAACTACCGACGACCAGACCTACCGACTATACCTGCCGACTATGCCTACCGACCATGTCTGCCGACTACGTCTAAGTAACTATACTGAAACTTCATCTCTAGACTATAAGCAATCCGCGATGGACGAGGGACCTAGGCTATATACCGGACGATTTCCCGCGCTTATCCTTCGAGATGATTATCGACAATAGTCTGCTATTCCAGTTCTTTGAACGACCGTCAGTAAAACAGACTTATATAGCCCTACTCCCGGGACAGGTCGAGACAATTCAGTTCAAATCCGCCTCGATATACCGTAGGATACTCGGTACTAAGGTTCAAGAGTCTGCTGAATCCCTTAAGACCCGTCTTACTAGTAGATTCAAAATAGCTATTACGTATAATAGCTAGCAATCCAGAGGTATAAAAACCTTATTCCTTACTATCCGGGTCTACTAGATTAACGACTACTAGGTCTAGTACGAAGGGATGCTTAGCTTTCTATATATTACTGGCCGTTATACTAGTAATTACCTTGCGGAGATACTATTCGAAATCTTACAAGAGTTCGAGATTGAGTACCGATTAACTGCAATTACGTACGACAATACCTCGAACAATAAGACCCTATATAATACGATGTAAGACTACTTGCTTTACTCTTCCTACTTCCTTCTAATATTCTATAGTGTTTCAGCGATTGATACTTGTTAAGAGAGGTACGGTATAACGGCTAGGAGGCTAGCAACGAGCTTAGAGGAAGGTACGGAGAGCAGTCCCGACTCGGAGATAGGAGAGGATAAGGAGGAGGCAATCGCGGAGCATAATCGAGCTAGCCGTCCCGAGCGATTTCCCTACTTTGTACATACTACCTAGCTTCCCTTAAAGGCCTTTTTCGACCGCCTAGGGCTCTGTCCGACTAACGACCTTTCCGAATACTAGAATTACGAGAAAGATCGGTAGATATTATAGAGGAGGAGAAAACAGAGTAAGCAGATCAGCCGCCCTTAAGCTAATAGTATACCTTACCTCCTTCTAAAGGTAAGATCAGTCTCTGCGGCCTATCGCCTGTTAACCTTCCTATTTTCAAAGTGTAGTCGGCTCTCGTAGTCGGCAATTATAGTCGGCACTCGAGATTCCCTTCGCTGATTTCGATCCCTAGATCCGGAAACTTTGCGTCTTTATTAACTCGAGCTCTTAAAGGTTCGAGCAGTTTATCGACCTGCAGAAAGAGATGCTTTAAAAGAAGGAGCCATTTGCAAAGCACCGTCGGTAGAATAGCGTTCAAGATCGGATCCTAAGGGTCGTTCAAGACGTAAAGACAAGGTAGTCCTTAACAACGTTAATGCTCGATCGCTTTAGCAGACTATAAAGAGTTATCGAATCTTATATCGATCGACTCGACCTAAGTGAAGATATAGGTATCGATTCCGAAGAGTAGTAAAGGGTTGAGTACCTTATCGACCTTACGAAACCATTCGCAGCGGCGACAGCAACGATCGGAACAACGAAAGGTCCGACTATCTACCTTGTCCTTGTATACTACAACCAGCTTTTCGATATTCTAGAGGAGGCGATGAAGCGACTCAAGAATAAGAGGATACCTTAGAAGAAGGATATATATCAGGCATACGAGGCTGCTTAGGCTAAGCTTAAGAAATATTATCGAGATACCTAGGATCGATTTGGCGATTACTACGGCATTAGTGTCCTCCTTACCCTCTGCCTTAAGCGGAAGTTCTAGGTACGCGATGACTTCGGGGATAAAAGCTACCGCGAGTATTACGAGGGTAAGCTAAGAACAGAGTAGGAGAAGAGCTATCGTCTATTATCGAGCACTTCTACCTACGAGTTACGTAGTAGAAGTGGTCGGCATAAGGGCCAGATCGACTTTACTCTTAGTAGGAGTATAGAGTCTTCTCAAACTCAACGACGTAGCACTCGTAAGGGTGACGAGCTTGCCGACTATCTGGACGCTAATATAGATAAAGGGGATCCATTCGAGGTACTGAAGATATAGTCTTCGCTTAAGCCTAAGTACCCTACTCTCGCACTAATAGCGCGGGATATTCTCTGTATTCCTACGGCCGGAGTTAGGTATAAGCGCGATTTCAGTATCGCTCGACACTAAAGTCGTTTCAATCGCTAATACTCCGTATTAACATTCTCTGAACTAATAGTATCCCGTTTCCGCTACTGCGACGATAAGTACGATACTAGAGTTCTTATCGCCTACGAGGCTACAGAGGCTGCTCAAGCGCTTCTTAGTACTCTAACTTCATAGGAGATCCTAAGTGAAGACCGAGAGTAGACAAAAGATCTTATAGAACGGATCAGTGACTTAGATACAATCAGCGATAATAAGGGAGATAGGGTAGAGGAGCCAAGGCGATCGGTACGCCTAAGCTTTAAGCTTGCGTAAGAGTGCCTCCGGGATGCTACGAGACGATTATAGCGAGCTTGGTTTAAGCTTGTATAAAGTTTACCTGCCGACTATATTTGCCGACTATAGTACTTAAGTTTCAAAATATCACAAGCTGTAATCTAGCGTATATATTCTTCTATATTTATTCATTCGATCTGACTACTCTCTTTCTCCTCTTATCTATATCGGGCTTATATACAGTTTCTTTTCTAATACCTAGTTCAAATAACTTGCTCTTAGGGCACTCGGTTTCTAGGCTTTTTCTTTCTGTTTACGAAAAATCAATACCTAATAGGTACGCAATACCCACTAGGTATCGTAATACCTACTAGGTTTGTACCCAACCCGATAGGTTGGGTTTACCTAGCTAAATACCTATACCTATTGGGTATTGCCAATACCCAACCTACCCTACATACCTACTAGGGTAGGTTGTACCTATGATAAGGCCTATAAACAGCGTCCCTCGATCCGTTACTATCGATACTAGGATACTATATAAGCGGAATACGTCTTGTAGGAAGAGGTCGGCTAGGTCTTCGGCAGTTATATCCTTTCGATATAGGGCATAATAGGCTATTTTAGAGTATCTGTCTATTACTACGTAGATGTAGTCGTAGGTATAGCCTATAAAGGTAGATAGAGGGAGGTCCGTAACGAAGTCTATAGTCAAGTCTTCCTATAGGGCACTTAAGGCGTCTTCGGCTGCTAATAGGCCGTATAGTTTGTACCTCCTCGGTTTTACCCTAGTATACGTTATATAGCTCGAAGTGTAGTCTTTTACGTAGCTTCGTACCTTAGGCTACTAGAATCTCCTTAGTACGAGTTCGATCGTCCGTTAGAACCCGAAGTGACCCGCTATAGAGTTATCGTAGTATTCTCGGAGTATCTCGAGCCTTAATAGTCCTTCTAGGACAAAGATACGGTCGTTCTAGCTCTATAGGCCGTCTTTATACGTCTATCTTTGAGTCTATATTAGTAGAGGATCTAGAGCTTTAGCTTTCGAGACCTTCCCTGCCGTCTCGTCCGTAGCAGTGTCTTCTCGAATCCTCTTAACTAGGCTCTAGTCTATCTCTGCTTACATATCGTAGCGGTGACCCGAGGCGTTGCTAGCTACCTCTCTTACTGCTATTATAGCCCGTACTAGGCTATTTTGGTCGGTAGTAGGCCCTTCTAGGTTGATCTGTCGCTATAGCATTTTCAATACAACGGAGGAGTCTTCCTAGTTTAGCTAGCGGCCGGAATAGTCGGGGTCTATATAGTCTAGACGTCTGCTCGCGCCGTCCGCTGCCCCGTTAAGGCTTCCGGCCCTATAGACTACCCTAAAATCTATAGTAGCGAGCTATTCTGCCTATCTTATCTACCTCCGGGAGAGGGTTTTAGTCGTTATAAACTATTGCAGGTTGTAGTAGTCGGTTATTAACTTAACTTAGTGCTAAGCGCCCTCCAAGTAATGTCTCTAGGCTTTAAAACATTCTACGATAGCAAGGAGTTCCCTATTATAGGTATTATAGTTCTTTTCTACTACGACCATCTTACGAGAGAAGAAGGCTACCGGGAACTATTGTATCTTGCCCTAGAACTCGTGTTGCTATATTATAACGCCCGAGATTACGTAGCCTAATACGTCCGTTTCTACCTAGATAGCCCGTAATAGATCGAAATACTTTAGAATTAGCGCTAAGCAGAAAGCCTGCTTTAGCTTAAGGAACGATTGCTTGGCTTCCGGGGGCAGGTTGATCTTTACGGACTCTTTATTCCGTTGTTTCTATCCTCCCTTTGCCGTATCGCCCTTTCTCTCCGTCAACCGATTTAGGGGAGCTGCGATTCGGGAGAAGTACTATATAAATCGTCGATAGTAATTAGCAAACCTAATAAAGATCCGAATGTCTCTTACGGACTCTAGTTCTAGCTAATCCCGGACTGTAGCGACCCGTTCTAGCTCTATCTCGACCCCTCTTAGACTAACTAGGTACCCTAAGAAACTAACTTAGTCCCTATAGAAGTTACACTTAGTTATTTTAGCGTAGAGCTTAGCCTTTTGTAGCCGTTCAAGGACCGTTGCTACGTCTCGGATGTAATCCTCTTTATTCTAGGAGTAAATAAGGATATCGTCGAGGTATACTACGCAGATAATATCGATTAAGTCCTTAAGTATATTATTCATATACCCTTAGAACGTACCCGGGGCGTTAGTAAGCCTAAAGGGTATTATAGTGTACTCAAAGTAGCTATATCTAGTCCGGAATATAGTCTTCTACTCGTTACCCTCCTTAATTCTAAGTCGGTAGTACGCGTCTCTTATATCGAGTTTAGTAAAGATCTTTGCTCTAGACAACTGGTCTAGGGATTCTTAGATTAATAGCAAGGGGTATCTGTTTTTGACCGTTACGGCGTTCAGTCTACGGTAATCGACGTAGAGTCTAAGACCTCCGTCCTTCTTCTTCGCAAAGAGGATGCCTACGCCGGTAGAGGAGTAAGAGGGCCTAATCTAGCCTCGGTCTAGGTATTCTTTAAGGTAGTTTCGGAGAACCTCTAATTCTGTCTCGGAAAGGTTATAAAGAGGGCCCTATAGGGGTATCTTACCTTCGTCTAGCTTAATTCCGAGCTCAAATAGCCTATAATCGGCTAGAATAGAGGTATCCTAACTAGAGAATACAGATACGTACTGTCGGTATACCTCGGGGAGCCCTTCTAGGTCTTTGTTAGTCCTATCGATAAGTAATAAGGATATTGTATAAAGGACCGTACTAGGGTCTACAAGCTTAGCGCGCATCCGTTCTAGGCCGATTATCGCTACTTTGGACTATTTGCGTCTAGTCTTCTTTTTCTAAGCTAGTATCTTAGTTAAGAAGTTTACCGAGAGGTTCTACTATTCTAACTACGGTATACCGAGGATTATTTCGAACCCGTAGATCCTTCTAACGGCGATATAGGCAGTTCCGCCCCGTTTCGACCTATTACTAGCCGAAACCTTAAAAGGGACCTTTGTATATCCCGAAACTGCGAGGGCTTAGCTATTCAAGGTCTCGTACCTTGCCGAAGCACCTCGCTCTAGGGTGTAACCTATTTCTTTAGCTACTACCCCGTCTAGGAAGTTTATCTAGGCACTATAGTCTACTAGAGTATAGATGTTTCGCCGCTCTATCGGTCCTTCTAGGGTTACTTTAACCCTAATTAAGTTATATAGCCCTAGCTTCGTAGCCTAACGGCCGTATAGCTCTACCGATCGTCGTTGCTCCTCTATATAGGTTACTTGTCCCGCTACCCGGAGTACTAGGGGGCGGGGCTAGCTTTTAGGGACCCCTTGTTCTCCTAAGCCGCCTTATTAGGGCATTCCGGGCGTTTATAGCCCGTCTCGCCGTATCCGTAGCACCTAGGTAGAGGTCTAGTGTCTCCTAGTCGGCTTAGTCGTCCTGTCGACGGAGGTTAGCTCGCTTTAGAGTAACTTTAGGACCTCTTCGCGTAGATAGCGGTTTCGCTAGTAGTATCGGACCGCCCGCGTTTGTTATCGCGTTTGTCCTTTTAGCGATAATCCCTTTCGGCCTAGATAGCCCTCTAGTAGATATTTGCTGCTTCTTCGAGGGCAGTAACGGTAGTAAAGGTAGTAAGGTTAATATTGATCCGATACTTAATCCTTCCGTCTAGGGCGCTTTTGAACTCTATAATTTTAGTCTGTTCGTCCTCCGTTCCAAGCTCGTTCTAGTATTCCTTTAGGTCTATTAAGAGCTCCGTTAGGGTTTGGAGGTTCTATTCGATAGATTTGATCGCGTCGTAGGCAATTTGTCGCCTCTCCTAGGGTATGCCTATCGTATTAAGCATATATTCCTTAAAGTCGGACTAAGATAGGGCGTTATAGGCCGGTTAGGATCGGAGTAAGTCTATAAACCGGTTCTACTAGGATCTTTGTTCGGTTGCTATCTATTCTTCCCTAAGTTTAATCTTGGTTTAGGCGTCTGTATAGTAACCTAGGGCTCTTCGGAAGATTCGTTCGTAGTCGTCCCGCTATTCGATCTAGTCGCGTCTGTTCTTTCCTTTAAATATATAGGGGTTCTGTAGTTTAGGAATAAATTAGGCTAGAGATAGGCTAGGATAGCCTAGGTTAGGGTCGTGTCTATCAGTTAGGAGGACTCCGGTTAGAGATTAGATTATCGCGTCGGATTGTTTAAGTTACTAAAGCAACTTGGCGCGTTCCTCTCTAGCCTAGCTTACTCGAAGGAGTTGCTAGGCCTTAGCGGCCTCCGTCTCTTCGGCTTCTAGCTAAAGTGCGACGTCTACTTCCGTTAGGGTACTAGTCGCTACCGAGTCCTAGGTACTCGATCCTAAGCGTATCGTATTCTTTAGACCTATAGTTAGAGATACTTCGTTGTACAACAAAGAAGCGATTCGTATATAAAAGGATAAGATGTATAGGCTGAAGTATCTAATAGAAATATACTACTCGAATCGCTTAGAAGAAGAGTAGGAATACGTCTTCTCCCTCTGTTTATAAGTATATCCTCGGAGTACCCGGAGGCTCTAGCCTCTCGGGTCTGATTTAGAATATCTCGATCTGAGATCTCCTACTCTAACTCTCTATAAACTATCTTAACTCGGTATCGGCGGTAAAGGTCTAGCCTAAACCCTCTTAAATCGTAGTAGCCCGTTCTAGCCTATCTTAGGTGCTCCCGGGCTATTCCGGGTCTGTCCTAAGATGTCTGTATCGCTGTCTAGTCTAGATCCTAACAGAAATACTAGAATTCCTTAGATTACTATAAGATACTATCCTTATCCGAGTCGACAACTAAGTAGCGATTCGAATCTCGAACAATCCGGAGATATACGAAAAGACGAAACATATCTGTATTCAGTATTATTTTATAAGAGAACTCGTTAAGAACAAAACGATTACGATACTATACGTGCCTAGACTATTTAATATAGCCGATATCTTTACTAAGGTACTAAGCCAAACAGTTTTCGAGTAGTATATAGTAGGAATAGGGATCTTTGGACTATATAAAGGGAGGACTAAGAAGTTGAAAGAGACGGGTATTAATAGTAATTTAATTAAGGCGTTTATAGGGTTTATTAAGAAAGGCTACTCTTTTCCTACTATAAAGGCAGAGGTTTTTCAAGAGGGTCCTAGGAATTGATTTGTAGTAATTAGGGATATTATAGAGTTATATTATAACCGACTATCGGCTAAGTAGGAGTGTTAGTAACTGGGTCAAGGTCAGGGGTATAACCGATGTCGCTTAAGCACAAAGATATAAGGCACGGGTAGGTGCATCAGATACTGAATCAATTTAATAGCTCATAATCTTCAACAAGAGGGAGAGAGAGTTCTATAGGAATGAAGGGGTGGTCCCTTGTCAAAATGGTTTGTTGTTAGAAAGACTAGGTAAGGTATATGATAGGGTGATCGCTCGAAAGTATGCACTAGTAGAGGTATCAGTACTACCTTAACGACGGCTTCTTGGGGGGGGCGTTGTTGTTGTTGGAAGACTAGCGGAGGATGGATGTAGGATGTTGGTAGTACTACTGTATAAGTATACTAGGAGATCAGGCGATGTAAATAAAGGTACCTTACCCTAGAAAGATTTCTTCTGTAAAGCGAGAGACTCGACATCGTGGTTGTAGTGATTTGAGCACGTGCTTCACCTATAGCAGTCACTCTACGGCAACCTGTATGGAAAAGAGTAAGAATCACCTCTCTCTCTCGAACCAGAAGGCTCGCAAGACTGTGTTTCCCTCCGTAAGCTTTGGAGCTGGCAGTCGGATTATGGTGCCCTCCTGCTATTCGACCTCAAAATTATCGCTGCTGGATACTCGCGCCCATGGACTGTACTATCTCCTAGGAGGTAGCCACAGCGAGACTCGCGCGTTTGTTCGCTCAGTAGCTTCACTCCAACTAAAAGTGGGTCAGAGCTCCATGAGAACATTACGCGCCAGAACTACTTTTCTGCGCAACTCCTCTTCGTCAACAACATTAACAACAACAGTCCACCGGCGACACTTGAGACTCATACCAACAGTCATCAACCATCCTTGAATGACTCACAAACAAGATCCGCCATGATGAAGAAAATTGCATCTCTTGCTGATTGATGTAAGGCAGCAGGCTATCCACCTACCTGGCAAATCCTTTTTTTCCCACTTACCGCTGACTGACTGATTGACTGACTGACTGACTTACTAGAGACCGGAACGTACCAGCACGGCACGCCGCCGATGAAGAATCTACACCAGACTCGTGGCATGGTCTTCGACCCTTTTGTCCGTTGGATAGGGAGAGAGAGAGAGAGAGAGAGAGCAGCGCGTGCCACAGCAAAAAAAGAAGGGGGAAAAAAAAGAAAATCCGCTAAAGGGCAAGATTACCTACCATACCATACCATACCATATCATACCTCGAACGCCTTCTTCCCCAATTTAGCCTTCTATTCTCCTCCCAAAAGCTCGAGTATATTCCCCAAAGGAACATCCAGTATTGAGCTGCGGAGAATCGTTCACAGCATGACAACAGGCAAGATGGGCTCAGAGCAGCGGTGGCAGAGGCGATTCTTTTGCTTTTTCCTTTTCTTCACTTGATCGCATATTCATGCGTGAGGGAATGGTAGCGGCGCGGAGGAAGAGGCCAGAGCAGGGAGGAGTAGGAGTAGGAGGTACAAGGGATTGTATGAGCAAAGAGAAAAAAAAACCCCGTCCTTGAGTTGGTAGGGAACCGGCAAAGTGATAGCGCTCGCGCGCTCTGTCATCCGGACGAGAGGGAGAGGAGCCGATGATGGGTCTTGTGCGAATGCGAGACGTGTCTACATCTCGCATGTTTAGATGCAAGCTCCAGTTCAAGGGTCAGCAACAGCGGTATGAGGAGAAGATGCATATATGTACAGAGTGAAAACAGCCGTGAGCCGTGATACATACTCTCATAAAGTACATGTAGTTTTGTACAGAATTCGTACAGAATTCGTTTTGTACAGAACTCTAGCGGTATGTTTCTCCGCTGAGTTACTCGTCGTGGACCAACGTTGCAGCCGCAGCCACACCCGTCTAGTTGCCCAGACGTTGAACGCCCCAGTTGCCAAAGCATGCAACGAAAAAACCTCCAACATTTTGCCGCAGCCACACCCGTCTAGCTGCCCAGACGTTGAACGCCCCAGTTGCCAAAGCCTGCAACGAAAAAAACCTCGAACATTTTGTCATGTCCTGCTGTGCTGTTGCGCCATGCCCACCTTCGAGCATTGACCCCAAAATACCGTGACTAGTACCTACCTCAGACGTTGGCCGCCTTTGGGAAGTTCATGGTGTAGACCGCGTCGACTACATACTGTGCAGTGATCATGCGGCCGGCGAACCAACGACCATTGAGGCCCTTGAAGGCGTTCTCGCCGCCCTGGACGCGATCGAACTTGACGTAGACTTCACCATCGTTGTTGTCGAGAGCAAGGTCAATGTGAACCACTTTGCCATACTTCTCCTCACATTCAGACTTGACGTCGTCTTTGAGTTCCTTCTGCCAACCTGGCTCAGACTCCCTATCATTGTGTAAGCATATGACCCGTATTTCTCTGGCGAAATGTGACACTTACTCGTTCTGATTATACATGTTCTTGATCAAGACACATCGAGAGGCAGAAGGCTGCTCGAAGGTTGCTGGCTTCTTAACCTGTGTCTTGGGCGCAATCTTTTGCTCAGGCTCGTCAGTGCGCGCAAGCTGCTTCATGAGTTTTTCGCGACTGTAGTTGTGGAAATCGACGCCGCCAACATCGGTATCATCGAGAGCCGATGCACCACCGGTCTTGTCGACATCGCGAGCTGCGGCTGGTCGATCGAAATTGCCCGTACCGCCAGCGTGCGCACCACGTCCGCCCAGACCACTAAACTGGGAACCTTTTTGCGCAGAGGGAGTGTGCGAACCAAATTTCACCAGCAGTGTCTGTGTGGACTCAGTGGTGAATTTGTCGTTGCCAAGTCCAACGCGAATCGGGCGACCAGCAAGCTCGAAGCCGTTCATCTTTTCAAGGGCCTCTTTAGCCTGTGCCGGATCAATAAACTGGACAAAGCCGTAACCCTTGGAGCGACCATTTTCCTCCTTCTGCAGCTGAGCAAACTCCAGCTCGCCAAACGGCTCGAAGACGTTCTTAAGGTCTGCTTCAGTGATGGAGAAGTGGATATTGCCCACATACAGTCGATGGAATGGAACACCGTTCGACTGAGTTGCAGTGCCCTCGGTAGTGCGGGCCTGGCGATTCTTCTCTGCTTCAGTGAGTTGGGCGATGATGGGAATGCCGAGGAGTTTCTGTCCTGTAAGTCCAATGGCCTTCTGCACGGATTCTTCGTCTTTGAACTCAACATATCCAACACTGTCGACAAGGTCAGCGGTGCAATCTCAACGGGGGCGAAGGCGAAGGGAGGTACTCACCCTTTGGAGCGTCCACTGACTCGGTCCTTCACAATCTGAGCATCAACAACCGGACCAACCTGCTCAAAGAAATCCCTAAGTTCTCTGGATCGGAGTCGTGCAGCCAATTGCTGCACGAACACCGTGCGTCTGTCACGTTCGTCATCAGTCGGCTCTGGTGTCTTGCGCTTGTTACCTCCATCCCCGCCGCGGTAGCTGTGGCGACGATCTGATTGCGACCCATGGTAGTCGCGGCCTCGGCGATCTCTGTCGTCGCGACCTCCGCGAGGTCGGAGCGGGGAGCGAGAGCGGCCGGCGCGGCGGTCGCGGTCTCCACCTGGGCGGTAGGAGTCGTTTTCGAAACGAGGGCCGCGGCCTCTACTATCACGTTGTATATAGTAGTGGTCGTCGGCCCGGTCGCGCGAGCGGTGTCCTCGACGTCCCTCGTTCCTTGGGGATCGACTCCGACGCCGACTACGGACACTGCCATTGGCGCTATGCTTGTCCGACTCGTCATCCGTAACTATACATCTTCCGTAGCGTCGTGTACGACGTTCGTCCTCGAGCTCTCGATGCGTCAAATACCTGCCGCTACTCATAAAGTCGCGGTCTGCGTCGCTTCGGCGCTGGAGGCCGCTATCGGTGTGTCTGCTACTCGGACGGAAGGGCAGGTCGAGTGAGTTTGCTGGCGAAGGCGCGACGTCTGGCGAGGTGCCACCCATATGGTGGTCGGCGTTCGCATTGCCATTTGCTTCGGCCTTCTGCTGGGCAATCTTCTCCTTGGCCTTCAGCTCTTCAGACTCCAGTAGATCGGCGATATCTAGATAACCGTTGTCTGTTGGTGGGTTCGCCATGTTGTGTGTGCGGTGCAATGTAATCTGCTTTTGATGGCTCACACGTTGACAAATTTGGCTTTGCGTGGATGTTGGATGCTCGCTGCCGAGTCAAGAGGTGCGTGCCGTGCGTGCGCGCGTGCAGAAAGAAGTCGGACGGCGAACAATGTCGGCACAGCGAGCGCTGCGCTGCGAGGGGGTGAGGTGGGGGAGTAGAGGGTGCAGGCGGGTGCGGGTGAGGTGAGGTGAGAACGGGGTTGCGAGGGCGAGATGAGGTGAGGGAGCGTCTGCAAATGGGTAAGGGGCAAGGGTGATGGGAGCTGAACAGTGACTTGCGCGCAATGGGTCAATCAGTCAAGAGATCAAAATGTCGTTGCTATGGATGTGCGCGGACGATGATGATGATGACTGTGCGTGGTCGGTCGGACTTTTGCGCGAGCTCGAGAATGAGAATATAGCGGCAGCACTAGCGTGCACGGCCGCTGCCGCCGCTAGAACTACTTTGCTACCACGTAGAACCAGACGGAAACAACTGCCGGCGGAGAATAGCCGACGAATGCCATATATTATTATTAGTGATATCACATGACCTTCTATAGGGACGTCTACATCTTCTCCCCCTGGGCCCCCTCGCTAAACACTCTCTGCTCATGTACTGACGGACTCCCCCTGACGACAGCACAAGCACGATGGAAACAATGAATGCTAGGTATGCTACCTGGTACTGATCGTCCTACTCACCACACGAATGACGGGAGCACTCAGTACAAGCAGCCCTACTACTTCATCTCAGACGCAACAGACTCGGCACCCTGTGGCTCGCGATCCTGCGCAGAAGCCTTCTCACCCCGTCCGATCACAGCATCGTCCTTGTCCAACGCACGCTGACTCTTGTGTTGAGGATCATGCGGGTTGACCGTAGACTGAGTCGCACTGCCACCAACACCCTCGGGACCTCCACTTCGAGCATTGGCACCGCTGCGAAGCTCTGCCGAGCTCTGCTCTATGGGCTTACCAAGACCCTGGTGCACATCACCAGATGTCGCTCCTTGTATGGTGTCTGAAGCCTTTGCAGTCTCCCCTTCGCCGACGCCCTTCTTGTAGTAGTTCTGGACTGGAGGGGCTTCGTTTTCGGGATGTGGCTCGTAGGTGTCCTTAGCTGGTGCACTGCCGGCTGGCAGAACCTCTGCGGTAAACTCGGGAATTGCATTGTTGCTACCAGGAACGATTTTGCCCGGTTGGTGCTAGACTCGGCGTCAGCTTCGAGTCGTTCTTGTCCGTGGCCTTGTCTTGCAGCAAGAAACGTACCTTATCATTGATTGTAGGCTCGGGCTGGGGCACAGCAGAGCTGAATTGGCCCTTGTTTCCTTCGATGCTGTTTTCGGCCATGGTGAAGCTGTTGGTATCACGCGGAGAAGATGTGTTACAGTGCTACTAAGGTATGATTCAAGATATGGTTGATGAGTTCTTGAAGTCAAGTAAAGCAACACTTGGCATACCTATGGAAGACGTAGTTCTTTCGCAATATACAGGTAAATATGCCGTCATTGCGGCGCCTATACGGCTCCTGAGCATTGAACCGGGCGAAGACCTTTCTTGGCATTCAGGCTCCCCTATTCAAGTCGCACATGGATTATCGATCATATTCATGCCATACAGCACAGTACACCCCACTGTACACCAGTGTTCAAGCAGTCGTCTCCAAAAGGTGTCTCCATACCCTCCTGCTCACTTTCCTCATCCCTCGCTGCTCTATATTCTGACTGCCTTGAACGCATCTTTCAGCCCGGACGTCCTCCATGTAGAGCAGCACCACTCCTAGTCCTAGGCATATACAGCAGCGACTTGGGGACCGCGGTGCCAGGTACGCGATCACCTTTTGGTGACGGACGAGAAGACCGAGGCCTCGTCACGGTATTGAGCTTTCTGATCGGGTCCTTCTCTGTCACAATAAGCGGCTCGCCTGGTATCATGGAACACGGTCTACCTAGCTTCCCAAACTCTTTTACTTCCTTTTCGATGTCGTTTTCCAGCACTCGTCGGCCATATGCAATCTGCTGCTTCAGCCATTCGCGGTCCAAAGGCCCCATTCTTGCTTCGGTCCGTGCAAAGCGGTCTTTCAGGTCTCGTAGCTGTGCACTTCGATGCTCTTGGATATGAGTTTGCACGCACGCGGCGCATACGAATCCTTCCTTCGTAATGACAGCATTGGCCCAACGCAACGTCTTCTCATTGTATTCTCGTAGGCAATTGCTGGCGCATGGGACGGGCGATCTGGTGATCACTTTGTGTCCACAAGGATGTAGATGATGAACGAGAGAGCCGGTTGTACATGGGTCTGATATGTGCGGGCTCATGTACGGAGAGCTGCGAGGAGTGAGGGTTTGTAGCTTTCTGGCGGATGGCGACAATTCCTTCTCCGCGTGGCTCGTCTGAGATGCGACAGATGATGGCGTAAGGAGGACTCTGCTTACACATGCCAGCCGTGATGTTCGTGCTTCTAGCCTGATTGGCAGAGCCGACGGCGGCGTCTGAGGGCGGTTCAACACGAACGCAATCCCGCTGTCTCGTGGTGATCTCGAAGCTGTACAAGATGCTGTGGCCGAAGGTACTGGGAGATAGGAATGCGGAGTCGCCGGTGTCGAGGGCGCGCTGTTACGTCGGCGACGTGCGTACGGCACTGGCGATCGTGCTTTCGGGTCCGGCCTTGGTATGCTCGACTTGATGGTCGCCATGGTTTTTCTGCTTCTTTGTATCGAGCCCTGATATGCGTGTCAACTCCACGTCAGTGTTGGGATTGCGTGGTGACGGGATGAGGGCTGGAAACACACACAACCCCGTACAAAGCGTGTCTTAGACAAACAGGGCGGCAGAGGGCACGGTCTGGTTTGCCACGATGAAGCAATTCAGTTGCTAAGACATTGGTTGAAACAAGGACCAAATCACATCATAAGCCTCCATGTGCCGCACAGAATCTCTCAATCCATGAATGGCGAGAACAATTCGTGTATAGACTGACATATGCCGCCAGGCATGATCGTGGCGTACCTATCGCCTCATATATCGAATGAAGACTAAGGTACCTTACTTATAACAGCGACGACGGAGCTCATATCGGCAGCTGCAATGCACCTGCGCGAATCAGCAAGTGCCATGCATTTTACATCTTGCATGGCAGCTGCGTTGGCAGCTACGAAGTGAGGCAAACTGAAGTGAAGTTGCATGTCATTCTCACTTCGCTGCCTGGTCACCCGGCAGTGGGCCGAGCCTCGTGCAGGTCAGGCCGCCTGTGTACCAAATCAGCGGGATATAAACATAAACAAGTTTCGAACTTGAAAACAACAACTTCGAATTTCGAGTTTGTGCGTCACCACTCGACACTCGCCGTCTTTTCATTCCTTCAGTGCAACTCGAGTATTCCTTCACTAGCACATCCATCCTATCATCAATGGCCTCTTCGCAGGTGCCTCACTACGACACAATGGTGATCATCAAAGACGAACCGCAGGATGATGACTTCCTGATGCCAGATGCCGCTGCGCTTCCCACCGCGCCAACGCTGCGCGTCCACCAGGGGCTGCAAACCGGACGACACCTCACTGTGTCAGACAACGGTGAGCCAAGTGCTTCGAAAGGCCGACAGGCACATCCACCTCCACCTCCATCATCGAACCGCGCCAAGGCACCAGATGGAGGACCCCACAATTCCATGTGCTTCGAGGAACCATACCTGAGCCGACCTCAATTTCATCGTCTCATATGCGGGCACGACATTGCGACGGTTGCCGTCGAGAGATGCGGGGCAAATTGCCATCCTCCGAGTCGACCCACTGGATCAGACCAGAAGCCAGACAACATGAGATTTGAGTGTAAAGTTTTCCAACCATGACATCTTCGAGTATGCACTGACAGTACCAGGTCCCGATCCACAATGTAAACGAAGAGCAAACGTCCTGCCATCATTTGACCAGAAGACCAGGCGGCGAAAATACGGCAGAGTATGTGTGCTTGCCCATGTGCGAGGACGCGACTCCGAGGCAGACAAGGCCTGGGACGAGGAAAAGGGGCGCCAAAATCATCACTCTGCCAGAACTAGGGCTGCTCGTTCTTTTGGCCGCAAGACTAGCCGCTCGCCGTCTCCGAAACGCGGACAAATTTCCGGGCCGCGAGGCGACCGACCAGAGACTCGTTCGAACCTGATGAGACCTAATGCCACTGAGCAAGATCTTGGGAGAGTGAGGCCAGCTGTGGTTTTTAGCGAATTGGAGATAGCCCGGATGGGCCCAACACAGATGAAGAAGAAGTTAAGCGTGGCATGCTACGAAAGGAGGGTGAAACAATCGAGGCCAGTACCAGGCCCGGCCTTCACAGAACCAGAGGGACCTTCGAAGGATTGGGACGCCGTTCCTGTCGGTGATCAAGACAACGCTGAAGTTGAAGCGGCAGAGGAAGACCACGCTGAAGAGGAGGATGAGTTGCACTGCGTGTGCAGATCTTCCGATTGCCAGTGGATGGTCGAATGCAACAGGTGCGACGAGCCGTTCCACCCTGGCTGCATCGGCAAGGGCGCACATGACGCAGCCCAGTACGAACTGCCAAGTCGAGATTTGTTATTCGAGTTCGACGCCAAAAACTCAACGTCCGAGTTCTTGTGCCTTTTCTGCGAAGCTCATGGAAAGGTTGAAGCTGGGATCCGTGACCAGAGGAGGAAAATGGCAGAGCACTTCAAGCGCAGTGAACTTTTGCTGCAATTCCACTCGAAGCTCATGGCGCGGAAACAAACGGCCCTTGATCGAGCACAGGGTCAGGAGCAGGAAGACACCGTCACAGCTTTTTTCGCCAGCATCGAGCAAGAAATGAACGAATGTGGCAGTCTTCAGTTGCGGGATTGGAGAGCGTTGCTCACAAAGGCCTTGGAAGTGCCTCTCGCACCTCCAAGAATAAGAAAGCGCGGTGCCGCAGAAGTCGAGCCTGAAGAAGCGGGTTCTGCTCTTGCGGTTCCATCCAGGGACAACGCCGAACCGCCGCGCAAACGACAGGCTTACATGGAGGGGGAAGAGGTGACTCTGCCTATAATCCCCCCAAAGCAGGCGCCGATTGTTCGTATGTGAGGCAGTTCGTATTGCTGGCGACTCGTGGAGGGCAAGTAAAGAGAGCTTGACAGAGCTTGGATGGGGGTCGTTGGTTGTAGTGCGATGGATGTGGACGTGCAATGTGTGGACGAAAGGATTCCATTTGTGCGAGTATCAACTCGATGCAAGACAGCTGCGTTTGTAATAGGCTGCTGTAGGCATTCAATGAGGGCTCAATGAGTGTTACTCACATGGTATCACAGTGCGCGCTGTATCACAGCAAGCGCCCTCTCATCTCTATATGGTCTTGTGTTGAGGTTACTGCCACCAAGCCAACATGGTGTAACTCAGAGTACCAGAACACGCGAACCATTGCTCCTCCATGTATCCTCCGTCTTCTTGTCACTTTTCTTGTTGGACTTGGGTGGTGCCCTTCACCGTCTCCCTTCTCCCCTCTCCTCTCCTCTCCTCTCCTCTCTCCTGTCCTTTTTCTGATCCGATTTCCGTATTGCTACCGCCGAAAGGGCTTGGTGGGAGAGAGAACAGTGTACTGAGAGTGTCTATAATATCAGGACACTCATTGCAGCGAACGGAAACGCAGATGTCTGAGGGAGCGAGACAATGGAGTCAGTACTCGGAAGATGTGAGGAAAGAGTGAGGTCTGTGGCAGATGTGGAAGTGGAAGCCTACCTGGTCGGCGACCAATCGTCTTTGGCACGTTCGCGTCGTGTCAGCGCCCAACTTACTTCTTCCCGCTATTCCTCTACCGGGCATACATGCATGGTACGACGGACGGGAGTACACAGCAGACATACCGCACTTCTGTAGGCTCTCCAATACTCGTCGCCTACAGTCGCAGTCACTACCACTTTGCCCATCATGCCATCCGAGCACAGAGCAAAACGGCAATACCAGCCCTCCAACCAGACCACACTCACCTCTTTCTTCTCCCGAACGACGAATACGCCGTCACCTTCACTTGACCACGAGACGCAGTCTTCTCTGCTCAACGTGGGTATGCGTGTTAGAAAGTCAGTTCCGGAGGGCTACAAAACACACAAGACACTCGGGTCGCCCGCCTTTCCATTCCCCAGCTCTGCTCCCTCTCGGGCACAAGCAGTCTCAGCCACGACGATACAACCCAGCGCGAGGACGATGAGCTCTACGATGAGCTCGAGAGAACTCGTGCCGTTCTGTGGACTGCACAAGACAGGTGGCATAGAAGTACCCGCCTCATCAGCACCGGCGGCAATGCAGCACGACTACGACGAAGATATGCCAGAGCTATATATGTCGCAGAGCACGACGTCCACACAACATGCCTTCTATGGCTCGTCTTCACAGTCTGCGAGCAACAAGAAACGAGGCTACGAGGATGAGGCTGAGGACGACATGGACTCCTTCTTCCACGAGGGGGATGCGATCAGCGAGGAGCTGGATGCGATGCGACCAACAGCCCGGATCAAGTCCTCTTCCACGCGCAAGCCTGGCAGCGACCATTTGCACATTGTCGGCGATGACGATTTCGAGGAAGCGCCTTTCCTCGTACCGATGGACGTGGAAGAGGAGTACTAGGACTTGCAGGTAGCAAGAAGAGATGAAGTATGCGCATTCGATGCGTACTACTCATGTGCTCGGCATTCTGTACACTGCCCTGTATGCTACGACATGGTATACTATGGCGACTTTTGATTTTATGATACCCGGCGACATGGTGGAGTGTAAGGTAGCCTGTGTAGGTATGTACATGTTAGGTAGGTGCCTTAAGGAGGTAGATCATGTAGGTACCGTAGGTTGGTTGGTTTATTCTTTCCTCGCGGCTCCCGGTCAGGGGGTGCCCGTAGACTAGTTCTATAATAGGTGGGGCTCTGTTGTGGACGGCAACAAACAGAAGCACGTAGTCATAATATAACAAGCACGTCGAAGTTCAGTAATCAGTGCGAAAGGTGGCAGTTCTACTTCACTTCACTTCCATCACGCTTCTCCTGCTGCTGCTGCTGCACATTCAAATCACTTGCTCGACGCGGAATCACCCCACATCGCTCTCTTCCAAGTAGTTCCCAGCTGAGAGTGCAGCGACATCCACGCTGGTCCCTGCGTCAGGACTTTCGCGCCCACCAACTTCCTGTCAAAACCGAAACTACATCAACCACACACCACTCACCACACTCTCTTTTTCATGTAATCCAGAGCGACGAAGCTCGCACACACACCACCCTCCTCCGCACCACGGCATCCCCATCCACCACTCGAGTGCCCATCATGGATGTCAACCAGGTGCTCACCGGCACCCTCTCGCCAGGTATGTGTGTGCCTGTGCAGCCAGAAAACAAACACCTCCTCCACGCCTGAGAATGATGGTCCAGAAGATGCTGACCCGTCCGCAGACTCCAACACACGAACCCAGGCCGAGACGCAGCTGTCGCAGGCCGCCGAACAGGACTTTGTACGTACACATCGTTGCTCCGCTGCCTCCTCCCCGCTCCACTCACCCCCTCTCCTCCTCCACCTCCTCCTCCTCCCTTCCGCGTTGATACAAACGGCATGCACTGACCCCTGGCCGTGGTACCATAGTCCGGATACCTCATCACTCTCGCACGCGAGCTCGCCAATGAGCAAGCCGACGCCACAGTGCGCATGGCCGCTGGTCTCGCTCTGAAAAACTCCTTCTCCGCTCGCGACTACGCCCGCCTACGTCAGGTCCAGCAACGATGGCTGGAGCAGATAGACCCTCAGATCAAGACGCAGGTCAAGCAGTTCGCTTTGCAAACATTGGGTACAAACGACTCGAGAGCGGGACAGTCGGCTGCGCAATTCATTGCTGCCATTGCTGCCATCGACCTGCCGCGTGAGCAATGGCCGGAACTAATGGCTACACTGGTGGAGAACGTGGGCAATGGCAGTGATCGCACCAAGCAGTCCTCGCTGACAACAATCGGCTTCATCTGCGAGACCGATGACCAGGACCTTAGGGATAGCCTGGCCCAGCATAGCAACGCTATCCTCACCGCGGTTGTTCAAGGCGCACGCAAAGAAGAGCCCAATGCTGAGATTCGAAATGCAGCCATCACCGCGCTGGGCGACTCCCTGGAATTCGTGCGAACCAACTTTGAAAACGAAGGCGAGCGCAATTACATCATGCAGGTCATCTGCGAAGCCACACAAGCCGACGATACACGCATTCAGCAGGGTGCTTACGGGTGTCTCAACCGCATCATGGGCCTGTACTACGAGAAGATGCGCTTCTACATGGAGAAAGCACTGTTTGGCCTGACCATCCAAGGCATGAAGAACGATGAGGAGGACGTCTCGAAACTGGCCGTGGAGTTCTGGTGTACAGTCTGCGAGGAGGAAATCAGTATTGAGGATGACAATGCTCAGGCACAGGCAGAGGGCAGCACCGAGCTGCGACAATATTTCAACTTCGCGCGCGTCGCTACTCAAGAAGTCGTGCCTGTCCTTCTCGAGCTGCTGGCTAAGCAGGACGAGGATGCTGGTGACGATGAGTATAACATCTCGCGTGCCGCCTACCAGTGCGTGCAGCTTTGGGCTCAGGCCGTTGGTAGTCAAGTCGTGCCTCAAGTCCTTGCTTTCGTGGAGAAGAACCTTCGGAACGAAGACTGGCACTACCGGGATGCCGCTGTGTCTGCTTTTGGTGCCATGATGGAGGGCCCAGACGAGTCCGTCCTGGATCCGCTTGTCAAGCAAGCTCTGCCCGTCCTCATCTCCATGATGGGCGATAGCCATGTCCAGGTCCGAGACTCTGCAGCATTCGCTTTGGGACGCATCTGTGAGGCTGTCTCTGACAGCATTGACCCCCAGGAGCATCTGCAGCCTCTGATCACTGCGCTCTTCCAAGGCTTAGCTTCGCACCCGAAGATGGCCAGCTCCTGCTGCTGGGCCTTGATGAATCTGGCTGACAGATTTGCGGGCGAGCCTGGCTGCCAATCCAATGCACTTTCACAGCATTTCCAGGCGAGTGTTCAGCATCTGCTTCAGCTCACCGAGAATACGCCAGACAACATGCTTCGCACTGCAGCATACGAGGTGCTCAACGCTTTTGTCACCAATGCCGCCAACGACTGTGTGCACATGGTTGCCAGCTTGAGTGATGTGATCCTTCAGCGATTGGAAAGCACCCTCTCGGTACAAGTCGTATCCGTGGAGGAGAGGCTGACCCTGGACGAGCTACGCACTTCTCTCACCTCAGTCATCATGGCTATCGTTCAGCGACTTGAGAAGGAGATTGCCCCACAAGCTGACCGCATCATGCTTCTGTCGCTACAACTTCTGCACGCCCTGCCGGCCAAGTCCAGCGTGCCAGATACCGTGTTTGCGACCATCGGTGCACTGGCGAATGCCCTGGAAGGCGACTTCGACAAATACATGAAGGACTTTCAGCCTTTCTTGCTCAAGGCGTTGGATAATCAAGAGGAGCCGCAGGTCTGCTCGATTGCCATTGGTCTTGTAACCGACATTGCCCGCGCTCTGGAGCAGAAGGTCCAGCCCTACTGTGATGAGTTCATGAACAGTCTTCTCACCAATCTGCGCAGCACAACTCTGGGAAATCAGTTCAAGCCTGCGATACTGCAATCATTTGGTGATATTGCGCAGTCCATTGGTGGCGCCTTTGAGCCCTATCTGTCAGTGGTCGCGCAGGTGCTTCAACAGGCTGCCGGTATCAGCACTCAGGAGAACGCATCTAGCTTTGAAATGCTCGACTACATCGTCTCGCTTCGAGAGGGAATTATGGATGCTTGGAGCGGTATCGTCATGGCACTGCGCGGATCCAACAAGCAGCAATTGCTGCTGCCTTATGTTGAGTCCATATTCTCGCTTCTGCACAGCGTCTACCAAGACCCGAACCGGACGGAAGCTCTGCTGAGGTCTAGTATGGGTGTCATCGGGTAAGCTATTCTTGCAAACTTTCACACGAGTGTCTAGACTGACCGTCGTCGCAGCGATATCTCCGAGGCATTTCCCACTGGGGAGATCAGCCAATACTTCCGACACGAGTGGCTCACGGCCATGGCCCGCGAGACTCGTGCCAACAAGGACTTTTCTCAGCGAACGCAAGACACAGCCCGGTGGGCGCGAGAGCAAATTAAGCAACAAACGAGTGAGTGATTACATCTCCCTGTAATGGCAAAGCTCGTGCTTGCCCTTTACATCGCTATCAGATATTCTTACTAACACCGCCCTAGCCGCGGCCGCTCGTAATGCGACAATGTCCTGAACACGCGCAACAGTTATACTCTCTGAAGAATAATGCCTCTCGTCCGCACTTACGGAAGCGGTCAGCTACCCTTGTCGCGAAACTACGATCGCTGGGTCCCGTATGCCACATCGCGTCTGTTCCGTTGCATCCTGCTCTGAGCCACATTAACATGAAACTACGAGAGCTGTGTACAATCATGCCCATGATTGCCACGGAACTTACTGATGGTCGAGTTGCGAAATCCGCAAGCCTGCGACGTGCCAAGCAGCCAGGCGGTGAAGCTGCTTGATACGCCATGCAGCGGTGCTGCTACGCATATACCCGAAGTACGACATCACGAGACGACACACGCAAGACGCGCCCCAGCACGCATCGATACCCAGCACGCCACCATTACCCTTTTGTCTGCCACCGCATGAATGAGAACGTTTAGCACAGGAGAAGCCTAGTGCGCTGAACAGGAGGAGAGCACGCGGCAGGCTATAGATTCTAGCATAGCATTGAGCGCCTTTGGTTCTAGATCTAGCCATGCTACTAAACGAAAGCCTTCATACCCGACTCATTCGAATCTGTACCTTTTCACAACTCTACTACTCACACTGGTCAAGGGGGGTGTGGTTTTCAATTCACGAACAATGAATAGTTGGCGCGGCTTCTGCCAGTACAAGGTACGGTATAGACAGAATGCCAGTCTGAATGCGACGGGGCTGTTGCCAAGTGAGCCTTCAAGTAGACTTTGTGACTCCAAGGTGCCAAAAAGAGTATACACCCAACCCACCATGCCGTTTCGACAACCAATATACAAGCTTCAACAATTGTGACATTCACAAAGGCTTTCTTTCCAGCAAAGACTGACTGACTGTCTGTCGTCGTCGTCGTCGTCGTCGTTATTCTTGTTGCAATTTTTTATGTGCCCGACGTACCATTTCCGACAGGACATTTCCATAGCAATCAGTTTTCCGGAACCCAGCAAGCTCTTCATACTGTTGGATTTCTTCCATGCCATATTCGTCGCTTTCAATATCAAATTCATGGACTGTTTGTTGCGGTTGCTTTGGATGGCTCTGCGACGCCAACGATGGCGACGATGACAACGACGACTGCTTTTCATAGACATAGTCAAAGTCGTAGTTACCACGCGCCTTTTCCAAGTGCCGGTTCCAATCGAGTTGAGTTTTGCTGGCGGCTTTCCACAACCATACTGCGGCTCGGACTTCTGGAGTTAGGGTTGCGCTGGGGCAGATGAATGCTGCTATGTATTGAATTCGTCGAGGGGGGTGCTGCCATTGGCCGTGAGAGTCGGTGGATGCAGCGGGAGAGGGTGGATCTGAAACTGGCTGCGTGCTGCCTTTGTCTGGATCTGTGGTGGGCTCTGGTGTGCTCGGTTGTGCAGCAGGTTGCGATGAAGCTGCTGCTGGCGTTGGTGATTCTTCTTCAGTATCATTTTCTCCTTCGAAGACTGCCCATTTAGAGGCGTATAGATTGGTGTTGCTGTTGCGGCTTGCTTCAAGAATCTCCCGGTCAAGGTTGCCTGCTGAAGGCTTGCTAGCATAGGCTGTTGCCTGGATGGCATCGGACGCACCATCGACCTGAGATACGCCGAATGGGTCGTGAAACGACTCTTCAATGACTGTATCATGTGCTTTCTCTGACGGTGAATTTGCTGAAGAATGGTCATCGTCGTTGTGCCTCTCTAGGTCGCGGGTTGCCTGCACAGCATCAGACGCATCATCGACCTGAGATACGCCGAATGGGTCGTGAAACGACCCTTCGATGATTGTATCATCTGCTTTTTCTGACGCTGAATTCGCTGACGAATGGTCATCGTCGTCGTGCCTCTTTATGTCGCTAGGGGAGATCGTTTCGGTGAATTGAGAGGCGTGCCGTCGTTCTCCAGGATGTCGAGGTTGCTCGAGACTGTAGTGGCCTTCCTAAAGCCACTCCAGACAGTTCAAGCAGATGCAAACCTCTGCCTCTTCCTGGGATGGCTGGGTGGCCGAGGGCTGTGAAGTCAGATAGAAGGCTCCAGGGGCTATGTATTTAGTCCGGGCAAGGCAGCCGAGCAAAAGACATTCGATGCGGGAATCCGATGCTGCGGATGGAGACATTTGCCATAGAACCAATTTCGATCCCGCAGAGAGCAAAAGCCTGATGCCATCTTCTGTCTCGGCTCCTGCTTGCCAACGCAAAGCCTAGATATGTTGATGAGTAGCTGGATGCGAGAAGCATGATCGGAAGCACATACCACAGACGTCTTCTCAGCAAGGTCGGCCAAGGTTTGCGAAACCATGTCCGCCAGCTCTGCCTTGAGCGGTCGCTCTGTAAATCTGCCAGAATAAGAGCCACCAGTCTGTCATATGTTAGTTCACATCGCCGGTTCGATTCTCGATCATGGTGGTCATCTTACATTGAGGCCAATATGATAAACACGTCTTTCGTCCTCATCCAAACATTCTAGCTCATGCTCGCCAACTTCGTACATATCAATGCTGATATCGGATATGTGACGTCCATGGTGTTGTCGGAAGGTCTCTGAAGTGAGTGGTGAAATACGAGTCCCAGGTTCGGGGGAAGTACCTGATGCGGCTGTTTGTGTACCACTTGGGGACTTGTTGATAGGGAGGAAGGAGGCAACTGTGTAGGCAGGTGAGCCTGGCTCATGGAGGGCCTCAGCCTGGCCCGCGGAGCATTCTGGTATACACGCAACGCCGAGTTGTGGCGCATTGGAGCCATCATGACAGCGAGAGTTGTTGCAATGCGGCGGTGCGGTCTTGTCCAACGTCGAGGGAGAGGAAGTCTCATTCTGCAGAGAATGCCTTCGAACGAGTGGCGTGTCTTTTGCCTCGCCCAGATCCAGTAGTGCTTCTGTCGCAGTGCATTTTGGCCGTTCTGAGCGACAGTGGTCGTGGTCTGCCATCAGATGCAAGTGGCGACGGAGCGGTGTCGCGCGTGTTCAGCTTTCTGCGTGGTCTGTATGGTAAAGTCCCTAACCTAACGAATGAAAAAGACGCTGGCGATGAAGGGAGACTTCACGCGGCGTGTTGTCGACTTGACAACATGGATTACTTTTCTAGCTGCTTCCAAGTGCACATTACCGTACCTGGTGAATTGTCGACGAGCATTCATCACAAGTTGGTGTCTTCACCCACTCCAATGGCTGACTGAACTTCATGGGCCTACCTGGTACCTTACTTCCTCTTCACATGATCCTACCTCTTCTGTGATATCGGCCTGTATACTAGGTAGAACTAGTGCATTTGCCCTGGATGCAAGTTCTAGGAGATGAGAAAGGAGGAAATCCAGTGGCATCCTTCCATTGTCCATTGTCCGGAAGCATCGCTCGCTGGCGTCGGGTGCTGACAGTGTCCGGCTCGCCGAGTTGTTTACAGTAGAAGTGAGAACTATTTCTAGATGCTCGCCGGGCAACGCACTTCCGCCTCATCCATCATACCAGGTATGGTATGGAACATATAAGACAGTTCGACAGTACAACAGCATGATCTATTGCATACCTTACCTAAGGTAGTACCTCCGAGTTCAGGACGATATCAAATTAATCGCGCAGAGACTTTCCCATCATTTCACTACGAAACCGACACTCGCGCGTGCGCCAATCAAACGCGACCCGTCAGCCCATCTGTGCATCTGTGCATCTGTGCATCTGTGCATCACACAGGAGACGCGGGTGGCAAATCGTTGCGAGGCCCGACGCGGATCTCAGGGCACATGCATACAGGGATATAGAATTCATCGTCTTCCCTCGCTCGACTCCTTATAACCTGGACTTTGCGACTTAACTTTGCTTCCTGAAACTCTTGCTTGCCCTGCTATCCATTGATCCGCACACGCACGCACGCACGCACGCACGCCCGCACGCCCGCACGCGCAGCCTCCAAGATGCCGGGACGAACTCTCCCGACTCTACCATCATCAGAAGTCTCCTCCCACAACACCGAAAAGTCATGCTACGTGACGGTCGGCACCAAAGTGTACGATATCACTCCATTCTTGGAGGATCACCCTGGTGGTGGTGATTTGATCCTGGAATATGGCGGCAAGGACGTCAAAGAGATTATGGGGGATGAATTATCGCATGCGCACAGCGAATCTGCCTGGGAAATCATGGACGATCACCTGATCGGCTTTGTGGCGACGGAGAAAGTATTGGATGCGGCTATGAAGAGCAAGGATCCTTTCAGTATCTTGCCGATGGAGCCCACAGTCACGGGCATGGACGAGCTTGACAAGGCGGACACCGGAGCCGTGGAAGACGTGACAGCGAGACAAGAAGTGGAAGCTCATGGCGCAGGAGAGGGTAAAGCAGTATATGAATCAACAGGCTTGAGCTCAGAGGAGGACTTGAGCAAAGAAACCGACCTCACGCAAGACTACAAGAAGCACAAGTTCCTCGACCTCAACCGCCCACTATTGATGCAAGTATGGAATGGCGGATTCACCAAGGCCTTCTATCTCGAGCAAGTCCATCGCCCGCGTCACTACAAGGGCGGCGATAGCGCGCCCTTGTTTGGCAATTTCCTTGAGCCGCTTTCGAAGACGCCGTGGTGGGTGGTACCTACGGTCTGGGTGCCTCCAGTAGCGTACGGTACAGTGCTGGCCGCCCAGCACTTGAGCCCTATTGCACTTGGACTGTACTGGGTCACTGGCCTTTGCATCTGGACAATTGTGGAGTACGGACTGCATCGATGCTTGTTCCACATCGACAACTACCTACCGGATAACAGGGTGGCCTTGACTCTCCATTTCCTGCTTCACGGCATTCACCACTATCTCCCCATGGACAGGCTGCGACTTGTCATGCCGCCCACGCTTTTCTTGGTCCTGGCCACGCCTTTCTGGAAGCTGGCGCACACGGTCTTCTTCTACAACTGGTATGCCGCAGTGGCGGTGTATTGTGGCGGCATCTTCGGATACATCTGCTATGATCTCACCCATTACTTCCTACACCACAAGAAGTGAGTGCATAAAACATCTCCCATCCTTTTGTTATTCTTGCTAATCAAGTCTTAGACTGCCGTCCTTCTACCAAGAATTGAAGAAATACCATCTCCAACACCATTTCATGGATTATGAGAACGGTTTCGGTGTCACGAGTCGCTTCTGGGACCGAATCTTCGGTACAGAGCTGCCACCACCTCCGCAGCCAAAGGTGCTCAAGACGACTTGAGGGCACTGCACAGCATCACAAAAAATCACAGCATGAGATGATGAAGCAGCATGGCATTAGATACCTAGTAGCGTTGGGCGTTCGGGGCACATGATACCACCACAGCAAGTGTTAATTGTAGATATTAAGACATCACTTGGTAATAATGATACCTAACAGTTCATGACACCACCGTTTCCTCAATACATACCTACATGTACAGTGCTTCCCCGTACACCCATGTTTCTTCCAGGTTGTATTGCGATGGCCGGCAATTTTGTAAAGCAACCTCAGGCATAACTTATCCGCAATCAACCTCGGCTTCCTTGACACGACCTCGTCTATCGATATACCTCCTACCCTCCACGAAAGCTCATAGAAACGAGCCACACAGTACATGTAGGTCAACGTCTGATTCAATTCTCGGGCTTCACGATTTCTCTCTCTATCTCTCTGCCTCTATCTGCTACTATTTCTCTATCTACCCCATAGCATCTAAAACACAACCGCCCACCCAGCATGTCGGCCGAAGCAGACGTCAAGCTCCATGACTTCAAGAACATTTTCTCGCTGCAAGGCAAAGTCGCAGTCATCACTGGTGGATCACGAGGACTAGGTCTCCACGCTGCATCTGGGTGAGTAGTACCAATGCATGCATGACTAGGAGGAGAAGGATGAAAAAGCACGAGAAGCACGAGAAGAAGCGAGACCACCAAAAAGCTAACCATCAACCCTTTCTTCTTCTTCTTCTCCTTCCACACAGTCTCGCCCAAGCTGGCTGCTCCAAGATCTTCATCACGTCCCGAAAAGCGCAGGCCTGTGAGGAGGCTTGTGCCGCTTTGAATGCCCTGCCCAACACGCAATGCAAAGCGATTTCCGTGCCCGCCGATATTGCGAAGCCAGGAGAGGTGGAGAGGTTGGTGAAGGAGGTGGAGAAGCATACCGATAAAGTGGATATCCTGTTCGCGAATGCGGGTGCTACTTGGGGGGCAGAGTGAGTATTTTGGACATTGTCGCGCTCTTTGGCTCTTCACGATGCGTTTGGAGAATACGCTAGAGTTGTGGAGTTGGGGGGATTGTTGCGACGACAATGCTGGATGTGGAGCTGACTTTATGTGACAGATTTGATAAACACCCGGAGAGTGCTTTCCAGAAAGTTATGGTAAGTTCATCACAATACATACCTGCACAACAAGATGAGACCGTGTGGTCACGGGTAAGGATTGTCCATTAACAAAACCCACAGGACCTGAACGTCAAGAGCGTATTCGTCTGCTCACAGAAGTTCGCACCCCTTCTCCGCAAAGCCGGATCGATCTCCGACCCTTCGCGAATCATTGTCACAGCATCCATTGCTGGAATTGGCGTTGGAACACTGGGAAAGCAGGGAACATTCGGATACAGTGCTTCGAAAGCCGCAGCACTCCATCTCGGCAGGAACCTCGCACTCGAACTGGGACCGCAGGGGATTCTGGTGAATAATATCGCACCGGGTTTCTTCCCCAGTAAGATGGCCAATGGACTGATGGAGATGAGTGGCGGCGTGGAGAAGTTGAAGGAGTCAAGCCCGAATAAGAGGTTGGGCCATCCGGAGGATATTGCTGCCGCTGTGGTATTCCTTTGCAGTCGGGCTGGAAGCCACTTGAATGGTGCGACGATTGTGCTCGATGGTGGGAGTGTATTGCAAGCGAAGTTGTGAGAGATATAGGGATTGCTTGGTTCATGTCATCACAACAGTTCTCTTTTCTTTTTCTTTTTGTGGTACTTCTTCCATCTAAAGGCTTCACGATGCTGACCGCAGACTGACAAGACATGGGAGATTATCATGAAATGTTCAATATAGTATGACATTGGAGAAGAAATTGCCCATCAACGGCAAAACTAATTACACGACTACAGGTTGGTACCTACCTAGTTCAAGAGTCTACGTCGTACCAATGCTGGCTCACTCGGCGGCCGCCAAGGCTTGCAATCAATCGCATATTTCTCGCGTTTATGCATCTATACTTACCTGTATTGCCTCAAGTCTGACAAGGGACAGCGAGAGACGAACAATACATAACCCTCCCGTGGGATTCTGTTGATGAAGAGCGAACATTGCCCCATACCACATGTCAACATGGCGGTCTCTTTGCCGCCGCCACCCTTCACGCACGCACGCACGCATGCTTGGACCTATCATACTGCGTACCTGATATTTCCGAGCATGGTGCAAAGATCTGGTATCTGGGGTCATACAAAGAAAGGTTCAGGCGAATGGGTAGTGAACAATGTGGTAGAGTAGGGTGGAGCGGGTTGAAGATCACATATAGAAGATCGTAATCGGTGCGACGTGTTTAGTTCGACGTGATGGGATTGCGACTCGTATCGGCTTGCAAGATAGATGAGAGTGCACACCACAGTGTTATTGTGCAGTCGAGAAGAATGGTCTGGGAGGGACGGGAAGCTGTCAGGTACACCACCTCTTCTGTCCATGACGGACAAGGCGAGACCATGTGACAGCCGATGCGACCGCTGATTGGTGGTCTCCAAATGCAGGTGGAGGCATCCCAAGAGGAGGCAGCCGGATCACAGACACGCTTTGAACAGCTCGTCGTGATCACATGCGCCTCGCTCACCATTATCGATATTGTTGTCGTTGCGACAGATAACTAGAACTATCTGTATCAACTACCTACCTACTATAGGTACCTGATCTTCCTTATACCTGACCTACCTTATGCTCGCAACTGAACTAGATCCCCACTCCCACCAAGCACATCTCACGCCGCTCGCGAGGACAGAATCAATATTCTAATCAATTCCCTACCTAACTTAATGCTTTGAGGATCCCAGCCCTGCCCCAGGCACTGCCCCAGCTGTCCACAACTTCTAGCCGTCGAGACTCTTTCGACCGACTTGCCTGTGCTTCATCTCCAGGCTCACGTGCAACACGTGAGAAGATATAGCACGCCCCGACGAGAAGCACTTGTGAGTAACATCCCTTTCATACGCCTGTAGCAAGACGCGCAACCTCCACACCGGCGCCTCCAATACCGATCGCAGGACGATACCATCCGCTCACTGCGACCCGCGCGCTCACCACGGCCTCCCCGCTGATGCTGTTGCATTGCGATGAAGGCCGATGGTGATGAGGATGGCGCGCGTCGACGGCGACGCCAACTTCAACTCACCCGTCGCGGCATGCCTCGAGACCGTCGCGCATACAAGCGTATGACGGCGACTGCAGCGCCGTGGGCATGAAGCATGCTGGCACAGAAGCATGAAGCTCGTCCAGCGTCTGCAGCAGCCTCGCAGCTGGTTGCCTTGACTGTCCTTATCGCCGTGTGAGGCGGCGCATGACTGCACATATTGCTGCCGTCGAGTCACATGGACGCGCGACTCGATCACGAGCTGACATGTCTTGCACCACAAGTGCAGTAGTAGCTTCTTCACACACGATACGACCCGCGAAACGCGCAGTCGTGACCGAGACACCTCCCGGCGAACCACGCCGACCTTGTTCGCGTTCCCCAGCGTTTAGAGTACCTACCCCCCGCCCCGCTTCACTTGTTTCAAGAAACAATCGTAATGGCATCAATCACGAGCAAGCGAAAGCGCGACAGTAACGACCTACCACAAGCTCGAATTGGTCCCGGTATGGAAGCCAATCAGTTCGAGTCGCATTACAATTTACCCGACGACGATGGAATGGGCCATCACCAGAACGAGATGGCCTTCCAGGCACTGGCTTCGCACAACGCAGACATTGGAGATTCCGGAGACATGCAACACCAGCAGAACCACGGCGATATGCATGCACACCACCACATGGGACCACAGCCCGGACAGAGCGCGAGCGATACGGCAGCGGCAGCCATGGCGCAATACCACACCATGACTGTGCCCCAATCGACGGAGCAGGCCTTCCAGAATCAAATGAACCATGAGCAGTCCGGCGAGAGACCCACGAGTAATCCCATGGATCAAGGCAACATGGTTGGCCAGCAGAGGACACCGAGTTTCGGCGACTTTGACCAGAGCGGTGCCAACGATGGCATGGCTCCTCCGAACGGCGCAGGATCCCCGACTGGAAAGGGCGCAAACAATGGGCAGGGCACGCCCAAGCCTCAAGTAGGCACTGAAGAGTGGCACAAAGTTCGACGAGACAATCACAAAGAGGGTGCGTATTTTCATATGGCCCCGCTGTCAGTGATCACCAGCTAACGTCCACCAGTCGAGCGTAGAAGGCGAGAGACCATCAACGAAGGCATCAACGAGCTTGCCAAGATCGTGCCGGGCTGCGAAAAGAACAAAGGCTCAATTCTCGCTCGCGCAGTTCAGTTCATAACACAACTAAAAGAAAACGAGACGCAGAACATTGAGAAGTGGACGCTCGAGAAATTACTGACCGAGCAAGCCATCGCCGAGCTCAGCTCCAGCTGCGACAAACTCAAGGCCGAATGTCAGCGTGCCTGGGCCGAGTGTGAGCAATGGAAGAAAGCTGCGGAGAATGTTGGTGTACACATCGACACGGATGCTAAGGAACCAGACGAGGCCTAGCCGGTAGGCCATGGGGATGGAGATGGGAATCCGCGGCGCTACTTTGTATGCTTTTTCAGACCCCAGACTTTTTTGCTGACCCACGACCCGAGTGATGATGATACCTTTTATATCTGTGTGAGTGCTCCATCATGGCACACTATCGCCAGCACGAACACACACAGAGACACGAATGGCGTTTTTACTGGGACGGGTTCATGATACACCAGGAGCTTGTGCTTGCCCTGTATTGCTTCGATTGGAGAATCTGAGAATATTTCATTTTCATTTTCCCGTATCTAGAGTTGTGATGGATAGTTCACATCACGACTTTCTTTTTCTGGAAACTGAAAACCGAACTGAGAGTGTCCGTTTCCGGTCGTTTTCGCGTAATCTGTATTCTCATGTTACAGGTGGATCTGCAAACAAAAAGAATGCGATCCCGTCACCCTCCCAACGCCGCGCTCAATGCCATGTTTTGGTCCCTCTCAACCTCACAGGGACCATTAATGGAAGACCATCCAAGTCATGAAGCTGTCTTGTTGCCATAACCTCATCCAAAGTGCCTTCCTTGCACTACGTCTAGTAAAAAGACTCGACCATGGAGTTCTTGTTCTGCTGGATCGTGCTGGGTCCCATTCCCTCGCCCAATTTGAACACGGACTCAATCACGCTCAGCTCCGTCGCAGTCGTGTCCAGACCGGTCACGGCCATCCAGTCATTGACCACCATGCCAGCGCCCACGACGGGACTGCCGCGATTGACACTGCCCGCTACCAGCGGCACTTGCAGCAGACTCGACAGCTCATCCTGATCCTGAATCGACGTCTTGGGATGCACGATCCCGCCTTGATTCGACAGAGACATGTATGAGCCCGTCAGCACATTGTCCGCAATCGTCTGTCTGAACACTTCCACGCCGAGCACATCGGCTATGATTTCCTCCGTCTCGCGCTCGAGATCGGGATGTACAAGCGCCACATGGTCGTTTGCGCAAATGACGTTGCCCAATGCTGATAGTCGCTCTTCTATTCTCTGAATTTTGACTTCATCGGGAATCGAATTGCGGAGATGTTGGAGTTCTTGGTCGGTGGTGGATGTGGGTACGAGAAGGCCTTTTTTGTTGCCCGCGGTGAGTCGTCCGACGATGCGTGTGCCGGCAATGGTGCAGTGGCAGATGGGAATGACATCTTGCAGCTCGGCTTCGAAGACGGAGTAGAAGTTCTCGGAGGCACCGACGGCGACGAGGGCGTATGAGTTGGTGAGCGTGGAGAAGACGCCGACTCTGTTGGGGTGGTTATGTGTTAGTTCTTGCTCGAGAATTTGCTGCAGAGGCTGACTTCATATGGCGGGGCAGGCATACTCGTTGGAATTTTCGAATGAGGCACGGACTGCCATGATTGCGGTTGTGGTGTCGTTGCTTGTGATGGTTGTGTTTTCCAATGCGGCGACGGAGGCTTTCAACTAGGGAGGTATATTGGGGCTCTCAATGTGCTTGCGTTGATGCTGAAGGTGCTCTGACGGAAGTTTTGAAGCTGATGCCCGCTGAGGTAATAATGGCTTGCTAGCGTGGCTGGAGTCATCCATCCATGTACTCACCACGACCGCCCGCCACCCGTTCGCAGAACCTGGAGGATGATTCATCGTCTCTCATCCGCACTCATCGCCATGATGCATCTCAATTGGATCAGATACCTAGCTAACGCCGCGGTGACTCACTTGTGCGATGACTTGGCATTTTCAGTCAGCATCTCAGAATCGATTGCTGTCGTCTTATCCGTCTATACGACAGAGCAGCCTGACTGGACCGAAGGGATGGGCCACGCGACAATTGACGTGCCGAGATGCAGGCCATTGAAGCCTTCGTCGCATCGGTCGACAACTGCTGCTGGTCTGCTCGTACAGCGACATGAAATTGTAACAAGGTGGAAGTCGCAATCTACAGGTAGGTACAGGTAGGTATCACGACGTGCAGAAGTGTAGGTACCGTACCTTACCGTCACATACTACTGAGTATATAATCCATCGCTGCCTGGGCGGCCCCCTGCGTAGACGAGCTATCAGTCCTATGCATGCCGATTGATTGACCTCATTTCGAAACTGGATGGGAAAAGGTACAGCGGCGCCATTGCAGTGACCCGCGAGAATAATGGATACTACGGTCAAGCACGGCCTTAATATAAGGTCATGTTATACTGTATCCGCACCCTTCCCTTCCACGTCAAAAAGGCCCGCCAACCGCTTACGGAAACTGACTCACGCTCCCATCTCCCATCTCAGCCAATTTGGTTTTTTCGGCATTTGAGTCAATCGTTGTTGAACGTGACAGGCCTTCTTCCGGTGTCCTGTACACTGTATACCTGGAGCCTGACTCAATTGCAGCGTTTGGCTTCTAGCAAGCTACAAATTGATCCTGCAGAAGAACCGGCTATCGAGCACAGACAACAGTACAATATACGTATGACCAAGCGAGGCATGATCGCTCTGCAAGGTGACTACCTAAGTAATACTACGAGAGATGATCTACTCGCGGGTTGAGTCGCAATATTGCCGAAGCTCGCTCATGATAATCAACTGGAGCTATCGGCTGCCGAGAGACGACGGAATCGAGCCACGTCGAGCTGATGCCCAAGGAAAACTGTGTACCTCATGTACGGTAAGGTACTTGAGCGTGATGTATGTCATCAATTTCAGTATAGGTGAGCAGGCTAAATTCCGAAACGCGCAAGAAGCTCCTCTGCCGTGGCGTGTATCACTCCATTCCGTATGCTCGGTTTCTTGCCTACGGGTTCTCGGCGGGGCACGAAACAGGCTTGACGTGCATACGGCAGAAGGTGGAGCAAGTAAGGTAGGTAGCAAACAACGGCGTAGGTTAGGTTAGGTGGTAGGTATGTAGGCTTCTCTCGAAAGTCGTCGATCAGACATGTTCAAGCCGTGTACAGCGGACTGAGTGGAGGGCTTCCTGACCGTTGCGAAACAGACGATGGAGTTGCGAGAGCGTTCAAGCCCGCTCCGGCTGATCCAACGCTATGGGGTCTTTGCATCAGTCGGAGGAGCCAGCGTGGGCCGAACCGCCTCTTCCTAGCTCTTGATCGCTAGTTTGACAGTCGTGCAACCCAAAGGCAAAGGGTATCGCATTCACACGCGAATCGCCGACGTGCGGTGGCAGGTTGTGCTTGAAACGGCTGTCTCAACGGGCGCGCATAGGCAGCACCAGAAATGCCACTTGCGATGCACCGACTCCCACCTTGCGCAACGCTTTGTCCTGGCAACGCCATCCGCAAGTGAGGGCGCTGGAAGGAGAGATGGCAAGGCAGGGCATGTTGAAGATTATGAGCCGATTGCATTAGTCAATCTATATAGGGGCTTGTCTAATCCATATATAGCCATCAAATGGTACCGATATCGGTTATACCTATACGTCAGTCCTGTCTCTCGAACACTCCTACTTAACCGATTGTCGGTTACTATAATACCTTATAACTCCTACTTAAACAATATCCCTTAGTCCCCTCTTAAAAAACCTCTACCTTTATAGTAGGAAAAGAGTAGCTATTCAATCCTTACAAGCATACCGTTAACTCCTAAATCAATTCCTAATTATTCTATTCCTTTTCTTTCGAGACCTTTAATATCCTCCCTTCGTTAATTCCAAAAATCCCTATTCCTCTTACGTATCTTTTAAACGTCGTCCGATCTAGGGCCTTTATAAAGATATCCGATGTATTAATATGTCCTAGTATATATATAAGCGTAATAGTTCTATCTTTAACCAAATCCCGAGTAAAGTAAAACTACACTCGTATATACTTAGTCTTCTTATATATTTCCGGATTGTTCGCTATTCGAATACAGCTCTCGTTGTCTACTTTAATTCGAATCGTCTTCTAGGGATATCCAAAGTATTCTAGTATATATTTAAGCTATATAGCCTCCTTTGCGGCGTAGTAAAGTGCGGTATACTCGGCTTCCGTAGTTAAAGTAGCGACTATCGTTTGTTTCTTATATCGCTAGCTAACTACCGTTCCTCTAATAGTAAATATATATCCTCTAATTAACTTAGAATCTAATCGGTCCCCTACAAATTCGGCGTCGCTCTAACTAACTATATCCGCGTAGTCTCTAGAGTACTCGAGTCTAGTTTCTAGTATTTCTAGTACGTATCGTAGAATTCGTTTGATTTGCTCGTAGTATTTCTTTAATAGGTTTAAATAATATCGGCTTGCTATTAACATACTGAATACTAGGTCTAGTCGAGTTCCTAGTATAGTATATATCAAAGATCTAACTATCGATTAGTACTTAAGTCGGGTTTCGTTTAATACGGTATATCCTTCTAGAGTAGGTTCCTAGCGTTCCTTCGAGACGTAAGGTATTGTTGTTAGATTTCCTCGTATTAGGCCGAATCGTTCTATTATCGCTTTAAGGTATACTGTCTAAGTTAGTCAAATCTTACCTTTTTTCTAATCCCTTTCAATACTAATACCTAGGAAGAACTTGTATTCTCCTATATCCTTTATCTTGAATCGAGTCGACAATTCTTGCTTAACCCCTTAAATAAAATTCAAGTTAGGTCTAGTAATTAAAAGGTCGTCTACGTAGACAAGGATAAAGTAGTTGTCTTTCTTAAATACCGTAGAGTCAAAAGGATACGGAGAGAAACTAGATTGTTTCAATGTCTCTATTAGAGTCTAATACCAGATTCGTAGTACTTGCTTTAAGCTATATAGGGCCTTTTTCAGCTTGTATACCTTCCCTTTAACTTCGAAGCCTAGAGGAAGGTCTATATAAATCTCTGTATCAATATCTCTGTATAGGAAAGCTGTCTTAATATCTATTTAATAAACGTACTAACTAAACTTTGCTAAGAGCGTAAACAGAATTCGGTAACTTAATGCTTTGACTACGGCGGCGAAGGTCTCGGAGTAATTAATACCTTCTCTTTGTTCAAAACCTCGTATAACCTAGCGTACTTTGAATCGTTTAATCTAACCGTTAATTCCTCGTTTAATCGTAAAAACCTATTTGCTAGAGAGTGACGGAGATATAATCGTACCTTTATCTACAACGTCCTAAGTCTCGTTGTTAATTAGTAATTTGTATTTATTATTTACGGCATCCTGCTAGTGCTTTGTATACGGTGTATCGAGTACTTCTATTAATATCTTTAGTATTATAGGATCTTGTTCGATAAATTAGGCTATTAGTACTATAGCGTCGGTTTCTTCGGTAGGTTTACTTATTATTCTTTCCTTTGTATTATCTTCGAGTTCAATTTCTAGTATTAGTTCGCTATCACTTCGCCTTAAAGCTTAAAAGATAGATACGGAGTCCTTGCCTATAATACTATTATATATAAAGTTAACTATCGGTACTCTTTCGACTTATCGTTATATACTAAAGTAATAAATATCCTTCAATAGTTTGTTCTAAGGTATCTATATAGGTACAGGTCCCGTTTGCGTATAGTTAGGCATTAGCTAAAAAGGATTCGCTAATACTAGATTACCGGGGCGTTTGTGTTTCTCCTACTCGAATCGTATAGCCGATACCTTAAGATAATACGGAACATTTGAATAGTTCTTAGTCGTATTCGGTATTACTTCTTCTAGAGCTAGCGGAGCTATATCGTTTACCCCGATTGATAGTAGCTAGATAGGTAACTCGAGGATAGCCGTATCTAGCCGTATATCCTTATCGAAGAGAACCTCCTTTGCTCGCTCAACTTTTCTAGAGATAGGATCCTATAATCGGTATACGAAATAACCTTTAAAGCTAACGAGGACGCGTAGGTATACGCGTTCGTCGTACTTCTTTAGGAATTTTCGCTTCGGAACTAATTTATATATACGACATCCGACTCGACGGATATAGTCAAGTTCTAGGAGGTTACCCGTTAGAGCTTTATATAGTAACTTAAAGTTCTTTAACGAGGATATCGGTAATCGGTTGTTAAGGAATACTGCCGCCTTAAGTAATTTAGGCTATAGCTCGGGTACGAGCGCTCCGTCCTATTTTATACAGCGTACCGCATTCTAAAGTGTCTAATATTTTCTTTCGGTAACGCTATTCTAGTTAGGCTGATATAGTGTAGAAGTCGTATAGTATATTCTATAATAGACCGAGCAATTGATTACGATATTAGTGAATTCGGATCCTCTATTAGCTCGGATCTCCCGTATTAGGGCATTGTATTAAACTAGCATTCGCCGTTAAAAGTCTGCGAAGTATACGTATACCTTAGAGGATTGTTTCGTCTTAAGTATATATACCTAAGAGTATCGAGTATAGTCGTCTACAATTAGTAGGTAAAATCTTTTACTAGACTTAGATAGAGGTAAAGGTCCTCCTAAATTAATATATACTCTTTGTCTAGGTAGAACCGCGCGAATTGGTTCAGATATAGGGAAACGCTGTTAGGCTTTGTTTTAATAGTACGATTAGTATAAGAAGTTACTATTAATAAATTCAATTTCTAGTCGCTTTAGGTATTCCCTTAAAGCCCGTCCTCCGATATGTCCGAGTCGTTAATACTATACGTAGATTAGCAACTTTTGTACGGTTCGGTTATTAAAGAATAATACAGTTTTATTTAGGAACTAATTCGAATTCGGAGAGGATTCGGGGTAGTCTAACTAGTACGTAAGGAATAATCGCAAAGAGACGTCGAGTTTCTAGAGTAAACTAAATTAAGTTCCTATTGCAATCGTCTCGTTTGTTGTACGGTCTAAGAAGGTATAGGAGCCTCTAATTAATCGGTATTCTGTATTGTTTTCATTGATCTTTGCTACCGATAGTAGATTTATCGGCATCTATAGTACGTATACGACCTTAGTTAATATTATTTCTCGTAATCTATTAGTATAATTTACTATTAGGCGTAGCTTTCTAATCCCGATAATATAGAAACCAGTTCCTACTCCTATAATGTATACGGGTTTCGAGAGGGGCTCGTATTCCTCGAACTAGGATCGTTTATTATAGATATATTCCTCCGTACCTAAATCAATTACCTAATCAAATTTCTTGAATTAATATTATACTACTTTATAAAGGTTTGTACTCGGTAAAGTAGGCTTAACCGTCTTATAGTAGGCAATAAATGCTAAGCTGCTATTTAATAGAAAAGTTCTTAATTATTTAGGTCGGAGGTCTGCTAGTTAGGCTCTGTCTTTAAAGGTATTATATTCGTTAACCAAATTTAAGTCAACTCTTATACCTATAAACGATGTACCTATTCGAATATTCGGTCCTGTCGGTTAAGCGTAGTTAACTTAAGGACTTGTATCCGGGGCGGTGTTAGTAGACAGGTAGGCGTAGCGAGAGGGATAGACTACGGTCGAGTTCGACCTAGACGTACTCGAGTAGTTACCCGAGTTATTAGTCCTCGCTCGTTTGTTATCTCGATTTTTACGGAACTTCCGGTAGAGATTATTGTTTTGCTTAATACACTCTCCGTTAGTATATCCGCTCCTAGTATAATTTAGCTATTAATATAGCTGTTCTCTTGCTCTAAGTAATATACTAAGCGGTAGTATATTCGAGTTCGAGTTCCCTCTATTGTTGAATATTCGCTTTACGGCGAAGGATCGTAATTCTGTTAAGTTTGCTATTAAGTCTTGATTTCGTTAGAGACTATACTAATAATTCTCCGCTTTTGTTGTAAGTTTAGTAAAGGAGATAGGTTCTCCTATACTATATCCTGCGAGTAAGCAAATTTGACTAGTCGTATTAATCTAAGAACTAAAGTACTCGGTGTCTAGGGCTCTAAGGAAGTATAGGTATTTCTAAAGCTTAGTAAACTCGACCGGACCCCTTAAGCGATTCAAGTTATTAACCAGTTTGTTAAAGTCTTAAAGGAAGGTCGTAAAGTCGGTCGCGTTTCTAAATAAATATTCTTTTAGCTTTCGGTAGAGTTTTAGGGCCGTATCGATACCCGTTGTTGTATATACGCTATCTAGAGTAAACAATGCTCTAGATACTATTATAATGCCTACTATCTTTTTCTTTATATACTTCTCGTACGTTGCTTAAATAGCGCCTAATATTAAGGCGTTCTTTCTATTCTAGTCTACTATTTGTAGCAGAAAATCATTGTATTCCTCTACTAAGATTTCTCGATTATCGTCCTCTAGTTTAACTAGAAAATCTTCTAGGCCTAGGACGAAATTAATAACGCCGGTCTGTCGGTAGACGATTTTGAATTTATCGTACTAGTTATTGTAATTGCTGCCTCCTATAAGCTTAGGGACATCCCTAAAGCTCCTTAGATCAATACTAGCTCTTTTCGCTACGTCCTTATATAGCGCAGATTGTCTTATTAATCTATAGATAGTTACCGGAGTAGCTATGCTTCTTCGGAGAGGTATATTAACGGTAATGCCTAGTATTAGTACCGCTCCGAATCGTCGAGTATCCTTACTAATAATTAGTAATAGTTTACGCGAAAGTTGTCTTTTCGCTATGTCTTTAGAGTCGCTCTAAGAGTCGTCGTTCGTTAAGTCGTCGGAGTTACTAGAGTCGGGGTCGTTATTATTACTAGATGTCTCTAGGGCCGAGTTTGCCTTAGCCTAAGGCGCGTTTTGCGTAGCGAGTGTAGTTTAATCGGTAGTTGAAGTCGTTATAGCCTCGGTACGGCGTCGTAGTTTCGAGCGGACAGGTTTAAGATTTTTTAATAGGTATATAGAACTATTACTACCTTATATCCGTTCAGTTATATTAACTAGAATTGCGTTACCCTTAGAATCAATATCGTCTAATATACGTCGTAGACTAGTATTCTGCGCTAAGCTTTTAAGTAAGGTATAGATACGTAGAATACCCGTTAGTAGGTTTGTAGGTCGATTTATAGCTTCGAGTCGTTATTTCTAAATGTTTTTCTTCTAGCGATACTAAGCTAAGTATTCGCGCTGCTTAGCCTTACGTACTTCTTACTATACTAGAGTCTCGTTTACAGGTTTTCGTACTATTAAATTTTGACGGTTAGATATAGGAATAGTTATACTCCTTTATTTGAGTACGGAGTTATAGAGAACTTAGAAAAAGTGTAGAGGTAATTCTAAATCAATTAGTTAGGAACAGCGCGGAGAAACAGTACTCCTACTAAAAACAGAGAGTAGTATAAGTAATTCAATATAGGTCTAGATATCTTAAGGGATTAATAAAAATTTAGTAGTTCTCTAGAGTTTAACACAAAATTGATTCGTAGACGCGGAGATCGGAGACTAGGACAAGGTCAAATTGGCCGTTATCGGGTATAGTAAGAATTATAGTTTAGGTAGCAAGTCTCTATCTCTTTGTTGAAATCTTTAATATAACAAGTAATATAGAGAATATAGAGAACACGGAGAGGACAAAAGTATTATATAGAAAGAAAAGATATATTTAATTTAGAACTGTTTACAGTTAACGTAGGTAGCTTATAATCTTTGTAAAGTAGTGTTTTTAGCGTAAAGCTAGCGGAAGAACTTACCCGGGCTTATAACCTATTAAAGATTATAAGCCGATTGTATTAGTCAATCTACATAAGGGCTTGTCTAATCTATATATAGCCATCAAATGGTACCGATATCGGTTATACCCATGCGTCAGTCCTGTCTCTCGAACAGGGCATGGCAGGGCAGGGCAGGGGGAGTGGAGAGGCCGCACGAGATGGTCCGCAAGAGGGGGACTGGTGGAGTGGGTGTACTACCGCCGGTCCATACATGTAGGTTACCTATGTTATGTAGCTAGGAGGTTCCTAGGAGGTAATATCCATCGAGTGACATCAAGCTTCACGGCACGAAGCATCCAGCACCGAGCACAGAACAACGACGAAGGAGAAGAGTCATCAATAACGACGACGGTCGTGAGTTTTCCCGGCGGGGCCGTTGTCAAAGCATGTGAATGGCATGGTTTGCATGGGGGGTATGGGGAGAGAGAGGGAGAGAGTTGGGAAAGGTTGCTGCCGCACGGCGCACGGCCACTGGCGTGCTTATTAGTCCTTTATTACCTCTGGTGGTAGCTGATCATCAACCTGATCTTCTGCGCCACGCCAGCGGGCTGCGGGAGGGACTAGGGCCCGGGCAAAAAAGTTGTCCACCATCTTTTGCCCTTGACCTGGTCCACCTTGCACCAGCGCTCCTTGAATGCGATATCCAGAGCCGCAAGCTGTGCTGCGACCTGGCCTTCTTCGCCCTGCTTTCCCTTCTACCGCACCTCTTTCGCTTCGCTTCGCTCCCACTGAACTACCCTTCCTTCACTGTCCGGACCTTCATCTCCCGCCCGCCGCCCGCTCCTGTGCAGCAACAACAGTGGCGCATTCCACCCGCGCCGTCCCTTGCAGGCCGAGCTCTCTGGCGGCGACATATCAATCGCGCACCTGCTGCCCTTTCTGTGCGCGCGCGAAGACGTAGCATCGATGCCAGGTGCCTTGGAATTACGCTTCGCCCACGGAAGGGATCAGCCCATCTGCACATAGAGTGTTCCGGCTGCCTCCTCCCGAGCACATATCGCCTTTGATTGATATCGCCGCGCTTCGCTCCAGGACGACTCAACTTCCACTTCAACTTCCGCTTCAACTCCAGCTCCAGCTCCAGCTTCAGCTTCAGCTCCAGCTTCACAGCTTCACAGCTTCACTTGTATGTACATGCAATCGCCCGCCGCCGCCACCTCAGCATTGTACACTTCCGCCGCGAGTACGTGTCCCCACACCAGCCATCACACCCCGGCCTCTCCCACCTGCATGCACCTTCCGCCCTTCGCTCCGCGAGCTCTGTCGTTGCCTACCTTACCTGACCTCCTACTGTGCCTCCGTTGTCTGGTACTAACGCCTGGTGCGTGTGTCATGCTAACTGACTGGTCCAGCGCAGCCCAGCCTATTCCGAGCCTCTTTCATCGCCCTTACCACTTCAACTTTCGACCTTCGACCTTCGATTACGGCCCTGTCGCTCCCCGTGTAGCCACTGCAGGCAGGACTGACTTACACACCATCGTCCGAACGCTCTCGACGAACATCCATACAGTAATCTCCATTCTCGCACATACGTATCTTCGTTTCTGTAATGTCTCATGGTGCATCGAGCACCACCAACACCAGCAACAGCAATATGGCGTTTGCAAACGCTGTAGGTCCTCTCGCGATGGCAGTATAGCCTGAACACGGCGCTGACGTCCACCATAGGCACGATCATTCAACGATGTCAGGAACACTCACACAGCGGACAAGAAGATCGGTACCAACGGCATGCTGAAGCCAGCAGCCACGGGCAATACCTGGGGCTTTTCCAGCATATGGAGTGGAGGAGCGAATGGATCGAACATATCCACCAACCTTCGTGAAACTTCTCGATCGCGCGACCACACCCTGCAAGTGAAGACGCCTCAGCATGAGGAGATCGAGGGCAAGACTGGCTCTGGCTCGCTTGTGGACTCGTCCGTCTCAGAGGACTTTGTCGACCGAGGCTGGGCAACACGCATACCTGCCAGCGGACGACCTATGCCAACAGGACGACACACCGACAACACACTTTTACAGCAACGAAGTGCGAGCAATGCAGGACTACAAACGATGCCAGCCGCCCACACAAGTCTCATGTCTGTAGGCAGTCGACATCAATTTTCCAACTCAAATCAAACTGCCACGGCGCAGTCACGACAGCGCTACAACTCTACATTCGAATACAAGAACGACTTCGCAGCACAGCCCAGCGAGCAACCGCCATTCAAGGTTTACACTAAGCATGATCGGCCTGTTGATCCCGCCCACGGCAAGCCAGACTCAGCCAACGGATACTCTTCTACGACTCCGTCACCCTGTGAGGAACGGCGGCCACCATTTTCCTTGCAGTATGGCCGAACTGCGAGCATGCCCACGTCTCAGGACGGTAGTCTTCCGCCGTCTCGGGGTGCCGAGGAGGCCAATACCTGGACACCTATAGATTACTCCTCCAGATCCTCGCAGCGTGTGACCCCAGACACGTCCCGTGCGCCTTCGGTCTCGGCCAAGGGCAACGGTGCTTACAACCCTTATTTCAACGTCAACGTGGATGCGATGAGTTCAAACCTGCGACAGCTCAATATCAATGACAATAGTCGTCCAAGTACCTCGTACAAGCAGTCGTTCGGTCTCCAGAGCTACTCGGGATTTCAAGGAGCCAGTCAACCGGCAATGGCCCGACCAGGTCAATATCGCGAGGATGACATGGACCCCTTGGACCGTGCAAACATGCAGTATCTCGAGCTCGAGGATTATGCTCGAGATCTGCCTACCAACAATATCTCCTCCTCTTCGCTGGCAGAACGATGTCTCAATGGCGGTGGCATGCACGAGTTCCGCCCCGGTCAGCCTTACGTTGGTAGCGGCATGTCATGTCGATCTCAGGATCGCACTAATGGGTCTCGGACGCCTTCTGAATGGCAGAGCTTCTCTGGTGGAGCTCAACTCACGAATCGAAGATCGCCTGCCGTCGCCGAACAGCCTTCATACCTGGATCCCAGATTCCAGCAGTTCATGGCCGCACAGTTCCACGCTCGCCACCCGTATGGCATGTATAGCCCCTACGCATTGCAGCAACTCGGCCAGCAATACGTTCAGCTGATGCCGCTCGCCACGACCGCCTTCGATATGCCTGCCACTCCACGTGACAGTCCCATCACAGACTGCGTGCAAAGCGCGCTGATGTACGAGTTCAAATCTAATACCAAGACCAAGCGATATGAGCTACGGGACATATACGAACACATCGCGGAATTCAGCGGTGACCAACACGGATCACGATTTATCCAGACGAAGCTGGAGACTGCCAATTCAGATGAGAAGGAGCACGTTTTTCGAGAGATTGAGCCCAACGCGATTCCACTCATGACAGACGTGTTTGGGAACTATGTGATTCAGAAGTTCTTTGAGCACGGCGACCAAACGCACAAGAAGATTCTCGCCAACAAAATGCGCGGACAAGTACTAGCACTCTCTCTGCAGACGTATGGGTGCCGAGTAGTGCAGAAAGCTCTGGATCATGTGTTGGTAGACCAGCAACGTGAATTGATCACTGAGCTCGAAAATCACGTGCTCAAGTGTGTCAAAGATCAGAATGGGAACCACGTTATTCAAAAAGTAATCGAACGATGCCAGGCCACCACGATCGGATTTATTGTCACGGCACTCCAAGGACAGGTCCAGCAGCTCAGCATTCACCCATATGGCTGCCGCGTTATCCAGCGCTGTCTGGAGAAGAGCGATCTGCCCTCAAAGAGCATGATCATGGCGGAGTTGATGCAGGGTATCCCTAGCATGATCGCCGACCATTTCGGGAACTACGTCGTTCAGCACGTCGTGGAGCACGACGGGGGTGGTGAGGGAAGACAACAGGTGCTGAACATTGTCGCCTCGGGTCTCGAAGGCTACAGCAAGCACAAATATGCCAGCAATGTTGTAGAAGCATGTCTAGTACATGCTGATGATTTATGGCGGCAGAGAGTCATGTACCAACTGCTGGAGGCCAACGCACGACGAACGGAAGGAGAGGGAGTCCTTGTGGGCATGATCAGAGACCAATATGGCAACTACGTGATTCGTAAGTGTTCTGGATCGTGTGTTCTGCTTCGTATCACTTATAGCATTGCTGACACATTCACAGAGAAATTCTTGGATACACTGGTGCCAAACGACTTTAACCGCTTTCTCGGACCGCTACACCCTGCCATGGCACAAGCTAAGCGTGGATGCCCCGTGAAGCACATAATCTCGATCGAGAAGAAGATGCACAGATTCGATCCTCATCGGACCAGTAGCATCAACCATGGTCACGGTCTACCGTTCCACGGACGCAATGGACTCGATTTCCCACTTCCTATGCAAGTGCCAATGCAGATGCCAATGGCCATGCAGCCATTCGGGACGAATTACCACTCTACGGCCACCACGCCACCGCCACTCACGTCCGATACGCAGAGTTTACAGAGTTCCTGCCTTCCTAGCGTCAACGGTGATGCTGTCGAAGGCGCTGCCTCAAGCCGCAAAGGCAGCGATCCATCGAGCCTATACAGCATCGATGATGTACAAAGACGATAAATTCACAACAGATTCACATTTCAGGGGTGGCGTAAGACAACGCGTGATATGCATGGATGCATAGCGGCGTGTCTTTGAGGCGTACAGCAACGCTGGGCCACAACAGGGGACCATATAGGTAGAAGGAAGGGTCATCTGTGGAATGCTTTCGTATGATTTATGATTGGAATATGATATAGGGTGGCGCAGTATTGGATTATGGTGATGGATACCCACATGTATGAAATATGTACTGGAACAGGAAAACTGAGAGTAATAGAAATGCTCTCTTGAGAAACATTGCCATCGTGCCACTTCATATACCTCTTTGCCACGATTTTGCCCTTGTCAGAAGGCCAACGGAATCCTGTGGTTTATCGCTGTCGTGGTCAACAAGACATTGATATCGGATTTCCTGCTCGAGAAAGGTGCCGGCGCAAATGAATTGAAAAAGACCCGCAGCGGAGGTATGACAGCCAATTGTCCCTCACCACTTGTGTATGCTGGAATACATTATGTCGCCGGTCGGACACTCGGACATTTTTAGCGCTTCCCTTCCGCAGCCGAGGGAACCTGGAAGCCATTCTTGCCGCAAGCTGTCGAGCTCTTCAATCGCGTTCCCAAGCACTTTCTCTTGCCTCTCCCACCTCCCTCACCACAGCCCACAGCGAATACTGATCACTACTAATCCGCCTGCGATCATCGCCTCGGTTCGCTGTAGTCCGTCACACACCTGCGCGAAACTCATACATCATGTCGGCCGAAACGGTGGAAACGCTCAAAGCCACCATTGACAAGTTGGAAAGAAAAGTCCACGAGCTCGAATCACGGATAACAGGTCACGGTAGCTCCAGCAACGATGGCATGCGCATGATCTTGATTGGTCCTCCAGGAGCTGGTACGTGGATGCGTCGGGCGTAGCCCAAGACTTCGTGGACAGACAGGGCAACACAGATCACTGACCGGTATGTTTCCTGGCAGGCAAGGGAACTCAAGCCCCGAAGATCAAGGAGAAATTTGGCTGCTGCCATCTGGCAACAGGTGACATGCTCCGCGCTCAAGTCGCCGCGAAGACCGAGCTGGGCAAGCAGGCAAAGAAGATCATGGATCAAGGCGGGCTTGTGTCTGATGAGATCATGATTGGTATGATTGAGAAGGAGCTCGAGAACAACAAGGAGTGCAGTGGAGGGTAAGTGGTATATACCGCGGGAGCCAATGGCACACTTTCTGCTCACCATCTTTATGGCGGCGTGGTAGCCCAGCGGCAGAACCTGATTAATGCTGACTTGGGTGGAATAGGTTCATTCTTGATGGGTTCCCACGCACAGTGCCACAAGCGAAAAAGCTCGACCAGATGCTTGAGGCCAAGACGCAACCACTGAAGCATGCGGTCGAACTCGAAATTGACGACAATCTGCTCGTGGCCAGAATTACTGGCCGCTTGGTTCACCCCGCTTCAGGACGTTCGTACCACAAGATCTTCAACCCACCGAAGAAGGAGATGACTGACGATGTCACTGGCGAGCCATTGATTCAACGATCTGACGACAACGAGGTGGCGCTTAAGAAGCGTTTAAGCACCTACCACGCACAGACAGCACCTGTGGTGGACTATTACCGCACGACTGGCATCTGGAAGAGGATTGATGCTAGCCAAGACCCAGGCGCGGTATGGAAGAACATGTTGCAAATTTTCAAGGAGAGCGACAAAAGCACTTCGGGCGGACTGTTGGGCAAGTTGGGGCTGAAGAACTAGGAGCATGCATAGGCCGTCATCAGGTCGCACGTGTAATGCGCAGGAACAGGAACAGGTTTGGCGAGCAATTGTGCGGGCTATCGCGAGCCTGGCATGTTTTCATGAAGGCTATGGTAAGTGTGCATAAAAGCCGTGTCGCTGCATTGTGTATCATATGGGCGTGGTGTACTAGTGTCACCCAAATCAAATCCAACAAGATCGAGATGTCAGCGAGCCTTCCTTCCTCGCGAGTGAAAACGCCGCTTCTCGATTTTTGATGACTTCAAGCAGTGCGCCTTGCACTTTGGCAGATACACCACCACCACCACCACCCGGCGTCTACTGGAACGCAAGTCGGACTCTTGACCCGCGTGAGTCGTTGGTAAGCTCGGGAATTGCATTCACGACGGCATCGTTTGCTGACCCGCCGTGACAGTCGGCCATGAGTTCTTCGGCCAGCAGTATTCTCGACTTCGGGAATGAGTCCACCAAAGGCATTCGCCGTTGGGGCAGCAAAACACATACGCCCTCATCCAACGTTTCTACACCTCTGGTAGATCGCACCAACACTACAAGAGCCAGGTCTTCATTCAGTGCCAGTACCGCCGACAGCACACCCTACGCTGGTGGCATGACCACCTTCCTTCCTGAGATGCAGAGCACACCACCCATGCCTACCTTCCAGAAGCCAAACATGGAGACGCCCACTCCTTTGCGCAGAGGCAGGGGCGACGATGAGACCACTCCGTCACGGACTCAGGCCGGAAGGCGTTCTGTAATGCATAACGACGAGCTCGGCATCGACAGAATCTCGGGCTCAGCGTCACTCATGCGACCGAAAGGTGCATATGCGACCACACCCCTTGCTGATCGTATAGGCGAAACGCCAAATCTGCCTCGAGGATGGAGCCAGCAGTTGGATAGGGCGATCTGTATACTTGATGCCAGCGACTACACTCTTCCGGCAATTGTGGCCAAAGTTCGTCGCGTCTTCCCAGAGCTTAACGGCACTCTCACTCCAGCCATGATCGACAAGCGGCTGCGTCAGCTGGATCAAATCCCGGAGTTGGATTACTGGGCTATAGGATTAGCCAAAAATGAGAAGCAGCAACGGAGAGAGAAGGCAAAGGCATCAGAAGTGGAGAGTAAGAGGCTTCACAGCAATACTGCATCGCCTGAGGCTGGCAGAGGTCAAGCTGAGAGTTCTCGGGCAGCCAGGACTCGGACTGAGCACATATCTCACATTGAGCCTGGCGCAGACGAGCGCCCAACAACGCCTCCAGCCACACAAGAGCGCAACCTCGTCACCAGAAACTTTCTTACTGGCTTTCGCTCAGAGTTCCTCTAGCCCTTTCTTGCTGGATCAGCGACTTTTAGATGTAGCTGCATGCTCAAGGGTTTGAAGCATTTGCGATGACTTCGATGGCGGTATGAAAAAAAAGGACCTTTATGTACGATAATCATCTTATGCAAAGAATGTGCGAATTGTTCACATTTACATCTGTATCATTTCCACGCCTATTCAGGTTAGATGCTCACTAGTGAGGGTTTGTCGCGCACCACTGCAAAAGTCGCTCGAGAGATGGTACATGCCGGTTCGGTATTTCTGAGTGCATATTCGGAAACAAACTGCAGCACAATCAGTGTACATGTATCAGGACCATACAGCAAAGTGGCAATGGTGATGATGATGTAACATCTTCTCATTTTGACTGGCTCTAAAGCCCGTGTTGGGCGCTCACGCGCCCTCATGCTATCGTGCGTCTAATGCTGATGCCGGCACTTTTTCCGATGAATAACTAACGCCAGACGCCTCGCTTAGCCCACTCAATCAGCATTGGCAGCCACAATCCCGTCGTCACTTTCAGAAGAGTCTTCGTCGCCACTGACTTCCTGTTGTTCACGCTCTTTCTTGTCCATGAGGGCCTGTAGTTCCGCGTCGTCGTTCTCGGTAACTGCCTTGGGCGCCATTTTGATAGTGCAGCTTCCACCCGCGGCTGTGATCTTGGCAGCCACATCTTGGATGGCTTCGGTGAGGACATCGATTCCGTTGTTCTTGTCGATCGTCTGCGAGGTGAGTACGTACATGGGTGGCGATACCAGACGAACTTTGACTTGAGTCTCGGGCGTGTTCTTCGCCTCTGCGGCGCGAAGCGCGGTCTTGACGGCATCGATACCCTCGTAGCCAAAGCAGGTAACCTAGTCAGTAGTCAGCCAACTTAAGGGTCCTTGGCTGCTGCTGCTGCCGCCATCGAGGTGGAGGTTATGGGGCGTAAAGTGTGTCTTACCTCGATATCCGCGCGCACTTTCGTAGGCTGCGGCGTCAATCGCTTGCCAATGTAGCTCACCAACTCATCCTTGATAGCGCTGCTCTTGAAAGTCACCTCATTCCATACGTCGGGATTCGTGATGCTCAGCTTGAAGGCATCCACAGCATGTCCATACTTTTTGTTAAGAGGCCAGCCAATGTCCTGGTAAAGCTCCTCGATGGGCACGTTGATCTTTTCGGCCACGTGACGCATAATGCTGTGCACCATCTTGCCCTTATTGTAGCGCTCCTCGCATTTGACGATATCCTCTGGTGACACTCTTCGCTTCGACAGATCGATGTAGCCCTTGTCCTTGTCGACACGCAGCACCACCACGACTTCGTTGCGTCCCACTCGAATCAGCTTCTGGATAGATCGAATACGCCTGCGCGACAGCTCAGAGAGCAGAATCATGCCGTCGATGTTATCGTATTCCAGCAGTTTGACATAGGCACCCATTTCGGCGATCTGTTTGACGTTGACCATGACGAACGAGTCGATTTCGGGGAACTTCTCCTCATAGAAGCGACAATTGGTGAGAGACATGGTGGCGGGCTTCTCGTTGTGAGCAGTCGTCGGCGGCTTGCGATGAAAGGGTGCTCTCGCAGGTGTTGACAGCGGGTGAAGTTGAATTGATGTCGTGTGCTTTGTTGCTCGCTGGGATGTTGGAGGCAATGAATGCGAGTCACATTTCTTGTCGCGAACCGCCCCGCCGTGCACGCACACGGCGAAATGGTTTTGCCGTTCCGAAGCTCTATCGTGCATTTTCACATGGCGCGCACATCCATCTACCACCCACCTGTACCTAGGAAGTATACATAGCATCGCCACTGCTCATCAACATAAAAATTCTTCACCGAAACCAGCTGACAGACACACCTGTATACATCACTTTGCTATGCCAGGACGACACGCCCAGAGACCCACCGTCGACGAGACGCTCTGCCGGAGATGCCAAGAAACGGAGCCCGCTATCGTGGTGCGCAATGAGCCACTGTGCAGCGCTTGCTTCAGCAATTATGTGCAGACCAAGGTGGTGAAGCGAATGGAGAGCTTTCGCGTACGCAACGCCGAACCCGGAAACGAGCAGAAACTGCTTTTGCATCTCTCCTTCGACGCTTGCTCCCTCGCCTTGCTTCACATCCTAAGCCGGCATTTGAAGACACAGGTCGCGAAGACCGGGCGGCCTGGCTACAAGATCATGGTCCTGCATGTGTACCAAGGACCACCAGACGCTACAGGCAGTAATGATGATTGCCTTGCGGCAGTGAGAGTCAAATACCCGGAGCATGAATATCACGCTATCTCAATTGCGGATATGCTGGCCTTGGAGAATGTATCAACCCTACTGTCGCAAACAGCAGCACCATCGAGCGGAAGTGATGATGCTGCACATGAACGTCTGTCGCAGCTCTTTACAGCCGCAAAATCAGCGACTTCGCAGCAAGATCTGAAGCAGCTGCTAATGCGGCAACTCATTGTCCAGCAGGCTAAACAACACCATTGCCGTGCAATTATTTGGGAGCATAGCACTACCAGGCTAGCTGAGCAAGTCCTCGCAGAGACCGCCAAGGGTCGTGGCTTCTCATTACCATGGGTAGTCAATGACGGAGCTTCGCCTCATGGCATACCCTTCTACTTTCCACTTCGAGAGGTGTTGAACAAGGAGGTGGATGCGTACCTTTCTTGCTTGGATCCGCCGCTTGGCATATCGATACAACGAGCCACTAGACCGGCAGTCAGTACTAAGAACACCACCATTGACGAACTCATGGCACAGTACTTCGAAAGTGTAGAGCAAGAGTATCCTTCCATCGTCGCGAATGTGGTCCGGACGACAGGCAAACTGAGTTCTGCGACAGCAGTAGCACAAGTCGAGCAACAATGCGAGCTTTGTGCTATGCCATTAGAGGGCCAGGCCCCCGCGAGAAGCAGACTTTGTTACGGGTGCATCCGAGTCTTGCCTCAGACCAGTGAATGAAAGTCGCTTGGTATCGCATGCAACTCGAAAAGGACGAGAACTTCTCGCAAGATGAACCTCGACGGCTGTCCAAATCACTTACTTTGACCCAATGAGCCCTGAAATACATTCCCTTCAGAAGAAATCCCATCTTCTTCAGCGTGCCCAAAGGACTTGCGCACCACTTCCTGGGGCTTTGCCTACAAGTCAGCCGCACAGCTGCAATATACCCCTTGGAATGTACCAGTTACCTCTCCTGGTTTGCCGACCGAGACGAAGGTAGCCCCAAGAATCGCAGCCGTCTGTGCCAAAGGCCTCTCATTGCTAGTGTCGAGATCCAGCAGCTGCGAAGGCATCGACAGTGTTATCAAATGACAGTGTCGGCGAGGTTCCGGTCCATGTGGGTATGGTTGAGATGACTAGGTCAGCCATGGAGCTTCCATAGCCTGCATCATCTGTGAATATGGAAATGTAGAAACCGATTCATCGGCACCACAATTGACCAGCGCAAAGAGTTGGCTGCGGTCTGCAACAAAGGTCAGTCAGTCCCAAGGTATATGGAGTAGCACAAGCATGCCTCCTGTAAGTCCAAATTTTGTAGAGTATCAAGACCTTCTCACCCTCCTACGAGCATCAAAATTGTCAATCTTCTTTCACGGTCTCTCATCAGTATCAGATCCGATACAAGGCTGTTTTCTCGTCAGTCTAGTCTCAACAACTTCACTGGCAATTCCTCTAGCCAATTCAAGCTCAAACGTGTAGGATGGGACTACATACCTAACTATTCGATTGATTCCTCTGCGAATAATGTCGGGTAGACTCATGCCGTGTCCAGGAACAATAGTATTGGAAGGGATGGGAGGACCAAGCTTTGCACTTGGAATTACAGTCTGCTTCAATCCTCCTCTTTTAATCTGCTACCTTTGACAACAGAAGATGGGGCACCTCTCTCATCTCCATTTACCGCTCCACTCCCCACCACACCGTCATATCCACCATCTTGTACGAAGAAATCCGCCTCGTCGATCAGATCCCAGATGATATCTTCGGCAATCTGCTCTTTATACCTCTCTCCCACCCCTCTCAATTGCCTCCCAGGATTCCATCCATTCTTTCTCCCGCTCGCATCAGCGCCCGCATCGGGCATATCTATGTCTGGTCCCTGACCTGCTGCTGCCGCTGAAGTCGTGTCGCGTGTATTTCGAAGATGAGCAGGCGGACACCAGAAACCGTTGGCAGAGTCTCCAAAATTGACTTCTACTATTCCGCCGAAGAAGCAAGAAACTGCTGGAAAATATCCCGTGAGTCCATCGTCGAAACCCTCTCGGGCACCCATCGTCTTGCTTGGAGCACTTGCAGGGGGTAAGAACGCCAAGAGGTTTTCAAAAGCGACGCCGATCAATTTGCCGTTTTTGTAGACCCTAATGGCACTATGTGGCAGAGTTCGTAAAGCAGGATATTCGTTGTGAGGATTTGGTGCTGTCTTGATGCTTTCTTTATTCGAGCTTGGTCCGTTTGTAGGTAGGTGGTTGAGATTCGTCGTTCTATCGGCGTATATCTCCATCGGTTTTGACGCGACGTGGTCAAGTACTTCAAAATAGCTGTTACCTTTGTACGCGACTGGTATGCGATCGCGAATGATGTCCATGGGTTGCGTGTCGGCGTCTTGATGTGAGCCCTGATCGAAGCCATCGCCAGAGTCAACGGCGTGGTTATATATGCCGTCGACCACTTTGCGGTGCAAAGAAAGTGAGGGAAGCTGGATTTCAACTCCAATCACGTCGCCTTCTTTGACGTGCTGATCTTCAGGCGCAAGTACGAGTGGCGTGGGGCCATTCTTTGCAGCGGCCTTAGATTTGGCCTTCTTGGGGTTGTAGAACTTGCCCGGTCTGCTGCGATGCATGGTCTCAAATCTAATGTCCGTGATACCGTAGCTGTATCCATCGAAGCCTACCGGTGCGTCCAGCGGAGCTTCTCGTCTAGCCCAGCCGAAGCGCACATGAGGCTCGGGCCCGTTCGCGGCTGGATCAGGACCTTCAGGCGGCACGCCTCGATGCACCTTGATCTCATAATATAGAGTGCCTTCTCTGGCACACACGTTTGATCTGACCATACGCCAGCCCTTCTCATTGGTGGTGACAAGGGCATTGGTGGTAAAGTGCATCCACTTGTCGGCATCTTCAAAGCTCAATCGCGCGTAATGAGGAGGAGGAGAAGTTGATCGGTAGAATTGCTTGTGCGGGAATGTCGGGTCTGCAATGGCTCTTGAGTATCGATAGCCTCTCTTGTTTTCGGCAAGATCGATGGGCTTGTACAGTTGTCGATCAGAGTCGGGCATGGTGAGAGGAACAGGCTCGTGCGAGACCATCGAGTCTTCTTTCGGCTCTTCGAATGCTTCTGCTTTGGGTGGTGGTACGCTGAATCGCATGGGAGATGGATATGTGTGCTGCTTGGTGCTCGCTTTCCTCTTTCCCAAACTCGAAGTCGACTTCTTGTCCTCAAAAGCGCCCAGGCCCATGCTCTCGCGTTTTTTGAGGGATTCCTTCTTCTCGCGCTGTTCTCGTTGGATCGGCGGCGGCGGTGGTGGTGCTGGCGCTCGCGATGCCTGCTCCAGCGTCGCCGGCAGAGTCGTGACTCCATTTCCTTCTGCCATGATTGCGATTCCTCACTTTCCCTCTGTAGGGGTGTGAGTGGTGGTGTTTTGATAAAGACGAAGCTCGTTCTTCACTACCAGGTATGGAATTATGTCTCGACGCGTGCCTGCCATGACATCGCGGCTGCTATCGCGCGGCCGTCAACGTCGGGCCGATCCCCTCACAGTGATCCCTGTCCAGAATGCCAAGACTCGAACAGGGTCTCAGAACTTTTTGAATGAAGCTGCGACCAATACAGTATAATGAACTCAAGTCTGCAGAAAGGCAGTAAGGAAAGTGTACAAAGATGCCCAAAGCAGCGCGTTCCAACTCTACGGCTCGTCAGGAGCGACGACACAATCCACTCAGCGAAGAGTACTCCCCCACCACGCCTCTCAAGCAAAAAGCAGGCAAGAAGAGGAAGTCGACGAGTGAAGCGAACGGCCAGGATGGATATGTGGACAGCAAATCGTCGCGAAGAATCCTTGACTTGGGGCAGGACCTGGTCGACGAAGATGAAGCCGAGCGACAAGCGAAGAGGCCCGCAGTAGCAAATCCCGCATTCTCACTCCGAGCTGACGAGGATGAGGATGAGGACGGCGGCGCCGAGGTGGGCGAGTACGACGAGGAGGAAGCCTGGGCGTCAGACGAGGAGGTGGAAGAGGTGGAAGTCGACCCCGAAGACAACGAAACATGGAACAGGCTCATGGGTGGCGGAGAGGATCCTTCAAAACTGTTCGACCTGGCGGGACAACCACATCATGATGGAGGAGATGAGGAGGAAGAGCCAAGAGGACCGGACTATCTTTCGAATTTGATTCTGGAGAAAATCGCGGCGCATGAAGCAGCACAAGCAGGAGGCGACCCAGACGCAGCGCCACGAATAATTGGAGGAGGCACGCTTGAAGATGCTGTGCAAATGGACCCCAAAGTCGTCGAAGTCTATACACAAGTCGGTCTGATTCTGTCACGATATAAGAGCGGAAAATTGCCTAAGCCATTCAAAGTCTTACCTACTTTACCACAATGGGATATCCTTGTCGAGATTACACGCCCGGAGGACTGGACTCCCAACGCCATTTACGAAGCCACCAAAATTTTCACTTCCTCACGACCAGCTGTCGCCCAGGCATTCTGCCAAGATGTGCTTCTCCCACGTGTACGAGAAGATATACGAGAAACGAAAAAGCTCAACGTACATCTATACAAGGCGATGAAGAAATCACTTTACAAGCCCGCAGCCTTCTTCCGCGGTCTGCTCTTTCCTCTTGTCGGCTCCGGGACATGCACACTACGAGAAGCTCAAATCATTTCTTCGGTCCTCCAGCGTGTCTCGATCCCTGTTCTGCATTCCGCCACGGCACTTTATAGACTTTGCGAAATCGCAGCCGACCAAATGATGCACGATGTCGAAGCGGCCGGCGCGTGCAACATGTTCATTCGAACACTACTCGAGAAGAAATACGCTCTTCCCTTCCGTGTAGTCGATGCGCTTGTTTTCCACTTTCTCCGCTTTCGCCAAATGCAAGACTCGAATGGCGAGGATGTGAATATGGAAGGCACCACAACTCACGGCTTTCCGGGAAAGAAGGGAGCTGGTGACCCGAGATTGCCCGTCATATGGCATCAGTGTTTGCTAGCTTTTGCCCAGCGTTATAAGAATGAGATTACGGAAGATCAGAGAGAGGCTTTGCTTGACTTGTTGTTGGTAAGAGGGCACAAGCAGATTGGTCCGGAAGTGAGGAGAGAATTGCTAGAGGGGAGAGGAAGAGGAGTGATTGCTGAAGAGGCTTTGGCTGATGGGGGTGATGATACCATGATGGATGTTTAAGGTGCTGACGACGTATCTACTCGACTGCTTGCTCGGGATCAAAGATGGGCCGATCCATCCTTGGTCGATGCGAGTAGATAGACATAGAGCTGAGAAGAAGCTTTCGAAATTAAAAGTCTTCTGAACGCTATTAACGTAAATACCATTCCTCCACGAACGCTTCCTTACTATTATAACACTCATAAAACACCCTCCCTCTCTCATCCTGCCAATGCAGTCCTCCTCCCACCCACCTCGTCCCATCAGACTGCCCCTCTTCGGGAAAGTATACTCTGCTCGAGGCTGGATGAATAGCCCCGACTTTCGAACCTGCATCAAAGACGACAATGCCCTCCTGCTCATGGAGTTCTAATCATCGTCACCATAATAATGCACTTGAGCTCTCTGTCGACTAGGGAGATTTCGTGCTCACGGAGGAGCTGGTATCGCACGAGTCATCATATCGCTATTGTCATTGTTGTCCTTGTCGTTGTTGTTCTTATTGGGAATGGTGTCGGTGTTCTTGTTGCTGCTGCAAGACTGCTGTAGTGGCGGTTGTTGGTAGTAGAAATAATCTTCGAAAGGGTTCGTGGGAAATCTGCCATTATCACAACCTACCAAGTCGTTGAGAAAGAGGAGTGTTGCTAGCGTTAGTATTGCGATTTTTCGAGGTGAAAAGCAGAAGAAGCTCGAAACTCGCGCGGATGGAGTTGGTCAGTGTTGCGATTGCTGGGTGCTCGTTCGCCGCCGCCGCCGCCCCCTTTGATATTGGGTGAAGACAGCGACGGAGGAGGCGAATTCTCTTCAGACTGCAGATTAGGTTTTTTTCCACAACCATCATCATCATCACGAGTACCTGTATAGACTGCTCGAGGCCGCCCAGGTAACAGCTTGCTGTCCCTGCATACGATCTACTTCTTACGCCCCCATCCACCTATGTATGCGACCAAATAGCAAGGCAACCAGTAGGGAGCTGTTCCAGCAGCGGATCGATCTCGAACAATGTAGAGTTTCTTCCCTTGCGATGGCGATATCCGTCGTCGTCGTTCCATTCTGCCAGCCTTGACTCGACACTTATTCGTTGCCATGACGCTAACAGTGCCCATGGTCCGGGGCCATGGACGATTTGCTCTTCAGATCCTGTAAAAGAACGTCTCAGATGGTCGTCGGTTAGGGGATTATTCAGGCACTGTCAGCCCAAGGCAACAGCTTGATACAATGAGGTACCGAGGTACTCGTATTGTGAGGGCGCCTTGGCGGTAGTAAGGCGCCTTCACAACACGAGTACTACATGTACTTCCTAGGGACATCCTACTACCTAGGTAGGTAGGTATGTAAGGTACATGGTAATGTACCTGGTCCGGATCGATCTAGATGTCAGCTCTCCAGTGCAGATTGCAGACTCTGCCAGCTTAGTCAGCTGTAGAGACTACACGTCCCGGAGCAAAAAAAATATATTGAGACAGGTGGAGACTCACTACAAAGAAGCGAGCGGCGAAGAGGAGCGACGACAAGGAGGGGATATACGCCGACGGGGCCATTTGGCCCGCCTGAGAACCCGCTTCACCATCAACCATCACCAACACATCATCTTTCTCACAACATTTGAGCTGGCAGCGGGTCTGGATTTCTGTCTAAAGTTTTGTTGGTATCATGTAATGTGCATCAAGCCCCAGACCAACACCAACAGCATGAAACTGCAACGTCTTGCGCGCCTCACCGGAGCTGAATCCTAGTTCTGCTAGGTAAGTCACTCAGCGCGCAGTCGCGGACAATATTTTATCAAGGTAAAAGTTTAGCCTATGCGGATATATAACCCGTCTGTGATGTGAAGAACAAAAAGGAGACTTTGCGATTGGCCTAGCTCACGCACCTGTTCTCTGCAGCCCTGAGCCGACTAGTTTCTAATCTGTATCAGGTATTCTAGCGTGTACGAAACCAGACCGACTCCGATAGGGGGGCGAAACAAACGCTGTAATAGCCTGATCTGAGCATAGCATAGCCTAAGGTAGGTTATGAATCGACAACAGGACGTCGTCCGTGGTTCTATTCTCGTACAAGACCCAGACCCAGGACCAGTAAACAAACGCGCAGCACAGGGCCACAGGCGTAGTAAAGTAAGTCTATGCATGCTAGAACGGTGTAACCTACCTAGGTAGGTACCTGTCCACACGCAACACTGGGTGGCCGATGGCCATTCACCTTGCTGCTTTCTAGGTCGAGGGCCTCCACAGGCGATATCCATGAATACGAACGAACGATTGATAGTCGAATTACTACCTTGCTACAATCAGCAGCTGACGCCGCGACTCCGGGCCGGTTCTTGCTGTAAGACATAGATGGTGGTACCTCCTACCTCCACACATATATATATCTAGTTCTCTACAATTCGAACAAGTATTACAAGACACATCACAACATCGTTTTCCCTAGGCCAGAAAGAGTCCAAAAGCCATCTCGAAGTCCTCAATCATCATACATACGACCACCATGAAATCCTTCGCCATTCTCGCATCGCTGATTACAGCCTTTGCCTCGGCTGAGTGGTCTTGTCCAAACGACAACGGCGTGACCTACTCCATAGAAGGGTCGTTCTGGAAAGTCGTTTGCGGCAAGCAAATCACAGGAAAAGCCGAACGAAAATACACGCTGGGCACAAATGCTCTGTTAGCGTGTACGGAAGAATGTAATAGAGATCCACTGTGCGGGGGAGCGAGCTACGATACGAAGGTATGTTATCTTTGCGGGACAAGATGCCTCCGAGGAAAAGCTTTAGATTTCTGTATTGACCGCGTGCATGTAGGCGAGCAAGTGTTATCTGATGGAGGAGCGCACGGGCTTCCTGGAAGATCTAGCATTCTGGTCGGCAATACCCGTTGAAGGTCCTCCCTCCAAATAAAGACAAATGTGCGTATCGGACTTCCATGGCCACGCCTTCACAGAGTATTATGGATATGCGCATCTTACGTTTTCGATACGCGGTTGCTAATATGTGTATCAGCGACAGTGTGTGAATGACAGATCTCGATCCAGCTGTCAGCAAGAGCACCCAAATCCCCACCAATCCTGCCTGTCGCAGCGGTGCTGGCTAGCAAGAGACGGAATGTCGCAACGCACGAAGTTCAAGAGGGTCAAACGTTGGAGCGTACTCGTTCGCCACCCTAAGATAGACATGTAGACTTGGTAACAAAGACAATTGCGGTCAAGTTTATTTGATTCCGAGTGGTGCAGCAATCATCGTGACGGAACATCAATCTCTTCCTCGCACTCGCTGGACTGGCCGAATCATCAATGAAAACATGACTGTGGACGTCTTCGTTGAGAGCGACCTTGCCACAGTTCGTGGGCGAGGACGTTCGGCGGCACACGACATGCTCATGAAAGACGTCGGAATTGAGCAGCAGCATCGGGAAACGGAGACCCTGCGTCTTATTCCTCCTTTCCTTTGAGTGGTGCAAGATGGAGTTCATCATATAGCGGGAAATGGTCGCTAGTCCCGCGATCGACGGAAGTCTCTGTGATTCCTGCTTGCTTCAAAAATGGTCTTAATCCGTTCGACAGCATAATTGGGACGGCTCGATCGCAGCTAGCACCCAAGGGCGGTCGGCGAGGATATCACGCATAGTCAGGTCCTCGAGGGTGTAATTCTCTAAAGTGTCTACGATCTGGAGAACACCGCTTGGGACACTACCAAAGAATCTTGTCTCGAAGTCCGCGCGTTTCGTGCAATGCTGTGCGGGGATCGTTCCAAGACTGGGATGACCATCCGTCTGCGTTCGTGCAATGTTCATGTTGCCGGCAGGAATAACGGCAACGCCCTCTTTCTCCAATGCACGACACTCATTCTGCAGAAGGTCGTACACTCTGAGCTTCCTACCATGCCTGGTGCCTTGGGTTTCGCCAGTGCTCGAATTCTTGTAGGGCGCCGAAGTTCCATTCGCCATGTAGCCTGTGCTTGATCAGAAGTGTGGGAGCCCACAGATCACACCAACCGATACAAGAGAGCTGATAAAGTACTCACAGTTGAAGATGGCCAGTCTTGGAACATACTCTCGTGCTTCTGTTTCGCATACCAAGAATCTACCTTCAAGATCCCAAGCGACCTCTCTGACTGTCATGGCGTAGTCTTTTGCAAAATTTTCTAGGATGATGCTGCAACCCCATACACCTTGCGACCAAAGCCCCTTGTGTTGTGCTTATCCTTCGGCAAACAGAAAAGGACGCGGTAAGAAGGTTGACTACTGGGCTCGTTGACGCCTCGAGTCACAGCTATCTCGACAGCTCGCCGCGAGGCTCTATCCTCCGGACTGATCTGGACTTCCTGTGAGAAAATCATCGTGGCAGTCATAGCGCCGCAAGCTGTCTCGTAATGAGGGCGTCCTTTTCTTGCTCGACTGCGAAGATCGGCTTTCTGTCGAGCCAAAGAAAGCGATGACCGAGGGTGCAGCCAAACCATTGACGTTCCAAGATAAAATGCGAAAACGAGATACACATGGGTCCTGTTCGACGGACGGCAAGGAAGCCGACGTCAATTTGCGGCGTTTCAGAGGCGGTGGCGATACTGTTGCCGACATGATTCATCCTTCTCGAACCGATGAAGCGCGAATAATGGGTGTACTTGCTTATTCAAGGTGAAGGTGGAACTGCGTTACACGTTGATGGTGGCCTCCTTGACGATGGCTCCGTCGTGAGATGGCTCTGACGGAGAGGTGGATGGCACTGTCTTTCTTCCGTCAAAGGTTCTCGAAGCACCAAGATGTCCCGGGCGGCCGGATGACGCTCGGACGGCCCGCGTCGGTTTTCATTCGGCTGAGGCACACGGCATGCCGATGCTACCGCTGGGACGATGGAGACGGCGCGGTGGCATCGGCGCATCGAGCGAAGTCTGGAAGGGTGAGGGAGGAGGTGGAGGCGTCGGTGGAGGAGGTCAGGCGTCGGTGGATGGTGTCCCGGCTGCGAGAAGATTCAAAGAAGCAGGCCTGGAAAAGGTTCCGCGGTTCCGCGCGAATTCGATCGGCCTTGGCGCATTTCTCTACCAACGATCCCATCAGCCAAACCAAACTCAATACGACCATCTTCACACTTCACCCAAGGAGGCACATTCCACTCCCCCGCCCAGCTTCTGCCGGCGATACAAGTGAAGAGGTGCTACTTAATTGTTCAGCACGACCCCAACAGACACATTCCGTCTCGTCATCAGCGCCCTTCGCGTCTGTCGACTCGGAAACAAGTTGAGGCTTCACTCCCTTTGGCATGAGCTACAGTCTGGAGTCTTATCATGTGCCCTCCCAATGCCATGGCGGAAGACTCGATGGAACCCTCCCCAGCCAATCGAGCTGATCGTTGATCAAGTACCAGGAAGGACGCCACAACCACTGCTCGAGCACTGCAGCGCGGCTGCGCACTAATACCACCCACATTGGGTCGTGAACCATTTCAGGTTACATGCATGTCCTGCTTGGCCACAGTGCGTCTGACGCAAGTTTCTGTTACGCGGAGAGCGGTGTGCGGTGTGCGGTGTGCGGTGTGCGGTGCGCCAACGTGAAGCTCCACATACCTACGCATCCCATGGTCTTCAGAGGAAGAGCAATGCTACTAACAGTAACCGTCCATGGGTGTAAGCGTGGGTCAGCAGGCTGCACGTCTGCGGCAGCCATGGTGCTAGCATTCTGTGTCTCAACGTGCATCGACTCTGCCCAGCAGCACAGCATCATTGTCGTCGATTAGCATCATAGCGGCTATACTGTGTAGTGTGAGAAGCCAGCGCGCTCGTCAAACGGCGGATTCATCACCGTCCCAGAATTGCTGAGATCGAGGACATGAGGTTGCACCAGATGGTAGAGACGGCGGGTAAGAACACTGACACGGAGAAATGCCCGTTCCCAAGCGACATCTGTAGAAGAAGCCAACACTGTGGAGCCAGGTCCGCCTCAGGCCCGATTGTGGCAGCAATGTGGCTGTTCGTACAGAGATCTGGCCTGGGTCACCATATTGGATCGGGGCGGCTGTGCGACCACGAGAACACCCACCCCTATGCCTGTTGCAAAGATGTTGGTGGCCATCACTTGAAGAAAGAACAGATTGACCGCGTTGCGACGGTCATGGCCACAATATTCGTTTCAGGCCTTACCGAACAGTGTCAGAAGCTCACACCCGCCGCTGATCCCCGGACAAGGCACCAAAGCTGGCAGTATGGCTCATTCACCACCCCACCAAATGCTGCCCGAAGCATGCAGAGCATAGCCGCTCGTGAGACTGTACCACATTGGCAGAGGTTCGATGATAACGATACACAGTACCTGACCCTAAGGTATGAAGCGATCAAGTCCGGCAAGTCACACATGGAACTCATGCGCCGAACCGTCGCAGCTCAGGACTGGCCCATACATATCACTGCAATGATCGCCACATCTCCAGTATAAGTCATCTACGGAAAACCCAGGTCGGCATGCCGCGCAGGTACAGCGCCGGGCAGCATCCCTGCAATGCCGGAGCCGAATCATGACACTTTCGTAGTGTAAAGTCTAATAAATATCTTAGCCTTCCAGGATCCCAAGCTTTTCCGTGGCCGATGAACCCATGAAAGTATCCAGTCCACTGTACCCAAAGGCAAGACGAAACGCCCGGCCGCGGGTGAACTTGCACACCGCACACCATCCCCTGCTGCCGTTCTTTATGCCAGTAAAGCACCGGGTGGTAGCGATGTTCAGATGCATACATAGTTACAACTTGGGATGAGTGTGCACTTGTCGGCTTGTACTTAACTGTGCTCTTATACGGTACCTCTCTCATCCTGACGCGCAAGCTTTTCTTGACAAGATTGGCAAGACTCCGACAACTCCGAAACACCTCAACTTTTCGCAGGTCTTTTCCTGTGGACTGCTGCTGCTAGCATACGCTTTCATCATGTCGCCTTCTGTACTTCTGCTCAACGACGGTAACGTTCTCGACAAAGAGATGCCGTCACCCGATGATATAGTCCCCGTCAAGACCCGCAGATCCGCCGTCCTGCATCGCACACTGCACTATGACCCGCACCGTGTTGTCGGCGCTCAAGGCCACGTCCTTCGACTCAGCAATGGACAACATATTTTCGATGCCACAGGTGGCGCAGCTGTAGCATGTATCGGACACGGCGATATTCGGTATGTCCCCCAACCATGTCCAAGGCACACTAATCACTGACTGACAGCAATAGGGTCCAAGATGCCCTGATGGAGCAAATGCAAGAGGTTTCGTACTGCCACTCCCTCTTCTACGCGACGCAAGCTGCCGAAGACCTCGCCAAACTGCTCGTGGACAGCACAGACGGCGAGATGAGCCGCGCATTCTTCGTCAGCAGCGGAAGTGAAGCCATGGAAGCAGCCCTCAAGATGGCACGTCAATACCATTTGGAAAAGCCACAACCCGAGCCACAGCGATCACACTTCATCTCACGACACCAAAGCTACCATGGTACCACCCTCGGAGCGCTCGCCGCTGGGGGTCACGTTGCGCGCCGAGGCATCTTCGAACCTATGCTGGCCACCAATTCAAGCCGAGTGTCTCCCTGCTACGCCTACCGTGGCTTGGAGTCGCCTACAGACACCGAAACGGCCTATGTCAACCGACTAGAAGCAGAACTCGAGGCCGAGTTCCTCCGGGTTGGACCCAAGAATGTCGCAGCTTTCATCGCCGAACCCATCGTCGGTGCAGCACTAGGCTGCGTCCCTCCCGTAGCAGGGTATTTCCCAGCCATCCGACGAGTCTGCGACAAATACGGCGCACTTCTCATCTTTGATGAGGTAATGTGTGGCACCGGACGTGTCGGACCCGAGCCCTCTGATCGTTTTCCCAAGCCTCTCCACGCGTGGCAGGATCCTCTGATCGGCGTGGTACCAGATCTCCAAACTCTTGGTAAAGGCCTCGGGGGTGGGTACATGCCCGTCGCAGCCATGCTGGCCAGCGCGCATGTGGTGGAGGTGCTCGAGCATGGAAGCGGAGCCTTTAGCCATGGTCAGACGTACCAGGGACATCCCCTGGCGTGCAGAGCTGCGCTCGAAGTGCAGCGCATCATCATGAAGGATGATCTGGTGGCCAATGTCAGGAAGCAAGGCGCTCTGTTGGGACGACTGCTAAAAGAAAAATTGGGCAACCATGCTGCAGTGGGGAATATTCGAGGCAGAGGATTATTTTGGGGCATCGAGTTTGTCAAGTGTCGAGCCACAAAGGAGTGTGTGGAGCCATCGATGGGTGTAGCGATGGGGATACATGAGCTTGGTGAGTTTTGCTGCATTTTCCTCATTCGTTATTATGACTACCTACCCTACGCGTTGGCTCCTTCTGCACGCAATCTCGGCCCGGCAATCGGGATGCCTCTTACCCTCGATGTATTGACATACGGCATCCTGATCGGCGAAAGTACCCTATCTATTCCATGAAAACGTAAAGACCCCGATGGACTGACAGTTCGAGGCGTAACTAGGCATGCAGAAACCGTACGACATGAGCCTTTACCCAGGGACAGGCGGCGCCGACGGCCACCGTGGCGATCATATCATCCTTGCTCCCGCCTACAACGTCACAAGTGATGAGGTTCGGCATATTGCCGAGACGGTGACAGCTGTCGTCGGCAAGTACTTTAGACTGAACCCCCACATTTGGTTGGACGGTGCGGTCAGTGTCTCGTCAAAGATGGAAGATCCAGCTCCTCCGTTGGCGGAGGTACATGCAACGCACAAGCCCCGGCGGTAGGAATCGGATGGATGCGCGGCTAACGCGCGGGAGAGTGGAAGCTGACCTGGGAAGGCGCGGACATGCAATTGTTGATATGAATGTGATCACCTGCTTCGTATTAGACTCGTTTATGATTGGGGCACAACAGCCTTGTGAGCAATTCGCATAGACTATATGAAAGCCAACAGTCCGTGGACAACTCTGCCAGGGCAAGTTGCCTTGCACGCACGCCTGTACGGTCATAGACATGGCTGCAAACGGGTCTGATGCCTTACGTGTTGTCTCTTCAATTACCGAGCGGTCGGCTCCTGTAAAATTCTCTCATGCATACAGTTTATGCATAAGCAAAGCATGACGGGCATTCCCGAGGAGCAGTCCGCCCACATTCTGCAGGGGCTAGAGCTTTTGGTAGCTCCGGCACCTGGAACTCCGATTGGCATGCAGCCTCGGGACACGCTGCAAGCAAGCATTGCAGATGTATCACGGCCACCGAGAGTATGCGGCCACTGCTGGCAATACAAGAAGACTGTGAAGCGGTCTGAGCGGTTTTTGGTCATCGGATTCGCCTTTCCGGTGGTCTGAGTACCAACAATGTCGGGTCACAGATGCCACGCGAGTAGATCGAGAAAGTGACGAGGAAGACATCAGCGCTTCGTCACGAGGACCTGGAGATGTTGTTAGGTGACTTTGTCTCGTCCAGGTTCGCGAGCAGATATACCGAGTCGATCTCAGTGCCAGGGCCATACTTTGACCCGGACTTGACGCGGCATATGACGATTCTGTGTTCGGAACAACGTCCGTGATGCATCTCTTGCCAGAAACCTCTCGCGCGTTGCACATAAGGGCTGCACTGGGCTTCACTGGGAACATACCCACTTGTGATTTACTCTCTTCCGCTACCTCTTCTGAATGACTTTGACTTTCTTAGGCTTTTGTGAGACGGCGGCGTCACTGCCACCCCCACCCATGATGCCTTCCATGCCGGCAGGTAGTTGACCCCCCATTTGCTGCATCATTTGCTGCATAATGTCTTCGCCACCCGATAATGCAGGAGAGTGTAGCGGGAGGATCATGCCGATCTTGGAGCCGCGAGGTATAGCAGGAGGTATGGGCTTACCGTCCTTCGGCATCGGCAGTCCAGGAATTTGCATTTTCAGCGGGGTCTTCTCGTCTGCAGGATGCGATTTGAGATAGCTTGCTATGAGTTTGTAGAGATGATGTTCTGGCAAAGACAGTCAGTCGCTGATCTGGGTCCGTGGCGTTTTGTCTGCGACACTGCAAGCTGGCCTGTCTACAAGCAAGGCAAGCAGCATAGTCATTATCTGCATCTTACTCACTGTTTGCAATTTTTGGGCTTATCGGCTTCCCGTCCTTCTTGATCTCTACCTTGACACGGCCAGGATTTGCCCAGTCTTTGGGATGTGTCTTCATAGGATCCAGCGCAATCTGCAGCGCTACGCCAAGGGTGTTGCCAATGTGCGCCAGAGCGTCCACGATCTCTCTTGCCAGAGGGTTGGGCACTGCATCTGCCTTGCTCACTCGTCGGCCGCCCTCGCGACTCCGCGTCTCGTCAAAATAAACGGGATAGATGCACTGATGGCTCTTGACAAGCTCCTGCCGCTCACGCACCATCCTCTGCTGCTCTTGAGCGCTCATTTGTGACATGCGAGGCATCTGGGGAATTCCTGCGCCATTTCCCATGCTTGCAGTCTGACCAGCCAACATTGATTGCATCGCCTGTGGCGTCAGGATCGAATCTTCCTGCTGCTCATCGTCGTCCAGTCTGCTGCCTAGTGACTTGCCCTGGGGTCTCGCAAAGTCGAAGGCATCAAGGTCCATCTCTTCTGGATCATCGGCAATCTCGTCATCGTCCACCTCCTCGATTCGCGGGTTCGACATTATGGTGGCGAGTAAATCGTGCGTTGGCAGTTGTGAGCGAGTAACTTACTGTTGTCGTGAAGCGACTGCGAGTGTGCGAATAAGGCACAGGCGGTTTCAATCATTCCATGTGATTAGATAATCAGAGTACTGCCAAGCATATCAAAATCCAGCACAGTTTCACGTTCTTTGCATCAATGCACTGGTATATTAGTTACGGTAGGTACAATGAAGTTTTGCCATTTCTCCATCTACACTATGGGAAATAAACGTTGTCTTGCAACGGTGCGACTCTGCATCACGTTGCATAAGGACTGCAGAAGGAGGCAGCAGGGTGGCAAGACTGAGATAACAATCACAGGCGGAGCTCTTCCGATCTATGCAAGTGCCATCGTCAGAGTTGCTCATCAGAAAGCCAAGCTTCCTTTTTCAGGTGGCTGTAACAAAAATCGCCCCATAAGCACAAAAAGCCTCCCCTATGCCAGATGCCCGAATGCAAGCAATGCATCGATTCGTGCCTCGTCACACGCCTCTGACAAATTGGATGGATGATTCATCGCTCGAAAGTCAGAGGCATCGAAAAAAGTCCATTGAACGCCAGCTATACTCCTTCGTATCGTCATGGCATCAGACGTCAGAGACAGATGTCAACGGGGCGCCGTCATCACATTCCCCGGCACCATACTGAGACTTCTCGATGCTCCCCACACTATCGAGCCCGTACGCCATTATCTGCAAGTCGTTCCCTTTCGATCCTGATGCGGGTCGCTTCCGTGCCATCGTCTTCTACGAGCTCGTCAAACCAAGGGTGCTTCAATGCTTCTCGCGCCGTGATACGCTTTCTCGGATCGTACACAAAGATCTTGCGCAGTAGATCCAGAAACAGCTTGTTGAACTGACTTGTAGCAGGGATGATCTCCTCGAGCCGCTTCATGCCACGTACAAATTTCCTAGATTGGCGTGGTGTGTCCGGCATAGGGTATTGCAAGTGCCCATTCTTGAAGAATCGTGCCGCAGAATTGCGGTCTCCGCGCTTGGATAGACGATTGACATCGCGAATCAAGCTGCGATCAATGCTGAGTCCAGTGACAGCCTGATAGCACAAGTCAGCATCATTTGGTCAATTGGACATAGTAAAAGGATGACTGACCTCCATCATTCCGAGATGCTCACAACAGTCGTGTGTTTGGAATAGAGCATCTCCTGTCCAACACTCTACCAGTATGCACCCAAGTGACCAGAGATCGATAGGATGCGACCAGCCAATGCCGAGAATGATTTCTGGAGCACGGTAGTGCCGCGTACTAACCACTGAGCTGTGATACTCATCGTCGAATGTCGCACTGCCAAAGTCGATGAGGTTGATTTGTGGGCTGAGTAGCACCCTACGGAACTTCGCTGACCTTGACGTCAGTGTGCTCGAAGAGGGGATGTTGCGGTTGTAGGTAAAGGTCTGGTATGTGTGACTCAGTAGCAGAATGTTTTCCGGCTTCAAATCCGTGTGGATAAGGTTGAGGTCGTGTAAGAAGGCGATGGATCCAAGAAGCTGTCGCGCGAAGGCCTGTATGTGCGAACCTGGGAAGGGCACGAAGCCCCCGCTCTTGAGGAAGTCGAAAACCGAGAGGCCTAGGAGCGGCGTGACTATGCAGATGTGGCCGCGCCAGTCAAAGCAATCTCGTAGTTGTATGCACCGGTTCGTATTCTTTTCATCGGCCGCTCTCAGCGTCTGCAGCACACGTAGCTCGATGCGGCTTGCATCACGATACTACACAAAGCGGTCAGTGTTGAACCCGAGCGTCTACACGGGGCAAGCGTACCTTGGGCACGGCGCGGATGATCTTTACTGCCACCTCTTTCCGACTCCGAGTGTCGACTGCCCTCACGACTTTCCCAAAGGTGCCTTGTCCCAGAAGCGATATCAAGCTATACCGTTCGCCGAGCTTGCTATTCTCTTGCACGATGTAGTGTCCGTCTTCGTCGTCAATCTTCTCGTGGGTCTTCGAGCGCTATTGGCATCAGTCAGTCCTGGTTCAACACATCACTTCGAATCACATATTCTCACATCAGGTATAGATGGCACCACCACGTCCTTCTGCTTCTTCGTCTGGCGCGGGGGTGTCTTGTACTCGCCATACTCGGCCAAGTAGCCCTTGCCAGCGCCCGGTCGTTCGGTCTCTTGCTTCTTGCGGTCAACCTCAGGTGCTTTGGCATTGTTGCGCTTCCTCTTCTGTCCGGTTTGTGCACTGCTCAAATGATGCTGACATTGCTGAGCTCCAGCACTCGCCTGGGAGCCGAGTGAGGTGGGCGCTGTGGTGTTCTGCAGGCTCTCCGTGGACCCGCCGTTGGTGTAGGAATACGGCGTATTCGTAGTGCTGTACTGTGGCACGTCACCGCCGCCGCCATTCGTGCGCCGCTTCTTATCAGCATGATGGGAAGCTGATGAGGCGTGAGACATTGCGGGCCGATGTTGGGTTGTACTCTCCGGCACTGGACTATCATCGTCGTGGATGGTGATGATCTCAGCTGGAGGCTTGCCTCCATAGAATTCATGCCAGTCGACCGGTGCCCGCTCCCTCTGCCGACGCTTCACTCCTCGCTCTGCCGAGCCTGAATCTTCGTAGTGTGCTCCACGAGCTACGGGCATCTCAGAGCTACCCACGGCAGGGCCACGTGACGTCGAAGCGATGTGTTGAGGTGGAGGTGGTGGTGGAAGGGCGCGGTGTTGATATGCCACTGCGGCATCAGTCTGCCGTCTCATCAAATCGTCGTACCCACCCTGTTGCGCCGGATTGCTGTAGGTGTACTCGGCGCCGCCTCGTGCTTGTTGTTGTGATTGGCCGTGTGTATGTGGGTAACTATTGCTCATACCACTCTCTGGTCTTGGAGGAGGAGGCAACTGGCGGTTGGAGAGGTTGCTCGATGGCCTTGTGGGCATTGGCTGGTGGTACCCACCACTTACGTTGCTAGAAGGCCTCGGCGGAGGCAGGTAACGATCTTGGGGTGAAGGAAGATAGCCGGCGTGCTGTCGGTCCATGTGCTGGTGAGGCGGCAGCAGTTGCGTCAATGTCTGTGGCGTTGACATGATTCTTCCGCTGCGGCTTCAACGCATGGATTGTGATAGTCGAGGAACCTCTTCGCAGGCTGTGAAGAAAGTGGAAGAGAGCAGATTGTGGGCCTGCCTGCCCGTCCTCACGATTGGCGTCTCAGGTGCTTCTTCTCGTCTCTCAATCTCTGTATCTCTCTCTCTCTCTGTCTGTCTGTCTGTCTGTCTCTCTCTCAATCTCTCGCTCTTCGCCTGCGTCTCAGACGCTGGGATCACTGCACTCAGCAGAAGGGCGCAGAAGCGCTGCCACCTGCTCGAAGGAACTTTGCTGGTGACTCGGCGGTGGTCGAGCGTGGAGGGTGCGTGTGCGGAACGGTCGAAATAGAACAGAACTAGCACGAGGAGCCAGCAGACCAGCTGTGTCGAGGGAATTGCCGAGCACAGAGCACCGCGCCACAGGCTTCGGGCGAGTGGTGAGTGTTATGTCTGCATGGCAAGCTCAATGCTCGCAGTATGTGTAGAGAAGAGTGATGGCGTCAGTGGTGAGCGGTGAGTGGTGCTGAGCGAGGACGAAGGGCAGCCCAGGCGGTGCGGTGCGGTGAGGGCAGCACGGCGGAACGGTGGTCTGTGGTGGTCTACGACCTTACTCTACACTCTCGGACTACCTTCTTACTGTACCTCACACAAGCCGGGCATACTTTTTTCGTTAATAAGACACCAGCCAGCACCGACCACCAGGCACACAGGAGCAGTGTCGTTGCCCTCGACTACGTCTACTATCTGATTACCTCAGGTACCTTGCCGGACGACATGGATACGGTCTGCTTTTGCGTCTTCCTCTTCTTCTTTTGACGCTTCTCCGCTGGCAATTCCTCACAAGCCTTAGCCACCCACCTCAGGGACGGGCCACGCCACGACAACCGTCTGCTGACTAACGGACTCTGGCGATCATTCTACCCGACCGTGTCCACGAGCCAGAGCCAGTTCTAGACGATGCAAAATGTGTCCCGCGCGCTCCATCATCGAGCGAGTCCGTCATGAGGTGACTGCATCCACTGCGCGTCAGACTCCTACCTCCTAGGTAAGGTAGTACTCCTGTCCATGTGGTAGGAGGTCGCTGCTGCTTTTCGCGTTGCAATCCCTGCCCGCGACACTGCTGGCCGCGCAGAGGACCGAGCGGCCGACGGTGAAACTTGCAAGTCTTGCAAAGCTGCAAGCGATCCCGTGCCCCATCGTTCCGTGATCCTCGAGGACAACACGGTGGGCACTGAATAGGCACCTGGAACAATAACAAAGCCGCCTGTTCCACTCCTCCCACCAAACAAGCTATCACACCGCGTCTCGGCTCCCTACCTTGCTGCCTTGATACAGCCTTCATCAGACGCCTTTCTCCGCCGGCCGCCCTCCGAACCCCAAAGCGCCATTGTATTCTGCAACCACCAAGAATAAAACGAGCCTTGCTCCAGCTTGCCACAGCTTCGAAGCTTGTGGTGCTTCCGACATATTTCTACCGCTGACATATAGGCCGCAAGCTATCACCTGCAAGACCTTCAATCTCGACATACCGATTAATACAGACTCGGGCAGAGACTCAAAGAAACCCGCATCGAAAGCAAATCCAATGCCTGGAGTTGCTTGCTCTGCGTGCGCTGGTCCTGTTCGGCGCATGGTGCAGGACTGCATAGCGCTCACTCTTACTCCTCTCCAGATTCGACTCATCGATGCTCGACATTCGACCGACATCCCTGCGCACAGCATCATCGTCAATCCGAATGTCGGATTCCCCGTGCAAATCCATCTCAGCTACCAGGCAGCAAAGATCGCCGACAGGAGTTCAAGCTAGTGTCTTGTCGCACACAGATCATCCTCCAAGTATTTTGGGTGCCCCTAGAGGCTTAGGGTCTTGGTGATCTTGGTCGAACGCAAAGTTGGGTCAGCTTCAACTCATTCGCGCTATACAGTCCAACCAGAAGGGGGCCATGAATGATAAACTCAACCCATCATGCTGAGGAAGCCCATTCGCGTTCTGACAAGGACACCATCCGAGCGCTGCAGCTCGCGATGTGCTGGGCTTGTCTTGGCTGAGACTTGTGCCCCCTTTCTTCCAGCTGCAGACAAGCATTTTTCACCTTATAATCAAGGCCCCTGCTTTTCTCATTCCGGCAACGAGACTATCTTTTGCCCAGCTCTTGGATTCTGACCACACCTGTTCTCCGAAGCGACATTAATACTTTTTTTCTTCTAAAAAGCAATGAAAGCCCAGAAGAAATCCACTCGCTGTACGCGCGTCGATGGGAGGGGTCTCGAGGAGGTCAGTTGGTCGCCGCTCTGCACTGTCTTTGCTACGAACCTCCCTAGTCTGGCCACCAGGTGGTAACGCTGTCGCGTTTTATGAAATTCCAGACCGCTCATTCACAGACCAAGGAATGGCTGTCGAGACCTGTACGCCATCAACCACAGACATTCTTGGCCGATTACTACTGATGTCTGGAGGCATTTAGCAGGCGCGAAGAACTTCGTCCAGATGCTGCTCCTCGAATTCGTATTTCTGGAGGAGGAGGAGACGACAACGTCATGGATCCATCTAGTCTCTGCTGCAGCAGCAAGAACAATGGAATGCCTTCAAGATACATGTACTCGTCCAGCGATGTAGCGTTGCACATACTAGATACATGTACCATAGTAATCGATTTCTTCTATAGTCTCTTAGGGACTACGTTAGAAGCCATTTCTCTAACCCTAAACTGTATCTCATGTTGCTAGGTGACTGATCGGAGTGAGGCGGGTGCAGGGCGGGTTTTGCGTGAGTGAGGGTCTCTTTTTAACGATGGAAATGCACAAACTTTTCCATACCTTATGTGTTGTACATTCTCTGATATATACATCGTAGTGACGCTTAGAGCGAAGCTAACTAGGTACATATACAATACTATAGCTTGCTACTACTACCTCGTTGGTCAGTAGTTGTACTTCTCAACGGACGGAGAGCCTCGTCCAGAATAGCCATGGCCTCTATCAGCTTCCTCTCTGTAAGTCTCGGGGTGATGACTTGCACACTGAGGGGACTGTTGAGATAGATGTTGCGATCTACCTTTGTCCAATGCTCTCTGTTGATCTTGTCCCACGCATTCAATGGGGGTGATGATGGGACATCGCCAGCAAGATCTTCGCGAACGACATTGCGGACTGGTAACACGCCCGCCGGCAGATCGAGCAAGTTCAATGCTCCTGTATAGTTGACCGTGTTCCAGCGATCGATAGGTAGGATGGGGTGTGGAGCGACGGGCATGATGAGAACGTCGAGGGTTCGGCCACGTTCGCTCTCGTTGCCGTCTGCTGTGAGCCAGCAGCCCCCATCTTCCCGCCAGACTTTGTCAAACGCAGTCTGCAGCTCAGACTTCTGAGCCTGCAGGGCACGAATTTCGTCTGTCGACTTTTGTGGTCGTCTCTTCAGTCTGCCTTGCAGCCATGGTGATAAAGGTTCGCCGGTTCGTTCGAGGTGGTCAAACCACGCATTAGCTCCATCAATAGAAACAAGGCCGTTGAACACTTTGAGCACCTTGGAGAGAATGGGTGCTGCATTCACCTCGATGACTTCCACGCCACACTTGGAAGACTGGATCGTCTTCTTGACATCTTCCAGCAGGCGATCAATGACTGGAAGCGGAGGGCAGATGCCATCAGTGCCGATCAGTCCGACACGAAGCTTGCGCCCCGCGGTATTCAAGCAGATTTGTCTTGACCAGTCTTGAGGAATCACCTCCACGTCGTACTCCTGCGGAGTGCCATCGGCAATTGCGCGGAGAAGCAGTTCACAGTCGCCGAGGTTGGTAGCAATGGGGCCAGCAGTAGCCTCCACTGCGAGCTTGCTGCTCCCAGGCTTTTGACCGCTCTCTTGGCCAGAGTATGGGACTCGACCGTGAGAAGGTTTGATGCCCCACAAGTCATTGCATGCTGCAGGTATACGAATTGACCCGCCCACATCAGTGCCTGCCAAAAAACATTGTTTAGAGTTGTCGTTTACGAAACTAGTGCAGCATGGTTGTTGTGATTTAGCCTACGTACCGATGCCTAAGATGGAACCACGCATAGCGATAAGAGCACCTTCCCCGCCGGAACTTCCCCCAGCAGTGAGCAGTCTGTTGGCGGGATTCAAGGTCCGGCCGAAGACGTTATTGTGAGAGTCGAGCGCCATCATGGTGGCGGGGACATTGGTCTTGACGAAGATCACCGCTCCCAACGACAAGAGCTGCTCAATGAGTGCGGAATGGGCCTGTGCTGGCTGGAAGCAGAGATTTGCAATACCTACGCTGGCGTCGTAGCCCTTGATTTTGAAGCAGTCTTTGACTGAAATGGGGAGGCCATGGAGAGGGCCGACTGTCTTTCCTGTCCGCTCCAAGTAGCGATCCAGTTCTGCAGCACGTGCGAGTGCATCGTCGAACAGGATTTCCGTGCAGCAATTAACGAGCTGCTGGGCTATCGCCGCTCGTTTGCAGAACGCGCGCACGACATCGATGCACTGGAGGTTCCGGGAACGCAGTTCTTGCAGGAGGCCGGTGGCCGAGTATTTCTCGGTGATGCTCCGCTCAGCGTCGGTGAGAAGGTCGAGTCGACGAGGAGCATCGAGCACACTTGCATCGTTGCAGCTGGCAATCTGAGAAGGCTGCAGACGCCACTGAGCAGGTATCCGAGTCAGTCGCTCCTGCTGTTTGCGTGCGGCAATATCCTCCCATGTCCGGTGCTCGTGCGGGTGCGGCATTGCTCCGTGCTGTGATCTGATGATGATGATGATGATGATGATTGCTGCAGAGACCCGGTACTTCCACTTCCAGTTGTGATGCCCAATCCCCGCCGAGCCTTCACTTGCTCGTCGTCTGGAATAATAGTCTTCGTCGATGTCGTCGATCAACAGCCGAGGTCATGAGAGCTCGTTTAGGGCTTCCTTGCACGACAGGCCTCTACCTCCATGACTGGTCCACAGACAGGGTCCCTATCCCTCTCAAGCTTTCTGAGGACTAGAAGCAGAAAAAGCTTCATCGGCTTCCAGAAGAACTCCAGTGCCTCCTTCTCACTCTTACCCCCTCCCCCCTCCCCCCTCCCCCCCGAGACTTTTGGTCCATAGGACAGACTCTGACAATTAAATTGTCTTTCGGCTCGAATCGAGCCGAAGATGTCGCGTCGGCGCCAGCTCCCTCTCTCTACTACCACTCGCCCTCCCTGCACGGGACATCCGTGGCTGTTATTAGCTATAATTACTTTCTCGGTCGGCAGTGTGCGCTTTTGCTGCTGTACTGTTGTACTTCAGAACAGTCCCAGGGGGTCAGAGCCCTCTATGGCACCGTTTGTAGAGAAAATGCTGCCCTAAGAAGCTAAGCGAAAAGAATGTGAGATGCTTTTTTGACACAGCCTCCAAAATTATACTTCCAACGCAACATAAAATAGCAACGGAGTACTTGCAGATCTGCAAACCTTGAGCGCTGGGTTGTCCACTACGCAGGCCTGCTCGCAGATCAAGTGCCTCTAAAAAGTCCCCTAGTGTTGCAGTCGAGGTCGCGAAACGATCCTTGAGCGCTCGAAGTTTGATATAATGCTCGCAATCTCGCCCCTACCGTGAGGCTGTGCAACCCTACACCTCCTTACAGAAACGGAAAAATTAATCGAGTCCTTCAGCTGAGATCCCGGAAAATGTTTCGATCACGTCAGATTGGGACAATAGTGTGGACGCGTGCTCGAAAATGCGTGCGTACCCATGAGAACCGGTTGGCCCACCATAATATTGGTTGCGGCCATGTAGTGCAGCAGACCAGCAGGGTCATTCGACGTAGGGCACACAGCTTTGCCGCTTGCGAACACGCTTTCATGTTTATGTCCGACACTACGACCAGACCTCCGAGATCCGACCCTGCGAGAAGCAAATCGGGTCGGCGGGAGCTTGCTGCAAATCCCTACGGTGCGATGCGCAATTGGCCAGGTTCGATAGGTCTCTGTGCGAAGCTATTCTTTGTCCTAACATCAACACGAAAAGCCCCAAGTAATGATGATGTGGGCAAGATGATCAGATGTCCAATCGCCAGCCCTCAGTGTATCTATATCTTAGGTACCTAGGTTCAAATATAGCTGACCTATTCTCTTCCTCTCTCCCTTTTACTTGACTTGGAGTGGAGGGAAGGGGGTGCGAAGGACCATGGCGGTAGGTGCATCGCATCATCCCCATGTCTATTCCTGCATATTCTGTAAGGTCAGGTAGTGATTGCTGTAATCGGCTGCAGTGGAAGGTTCAAGAATTGCGCGCAGACCACCAAACCATCCAACACTCGCTTCTGTACGAGGCTCTGCGCGGAAACAGCCTTTGAACAAACAAAGTGCACGCCGCCAACGACGGGCATTGCTCGAGGACTGCCTTTCCCTTGATGTGCAGCACAAAGTTCCGGGGCCCATTATTCAGCGGAATTTGAGTATCTGGCAAAACATGAGTGAATGAATGGTTCAATAGCCGGCACTCGCCAGCAATCGCAAAAGCCTGTCTAGTATGTACTCTCCGAGACGGTCAGACACTAGCAAATGTTCTGCATAGCAGACTAGTACGCAAGTACATGTCGGAGTAGTGTACTAAGTGTAGTTGTCGTCGCAGATCGTGGAGCAATGTTCTTTTTATAGAACTAGAGACCAAGCGGCTTAGGCGTCTTCCAGATCTGCATCCTAGAAGCCTCGGATCGAGCTTTACCGACGGCTATCAAGACAAGTACCTCACTAGCATGGGTTGGGGGTTTTTTTAGGGAGCAGCCAACTTGCAGTACCAACATGAGGGTGAAGCCAACGATCTTGTAGAGGTACGAAATTCAGATTGGATTTCGAGAATAGATCCGGAGCGATGTAATATGAAGAGAGCCAAATACCTGTATAGCTCAGGCAGCTCTTCGGTCATGCAGAGATTGTCGACGTCATGCACTATGTAAGCATCACCAGACTAGTAGTAGTAGAGGCGGAGAGCAGTTACCTTACCGTTACATATACAGATGAAGGTCCCTGCGGTGCTGCAGATCCTGCTGCTCGAGTATAAGCTGATGTTGCTGTTGTTGGTGGTAAGATAGGTGACAGGTGTAAGTGACTCGTGCGTGCAGGAGTGTATACTGGTGGTATGCAAAGCGGATCAATAACGGCTATTGTGCTTTTTACCGCGATCATGCGAGACCAGGCATCCCATGTGCATCTCAGGGACAGGCGAGTGATTGAGCGGCTGAGCTAAGCTAAGCGATACAGCTGGAGGCAAGGCCGGCAGGCCAATACGTGTAGGTGATGACTCTCCAGAGCGTTGTCCAGTATACCTAGCAAACACCGCTGCAAGTGCCACGTCGGTCCCAAACGTGGCATGGTGTGGGTGTGTAGGAAGTGCCGCACATAGCAACCGAATCGCGGACAGCTAGATGGAAGTTGGGGGGACCTGGCATAGCGTCTGGTGCAGTATTACCTTACCTAGGCAAAGAATAATGCTCCAAGCCACAGGGCGCCCCGAAGGCATCAAACGCTAGCAGACACCGCAACCTGCGAGAGTCGACGGCGATCCGCGAGCTCAGTACCTCCGATTCTGTTCTACTAATCACAGTCGAGGGCGAGATATGCTCGAATACTAGTGAACACCGACCTGATTAGTGTTGCTAGCTCTAATGCGCTATTTTTGGACCTGCCGCTGGCGCCTCCCGCGCGCGCGCTATTGAACTAGTGAGGCCTTGGCTCCAGATTTTTTTGACATCGGTCCAGCGTGAGAAATGTAGTATGTACCAGGTATCAATACTGCCTGGGAAAGTCGCCACAACAAGACTCGCGACCGCACCGCACAAGCAGTCACAGCAGCTGCTGGTGCGGGTGGGGGCAAGATCAGGCGCGTCGCCGTGCGGTGCTGACGCTCCGGCTGCCAATGTGATGTGACAGAGGCTGAGCAGAGTAATGATTACATGTAAGGTACCTACCTAATAACACACACACGAAGGCCCGGAAGCTCCCAGCTGGAAGCTCGAAGCTCGGGCGGGAAGATTAGTATTGGCACCTTCCATTCCAGCGGTCCTGCACTGCACAGTAGTGCACACTATGTGCTCCGGAAGAGCCCCTCGGTCCCTGCAGATCTCCCGAGCATGACAGGACCCGGCGGCGACTGGTGGTAGGAGGCGCGGTATGATGCTGTGCTCTATGGTCGATTGCTCCTGCTTGTGGCGTACGTAGCGTGCGTAGTAGCAGCAGGAGCAGGAGCAGGAGCAGCAGTAGCAGTAACAGCAGCAGCAGTAGTAGCAGTAACAGCAGCAGCAGTAGTAGCAGCAGTAGCAGCAGCAGCAGCAGCAGCAAGCGAGAAGCCTCCCGCTCCCAGAAGGCTGGCTTTGGGACGTTCGAAGTTCGGTGAGAGGAACATGGGCCCAGGAACGACCGCAATGGGCAGCGCCGGCGAGGTTCGCTTCCTATTGGACCGCCAGGGCCCGTTGCACGCTTGAGGCGCAGTAGTGTGAAGAAGTGCTCCGCGCTTCTAAGTTCTGGCTGCTGTCAGCCTAGCAGCGTTTAGTGTGAGGTAGCGATGACCGACAGCCTCCAGCGCTAGGAGGTTAGCAGGTCAGGTCAGGTCAGGTAGTTCTATTGTCTGCCCGGTGGATGTGCACACGGAGGCACGGGGGCACGGCAAAAGCCTCTTTTCCACTTCGCACTTGCTTGCTCTGGCACGCTGGTGCTGGTGCTGGTGCTGGGCTGGCAACCACGCTCAGACGCTCGCTCAGCTCAGTGCCCGTCCCTTCCCTCCCCTTCCCTTCCTATCCCTTCCCATGCCATGCATGCCGACCGATGTCATACACACGAGGGCCTCCTCTCGCCGTCACACGCTCTCACAGGCTCACATGCTCCCAGCCCGGGCTCTTGCCCGCCCGTCCAGGGTGCTCTCCTACCTGACCAGCACCATTCGAGCTTAGACCGACCACTGTCTATTTCCAGCGCCCCCAACTGCAGCGTGCCAGGTACAGTACAATACCACCCGTCGAGCTGTCTACGTCTGGCTGCTCAGTGCTCACTGCTCACCTAGTTCTCCGACTACCTGACCTATCCATCGGTGATCCTGATCGCTCCCGTCTCGACACCGCAACGTTGCCTGCCTACTTCTATCATACCGTCAGCCCCATCAGCAGCCAGCCTGCCCGTGCCCCACCTCCCGGCTCAATTGATTATTCACTTCCATTTCACTTCCATTCTGGACATTCATCACCACCTCATCCATCCTTCCCTTCCTCCAGTGCCTCCTTCCTTCCTTCCTTCCTTCCTTCCTCTTCTTCTTCTTTCGTACATTCCCTTTCTGCCCGCCCACAGTCGCTTTCGGATTAAACTACTTCCAACGCCGCCCCCGTCACCGCCTATCGCTCTCCAGCCTGAGCTACGGACTCCCATCCTTGCTTTCGCTGCTCGGAGGCCCATCTGCCTGCTTGTTTTGGGCACAGCCCGGGATCGACTGACCACATCTCCTGCTTCCCACCACGACGGAGAGCTGCACCCACTTCTGACGCTGGAGCACAACGCCGTTCCCTCGGCACAGCAGCCCGCCTTCAGCCACTCTCGATATTGCTCCAGTGTACAACCATCACCACACTAGCCTGCACTTCGGGCTGGCTGTCATTGCTTGATCATGACAGGACAGGGCACTGGTCCGTCGCGGAGAAGTCACACGAAGAGTCGAAAGGGATGCAAGACATGCAAGCGGCGGCACATTCGTTGTGACGAGACCTTCCCACAATGGTGAGAGTGCTGTCGAGAAAGGCTTGTGGAGCGAGAGAGGGAGAAATTGTACTGACCAGCAGTGTAGTCGGAATTGTACCAAGCATCAAGTGCGATGCGACTATATGGAAAACGTTGGCTCTGACGCTGAAGGCCGCTCAAGTCCAGAGCAGACCCCACTGTCATTCTCTCCCGACACTGAAAGTCGAATCGATCTCTGGCAACAGACGGGGAGCTTTCCCTATCCTGCCCTCCAGGTTTTCCCGCCGCCTCAAACGCATGAGTATTCCAAGAATGATCTACGACTCATACATCACCTGTCTGCAATCTCGAACGATCTGATGCTCAAAGGCACAACCAACCTGACGATATGGACGCAGAAAGTGCCAAAGTTCCTGAGCATTGCTGCAACGTATCCATTCGTCATGCATGCTCTCCTGTCCTTCTCCGCCAATCACCTCGCCTGGAGCCGGTCATCGAACGAAACTAGAAATTTGCACATTCAGCATGGCACGATCGCGCTGCGAGGCTTGCACGAGGCCATTGGCAACTTCTCCCACCAAGTTGCCGATGCCGTTCTCGCATGCTCGCTACTCCTGCTGTGGCAGGCTACTGATTGGTAAGTCGTTCAACGTGCAGGAAACCACGATCAGATCGGGATTTGACGATGGTGAACAGGCGAAGTTGGTCGTCGCTGCGCGCCGGCATTCAGTCTGTCTTATCAGCGATGCACTCCTGGAAATACGAGTCAATCTTCGCCGAATACATCACCGAGGAAGACCTCTTCGTCGGAGCTTATCCCTCACGGCGTCCTTCCCTCGACGAGGAGAATCGCAACACCATTCTTAGCAATACTATCCATGCATCACAGCGGCTGCAAGGCTTCGTTGTCGGGCATGAGGCAGAATCGTATTGGATTGGGCAACTTCTACAATATCTACAGCGATTGCACGTCTCGAGTCCAGCACAGACCCCCGACGAGCAATACAGTCATCTGTATCTGCTGCGAAAATGGCTATTCTGGGTACCGACGTTATTATTACAGACTCAAGGAGGGCGAGGTCCCGCACTGCTCACGCTCTCCCATTTCTATGCGACCGCGCTTGCCCTGGAGCCACTTTATCCCGATCTTGGATCCGCATTCTGCGCGAGAGTAGCACTATCGCCGCTTGAGCAGATCATCAGCGTGACGGATGCGATGCAATCGCAACGAGTGATGGACCAAAATTCGATGGAGATTGCCTCTTTGATGCATTTCCCTCAGCAGATGGCACTCGATTTCCGAAATAGAGTCATCCAGTCGCAACAAATGGCCATGCAGCATGGCTCACCGATGGTGGTCACGCCCGACACGCTGAACTATACGAGCATCGGCAACCCTAGCCCAGCCTTCGCGCCATCCCTCTTACATCCAGTACCGAGCCAGTCGGCTGCCATGCACGCGTCCTATCTCGAAGTACCCAGTGTGCCACCTAGCTTCACGTCGGTCCAGACTGGCTGGAGTGCGATGCCATCGCCGAACTTCCCGCCTCAATCGTATACCCCGCGAGAAGAACAGCAAATATATGGCTACTCACTGGGAGGGTTCCGAGGAGGGTTCGTAAATACGCCAGATCCGATATGGACTTGAGCGGCATGAACACAGGCTTACGCACGTGCTCCAGGACACCCTTCCACGACCCAGGCACAGGGGCTGGTCCCTCCAACGATCAACAACAACAACAACAACAACAGCAGCAACAGCAGCAACAACAACAACAACAACAACGACAACAACATTACTAGTGGTCGATGTTGTCAAGTGGATGGGCGATTCTTTTCTCTGCGCGAAAAACCGCAACCGACAACTTTTCTCTGTAGATACTTGTGCGATGCAACGGGCGGGCGGGAAGAGGAGAGCGAACGAACGAACGGACGGACGGACGGACGAAATGTGAACGATTTTCTTTTCATGGAAACAGTCACGTCACCCCGGGACGTGGCAGGTTTCAACACTTTCTGCAAGGATGCAGAAAGGTGTACAGGTGCGCAACGGACATGTTTCTGCATCGAGATACCCGCAAGGAGAAGAGTTTTGGCGCTTGGAGACGAAAAGGTTCTTTTTTGGCATACGCTCAGCGTGCTGTAGCGAATTGAACGGGGGGTGGGTAGTGGGGGGGGGGAACGGACGGGCGGGCATTTTGGGAGATTGTTCTGTACCATAGACATTTGGGAAGGACTTGTTTGCGGTGCTGCTGCAGCACACGACAAGCCACATACACACTGTGAGTGATTGCGCTCGGTGAGAAGACCGGTAAACAAGAGCATTGATTTTATTGTTTCCAACGTCGCATCGCTTCACTTGCCCTTGCCCATGTTGAGCCGCAATGAGCATCCTTGAACCGTCGTCTGAAATACTGCCATTTGGGGACTAGCGTCAGATGTATGACGCCTCTCATATCCTGGTTTGACATTACATGTCGATACCCTGTATGCACGGTAGACTGGGGGGGGTTTTTTGTTTTTTTGTTTTTTTTTTCCTCTTTTTCTTTTTAGTTTTTCTAGTTTTTGGTTCTACCGCTGCGTAGGTAGTAACAGATTCTTCACGACTACAGTAGTGTATCTGTTTCTGTTGCAACCGTTTTGTTTTTTCTTCAGGGGGGAAAGAAAGCAAGGACCAGACCGTTTCTTTTTCCCTTTTTGGGTATCTCTCTCTCTCTCTCTCTCTCGAATCAAATGCATATGTGTATACCTTAGCTTTATTATACAAGGTTTGTATCGGTGAGTGGCCGTACATGTAACATGACTGTTACCTTAGGTATGTACCTAGCTACCGGGTAGGTAGGTAGGAAGGTAGGTATTTACTATGTCATGACTCGACAACCAAGAAATTATAAGTTTCGACGTTTTGGGGGGGGGGGGGGGGGTCAGATTGCTACCTTACTCAGTTACTTAAAGTAGTAAGCCGAGGGAAGTGAGAAAACCTATGGATGGAACTAGGTATGTCAGGTATGGAGATACGGTAGGTAGCTACCTACTGTACCTAGATTATCATAAGGTGAACCTTTTCTTTTCACCTTTTTTAACCTTTTACCTAGGTACTTTGGCTTATCTCATTTTCTTCATCTTGATGAATGATGATGATGATGATGATGTTTGTTGAGGGGAGGGGGGGAGGGGAGGGGGCGCATGCGTGTGCGGGTGCGGGTGCGGTGCACCGACATGTATTGTAAAACGTGTGAATCCGGGGGAGACCGGTTTGGAAATGTCATGTCAAGTCATCATCATCTAGCATCTTCCCTCCTTCCTCCTCGTGAATCGTCGGATCCACTAAAAACGTGCGTTTTTCTTTTCGCTTTCGCTTTTCTTCACGGGTAGTAGCGTTTCCGAGAAAATGCGAAGGGATGGGAGGGGAAGATGAAAAAGAAAACGGTTTCAACGTTTGGGGCATCTGTGGAGAAGGAGCAAAAGAGTTTCTTGGGTAGCAGGTAAGGTATGTCAGGTAACAGGTAACAGGTACCTTGTATGTAGGTAGCACGAATCGTTTCTTCACAAGATTGTTTCAAAAATTGCCTCCCCTGGGGCCTCCTTGGATTGGACCGTTTTTCTTTCTTTTCTTTCGGAATGGGTACGATCCGTGAAGAACAAAGTCAAAAAAGCACGCACGCTGGCTGAATGTTCTATCCAAACGATGAGGAAGGGGAGGGAAGATGCTAGCTGGATACCTACCTACCTTACCTGGTAGCTTCGCTTAGATACCTTTAACTGTACTACATACCACCACCCGGTAATCATCTAGTCAAAAAATCTAAAGTGTACCAAGTTCTGATTGATTCTATGATGCCCAACCCATCCTACCTGTATCCACGAGGATGATGAGGATCATGATGAGGATGATGAGCTCATTTCGTTCGTCGTTTACCATACCTTAGCTTGTAGGAGGTAGTACCTCCCTTGTAGCTTGTTATGAAAGGAAGGCACCACCTAGGTAGGCAGGTGCACAAACAACCTTCACTTCTGTGGTACATCCAATCATATGAGGTAGGTAGGTTACCCCTTAGGAGTCAGGTAAGGTAAGACAGCTAGCTAGCTAGCTACCAAGACGGGGGGGGGGGACTTTTTTGAAACTCCCTAATTACAAGGAGGGGATGATTTTGAAGCTCGTATTTGTGATGACAGGTTGAGGATGATTGAATGAGTTGGATGGATAGATGGATGAACATGGACTGGACTGACCATGGACTGGACTGACCATGGACTGGACTGACCATGGACTGGACTGACCATGGACTGGACTGACCATGGACTGGACTGGACTGGGACTGGACTGACCATGGACCGGACTGACCATAGACTGGATTGACCATGGACTGGACTGGACTGGACTGGACTGGACCTTACTAGGGGGACGTTTTCCCGTGGAAAAGGCGAGTATGATGTGTTGCGGCTTGCCGTGGGATTGCGAGGGGATGTTTTGTTTCGTTCCGTCGGCCTTTCCCCTTGTTCTTCTTTACAACGACATGCGCAGTCGAATGTTTGTTTGTTGTAGTACAGGAAGAGAGAGAGAGCGAGAGGGCTAAGGGGCCGATGAGGTATGACCTGAGATGTGAACAGGTACAAACGAGAAAGGTCGGCGCATTTCACGGCAAGATTGATTATTTGTCACCCGGCTTTTCACGGATGTGCTGTTGCTGCTTCCCAGTTGCTGATCACTTGCTCTAGCTGTGACAGCATTTCATCTTTCCTGGCTTGTTGGCACCAACTTCCCTCGATGCTGTTCTGACAGATTTGCTTCCACTCTGCCACCGTCAGCTCGAATGCGTCCTGCACGGCGACGTAATTGTCCAAGATGTAATTATTGCCAAAGTAAGCAGGATCGTCAGAATTGATCGAGAACTTGACGCCAGCGTCCAAGAACTTTCTGATAGGAACTTCTGCAACCTCGGTCACACATCGTAGGAGGACATTGCTCATGGGGCACACTGTCAACAACGTCCCTGCTGATGCCACCCTCGCCAGAAGCTCAGGATCCTCCGCGAGACGAATGCCGTGATCGATCCGTTGCACATCCAAGCGATCCAAGGAATTTCTGATATATTCCGGTGGGCCTTCTTCACCTGCATGCGCGGTCCGCCGCAGACCAAGCTCCTTCGCTCCCTGGTACATGTTCTGGAACATCTCCGGGGGGAAGTTCATCTCGCTCGAGTCGAGGCCGATCCCAATAATATCACCGCGCTGGTAGCTGGCCTGCACCTCGGGGAGATCAAAAGTGGCAAGGCATTCGGGCACGGGCACATGTCGCAAGAAACAGCAGATCAACTCGCTTGTGATGCCAAGCTCGATACTTGCACGCTTGCGGGCTGCATTGAAGCCAGTAAGAACGGTGTCGTAGGATACTCCTCGGGAGAGATGAGCTTGCGGGTCAAAGAAGACCTGGGTGCGAGAATTAGTCAAGTTGTTCCTTTCCACCCAGCTCGATAAGAAGAGATGGCACTTACTTCGGCGTGAGCTACACCGTCCGCAGAAGCATGCTCAAAGTAATCCCACGCAAGGCTTTCGAAGTCGGACGCGGTGACAAGGACGCTCATGCCAATGTAGTAGTAATGGAGAAAGTCGTCGAGAGAAGTGAATTCGTTGTATCGTTTCAGCAGAGTCTCGGGGGAGGCGAATGCTGGATCTTCGGCCGGAAGCGAGATTTTGTTGGCTGCTAACTTGAACAGCATGTGAGGCGTCAGAGCACCTTCCAGGTGCATGTGATGCTCGCATTTGGGCAAGGACTTGAGGAAGGATCGAAATTCTGGTTTGCACATTTTTGCTCTTTTGCTCTCTTGCTCTTTCTCTTCCTCTCGCCCTCTGTGGATGGTGAAAATGTAGCAGGATAATGAAAGAATTTCAGGAGAAGAAGGTAACAACAACGCAGGAGGGTATCAACAATTGTACAAGAAGCAATTCACCGGATGAATATAGATGAGGTACCTAGGTAAGGTACAGGCAGGTGTGTCTATGCAGACGAATGCGCTTTTCGCAGATTCTTCGGATCATATATAATCAATAGAGAAAAACTGCTACGTGCAACCAGGTATTTTCGGCGCGCTCCGAACAAGGTGATTAGGTAGTGACCGGCGATGTCTTTTTGCAGGTGGACACTCACTACCTTAATCAGGTACTGAGCCAGTGGCCCGCAATTTGCGAGGATTTCTATATACACTGCATGTACGTACCACCTCAGACCTATACTGCCTTGGCTCGCAAACGGACAACTTCTGAAATTATCAAGTCTGTTGTTCCCGACTTCGGCTAGCACCACTGTACGTACCTACTAGCGAGGAACATGCAGCCTTGCAGGTCCAGGCATGTGTGAAAGACGGGGAGTTTTCACCTCACACTACTAACTTATTTACTACATACCTGTACTCTCGGCGGCCATGGAATACCACCTTGGGGAGCGGGCAAACTCGCACTCCGTCCGTCTCTCCTGACCTGAAGATGGAGATGGGGATGGAGCTCGAAGATTGCTCATGTGGTGATGATCTCGGACTGCGGCTGCTCGCGAAGTCTAAGCGACGTCTGTGCCCTCCGTCCTGGTGTAATGATGTACCTAGGGACATGGAGGCCTGGGAGGGAGGGGAGGGATTCCGCAACTTCGGTTTTGTCTCGGGGATCTCAGGGATTCTGGATAAAAAGGGCATGTCACTCACAGTCTCACACATCAGTCACACTGTCACAGGCAGGTCGATCGTGACACGTGACGCTTTCTTCGCTACCTCCTAGAGCCAGCTCCCGCCTAAAGTCACCCTGTTGGGTGGGGTGGGAAGGGCCCGGAAGGGGGCGAGGGGCGAGGGGCGGGGCATGGGAGGTCCAATAGGGTGGGATTAAGTTGCTTCCTTCGGAGCACGAAGCCGCTATCTGATTTTCCCGGACACTCCTCATCCGGCTCCAAGCGATCGCAGCCCTACCGGGACGGTGTTCCGGTACTGCAGAGTGCAGACGACGGCGGCAATTGCGGCCGGAGGGGCACGCTCACCCACTGACACCCAGAGTCGCCCTCTCACCCTCCCACCCTCCCACTCGGGCAGTCTCCATTGGGAAGCGGAGTGTCTCGATCAGCCACATCGTTCGGCCGCACGGGGTACTGGAGGTACCTGAGGTACATGTAGTGGTGCGGCCTCATTGCGCTTGTTGCTAGCTACAGCAATCGACGCAAACAACAACAACAGCCGCAACAACAACAGCAGCCAACAGCAGCAGGAACAACAACAACAACAACATTAATCAAACAATCAAACAAGCAACAACATTATGGCAAATTTGTCAAAGGAACCGACCACTTTCCTTTCGGCGGGAGGCAGGGAACAACCTTCCACATTTGACTTGCGTGCTGAAACTGTATTGCTCGGCAACTGCTCACGTGGAGAATCCATGGCTGCCACATCATCGTTCCGTTGGTCAGGAGAGGAGCCGATTGCAAGGAGGACTGTCGCACCGCACCATCGGCCCATCGCCTGTTCCTGCACTTACTACTTTGGGACGCGATGTCACCAGCAAATCAAATGGAAATAAAAATCGGTTCGCTGGCGATGCTTTTTCTGGGCCCACGGCATGAAACATGATCATGGAAGGCATGCTACAGGTATGCTGCTACTGTACACAGTGTACAGCCTCTTCTGTGCATCCCCCCCTCCACCGAAGCCCAACAACGCCGCCCACTCGGGGCGCCGATCTGCATGCAGTGGTTAAAATTTTTCCTATCGCCTTCTCCTAGCTGCATTCCAGCATTTCCGTGATTGGCTTCTTTGCGCCGGCGAGAGAGCCAGCATGAACGGATCAAGGTCAAGGGCTTCTAGAAGCTTTAGAAGGCGGGAGTGGCTTATGGCATGGCTGGCATGCCCATCCTTCCTCCGGGCGCTCGTTCCGGGGTCTGCCATCATGATTTTATTATTAGATGATACCGGATTTTCACGTTCCTAGGTAGTTATTACATGTAGACACCTTGTTGACCACTGCTTTCATTTTCATCACAATCACTACAGTCCGCACACCAACACCAGTCATCTCACAGTCTCCATGTAGACTCTGCCTGCGAGGCACGGAGCCCAGAGAGCAAGGCAGCATTGGCCGGCCGCTCATGGGAGCTTGTCTGGTCGATCGTCCCGTCCCTTGACTCATTCCAAGCACATGTTGGAAGACCGCCCACCGGCTCGATCCAGGAGGGCGTCGCTCGCTGGTGCAGTGGCTGGGATGGTGCGGATTCGGTGGCCGAGCCTTTGCGAGAGACGCAGATGCATGCACGCACGTACGCACGCACGCCCAGTAGCGACTTTCTAGTCCTGGCAAGCTGCTCGCCGGCCCGGGCGCTGGTGATTGAAAAAAAGGCTTTGGCTTTGGAAGGGGTCGATGGCGTGTGCTCCCCCAGTCCGGTAGATGCAGCACACTAGGAGGCACCTCTTCATGGGCCAGGCTGGCATTATGTATTGATTTTTTTAATCGTTCATCGTGCATTTATGATGCGGCAGCACGGGGATTATTGACACCACGTCTGTCCTGCAGAGAAAACTCAGAAAACCTCCTTGCGCCAAACGGCTGGCCCGGCGACACGACGTATGCGCGCGCACGCGTGCAAAACCATACATACTCCGTACATAGGTACGTACGTACATACATCCATACATACATGCCACCTCGTACATCCGCAACGTCGTTTTGTGCTCGCTAGGAGCGTACTGTACTACTACTGGGCTGTTACCTACCGTACCTTACCTACCAACCACTCTACTGCTGCTGCTGCCCGCCCGCCCGTGTACATTCTGAATACCTGCGGCGCCAGTGTCCAAAGGGTGATGGTATTTCACCCAATAACTCCATGCGCTTGCCCATCTCGGGAATCCAGTGAATGACAAGGCCTCTCCCGCGCGTGGTTAACTCTAACAATCATAATGCCTGCCGTCCAGGCTGCATCTGAGAAGACCACACTACAGGTACTTGCCGAAGATCCTACTGGGTGCCTTTGACGCAAACTCTCGATACTACTGGAGGCTGCTGCTGCTGCTGCTGCTGCTTTCCTCCTCCTCGTCCTCCAGTGCTGTTCTGCTTTCCGCTGGTCTGCTGTCTGCTTTCCCGACCTTCCCGTCGCCAGCCAGAGTCGAACGCCCGCCTGCTGCTCAGCCGACGACAGTCTCTTCGGGATTATTAGTCTTGCCACCGCACCGCTCTGCATTGCCTGCTCCTACTACTACAGTACCTACGACAGTACCTCCTACCACCTACGACCTACCTGACTACCGTACCTCTTCGCCCCCCACCCCCCCGACTTGGCTCCCGCCGGCTCGAGTGGGCCCATCGCTATCCTCAGCCGCGTCTCTACCGCCGCACCCTGGATTCCAGCGCCGTGCCTCGGCCTGGACTTTGACGGTACTGCTTCACCTTTCAAGGAACCTGTCCGCGAGCTCCGTAGCCAGCCAGCACTTAACCGAATTTCCTGCAGAGAACGTGCGCTTCCACGTGGCCGATAGGCGTGCTAGATCTCCGCCCGAGTATTGCTTTGAAGTCTCTCGCTACGACGCCCCGAGGCTTTGTTTCCCGTTCTGCATGTCTCATTCGGAACCTGGATTTCGTTCAACCAATTCGCGAGGCGCGAGTCACCACTCACAACAACGTTGACAACATGATGGACACCACTGGTCAACAGACATCCCAACCAGAGCAAGCGCCACCTCATCGGGGACCTACATCATATGTCCCCTCTATCAACGCCCATGGCCCGACTTCAATGCCTCATACCGGCTCGATATACACTTCTTCAGATGTGCAGCAACAACAGCAACAACAACAACAACAACAACAACAACAACAACAACAACAACAACAACAACAACAACAACAACAATTCTCCAACGGACCTGCTTCTCCCGCCATGTTGCAAGCACCTCCCAATGGTGTCGCGCAGCAGTACGGCTACCTCTTGGGACCTCCATCTGGCCAAGGATTGGTGCCGGACTCATACTTGAACAATGAGTCTGGCCTCTCGACCCCTGGATTATCCTCGACACATTCGAGTGCTGTGGCACTCTCTGCGCAACAGAAGCGAGCGTATCGTCAGCGTCGCAAGGACCCGAGTTGCGACGCCTGTCGCGAGCGGAAAGTGAAATGCGACGCAACAGACACCACCAGTTGTTCCGAGTGCTCTAGTCGTGGCGTCAAATGTCAATTCACTAAGGAAACCAACCGCCGAATGTCATCCATCAAACAGGTACAGGACCTCGAAAAGCAGCTTCAGGCGGCCAAGAAGCAAATCAGCCAGCTCCGGGGCATTGTGCAAGATGGAGCGGGGCCAGGTCACTCAATACCTTCTGCGTCAGATGTGCCCGCTTTGCTCCTGCCCGAGAACACCACCAAGGAACGACGACCTTCCCCACCCGCTGTCGAGGGATTCGACGAAGTTAGGCGGAATCTCCGAGCATATGGCAAAGGGGTCTTCAAAGCCCCGCCGCCTTATCGGCAGTTCGGACCACAACCCACCTACCCTCATCCAAACCATGCTCTTCCGCCGAAGCATGTGGCGGACCGTTTGGTTGAACATTACCGTGGCTCCGTCCATCTGTACGCGCCGCATCTTCACATGCCCACATTCGTGCAAGAGTACGAGGAGCTCTATAGAGCCGGGAGCTTCCAGCAATCACGACACGTATGGGTCGCTCTGTTCTACGCAGTGTTGGCTTGTGGCACTCTAGGCGACCCGCAATCGACCAGCCCCAACGAGGAATCCATTGGCGCACAGTACTTGAACCACTGCATCACGAGCATGAACACGTGGTGTGATGAACTGACTGTTGATCATGTACGAGCGAGCTTGCTCATTAGCATCTATTTCGTGGAAATCAACCTGCGTTCGCCAGGATGGGTATGGCTCGGGTCGGCGGTGAGGATAGCACAGGACATCGGCCTCCACACCGACCATGGGCGGTACTCCCCACTTGATGGCGAGATGAGGAGGCGCGTGTGGTGGAGTGTGTACAATTGGGATCGGTGAGCATTGTCTCTATAGAACTGGCGTGTTCGTCCTGCTGACGATGATAGCGTGGTCTCGCTCGAACTTGGTCGACCATTGATGATCGACGACAACGACTGCGATGTCAGCGAACCAGTTCCGGTCGACGACGAATGCATACGGCCGAACGGTATCATCATGCCGCCGCCCAATCAAGCACCAGCCAGTGGCTTGATGGCAATCATTCTGGTGACGCGCACCACGGCTCAGATCAAGAAAACGCTCAAATCTCAGACGATAGCTGCATCCACACTTGCAACTTGCGATGAGCATTTCCGTTCGATCATGGCATCGTGGCCAGAGCCATTCCCGAGCACCTCCCAGGCTCCCCTCGATCCGAGACTCCTGACTGCCGGCTGCAGTCTGCAGATCCAGATGTTCCATCTGCATAGACATAATCTGTCTCCAGCATGTTGCATGGCGGATCGCAGAGAGGCGCTGGACCGATGTGTCCACATCGGCAAAGAGTCTGCAAATTACGTTCATCGCACCATGCAGCATCCTTCTACCTCGCCCAACGATGCCTTCATGTCGCCAGCACACCTATCTGCCTGGGCCGCAATTATACGAACCATGACCCCCGCCTTTTTCTGTGCACACCTGTGGCGGTGTCAGTTGGTGCTTTGTCTTCGGGGTGAGTTTGGCGCCGCATTGCTGCTGACTCATGTCTCTGCTGCCATTGGAGATCTTCGCAAGCTGAATGTCGCTTGCGGTAGACATCTTGCGTTCTTTCTGGATCAGCTGATTACAAAGCTGCGTGCTGGGGCGTGCCAGCGAGACCTTGAAACGGACGAACAACTGCTCGCATATGCCAGCGGAGACATGCAAGGCAGTGCCGATGATGCATGGGTGTGGAGCGGCAGCGAATCCGGTACAAACCTCCATCAGCATCAAGTGGTACTGAATGGTCACCCAGGGGACAAACCGGTTCTAGCAGCTGAGCAGCTGTCTACCAGTACTTTGACTGAGCAAGAGAGCCAGGCCTGGGGCGGATGGGATCATGTTCAGCGAACGTTAAGCCAGCTGCAAGAGCATCAGCAGCGGCCGGCTTCTAACCAGCAGCAGGCACCTCCGCCTCAGCCGCAGTCTCAAGGTCAGCAGCAACCTTCGCCCACAACGCCCGCGAAAATGGCACCGACGACTTATCCAGCTTCTCATATGCAGCCCACTCTCACACCTTCTCCTTACCCGCCACATCCACCACAACCGAGCATTTCGCCGAACCCTCATAGCGGACAAAGCCAGAGCCAAGTCGCAGCCAATAGCAACCACAATGTGAACGGCGCTGCTGCAGGAAGCAGTCGCATTAGCATTCAGGATATCATGTAAAAAAGAAAGACCCGAGGAGGGGTCATGGCAGGCCTCCAGGTGGTTTCACACGGATATCCAACTTGTTGGAGCGAGCACGCAGAGCGGAAGGGTTGGAAGGGGTACCTGCGTCGATGCGCTGGCAACTTCAGCGATGGAACACGCTATTCACGGAATCGACTGCACGTGATTTCGAGTTCGCGGTCAATGAAGTGCAAGGTTGCTCTATACCAGCTCGCGAGACTCGAAGAAGTCGAGCATTGCCACTATATGGTGCCTCTACCCGAGTTGCGTAAAGTGCAGCAGGAACGTGAGATACATGGAGCGTAATGCCCGGTATCTAGGTCGACACTCCGTCTGATGATTCATACCTACCTACGTTGAGCTCAGTGAGCTGGGAGTGGCATGGGCAATGGCAGATCCTGCAGAGGCTCATGTTTTCCGACCCTGAGGTGCGCTCCCCAACCTCAACAGGTCACGGGTGGTAGATGAGGGCTGGAGGCTGCTCCGAACTTAAGCATGTGCAAAATGATGGTACATAAGGTACGGTAGGAGGTAGCCTAGAGAGACTCGCTCGCGGCATGCACGCAAACGTCGAATCTTTTCGGGAAGCTTTCAGACAGCTCTGAGCCTCCAGCTGTTTCTACCACCTCCCACCTACATGTACCTACAGACGCGCGAGATAGCTTGGATTCGACCTCCGGAAATGATGGAATGGAGAAGGGTTCGTTCTGTCATGTCCACCAAACCACACTCGATCTTCTTCTTCGACAACCACGTCCTGACCACGGATTTGACTTCATACCACAGGACGCTGTCCAATCGTCCGGTCATTGGAAGGTACATGAATTGAATCACACCTCAATTGAGGTAGGTGGCAGTGAGGCAGTGAGAAGTGAGGCAGTCACGCAGGGCAGGCAGGCGCAATGGGGGCGGACCGGGCGGTACGAAAGCAAAACAAGCTTCTCTCCACGAGGCTTGTCTCAAATACGACTAGGCAGAAGTCGTGAAGCGAATCACATTGCGTCACGGAGCGGGATGGATCCTCCGCGGGTGACCGGGCCAAACCTTGTTGCTGGAAGAGCCGGCAGCAACGTGCGTGTGCCTGATTCGAAGCAGTTACGCAAGCTTCGTGCTTTCCAGGTTCCTTCCTTCCACAGCTTCCAGGTGAAAGTGACGTGGGCGGGCCATTCTTTATTCTCTCTTCCACCTCCATCCCTCTACACTTCACCGTTTCTCCATTGACCTACCATCTACCTGATCCACCAACGCACTGCAACGCACTGCTCAGTCTACCTACCACATCACCTGCATCTCCTCGCCTCGCCCCGCTTTAACATGGTTCATCTCGACCGAGTGGAGAATGACAAGGACCTGTCCGAGAAGGTCATTCCTGGCCTTGCAGATCTCTCCTTCAAAAGCATACCCGGTGAGGATGATTACTCGTCGACTGTCTACGGTTCGAGGTTCGCCGCTACAGACCTTCCCAAAAACGAGATGCCGGATGACGAGATGCCTCGCGAGATTGCATACCGCATGATCAAGTACGCCTTTGTTAAGTGACCTGGAGCCGCGCTGCGATTCTGATACGTTGGTAGGGACGACCTGTCTTTGGACGGCAATCCGACGCTCAATCTCGCGTCGTTCGTGACGACTTACATGGAAGATGAGGCTGAGAAGCTTATGGTGTGGAACTCTCTCACTAGGAAGATAGCGGTGCCCGAATATCTTGCTGACCCTCTTTCCCTCGAAGGTGGACGCCTTCTCTAAAAACTTCATTGACTACGAAGAATAGTAGGTCACAAACAGCAATCACATTCTTACCTATTTCTCGATGTCTTGTTCAGCTTCAACTGCCCTGAGGCGCTGAGCTTGAGGACAGACACTACTCGAACAGGTTTGCATTTCCAGAGATGTTCGCTAATTATTCAATCTGCTACTTCTAGCCCTGTCAGCGCCGACATCCAAAACAGATGTGTTTCAATGATTGCCAGACTTTTCAACATTCCCGCCCATGAGGACTCGACCAATGCTATGGGTACATCGACTGTTGGTTCCTCCGAAGCTATTATGCTGGGTACCCTGGCAATGAAGAAGAGGTGGCAGAATAAGCGCAAGGCAGAAGGTAAAGACTACAGCAAACCGAACATTGTTATGAATTCGGCGGTGCAGGTTTGTTGGGAGAAGGCGGCAAGGTATTTTGATGTCGAGGAAAAGTATGTGAACTGCACCGAGGAACGATATGTCATTGATCCGGAAGAAGCTGTGAACCTGGTCGACGAGAACACAATTGGAATTTGTGCCATCATTGGGACTACTTACACTGGCGAATACGAGGATGTCAAAGCCATCAACGACCTGCTTGTCAAGAAGGGCATTGACTGCCCGATCCACGTGGACGCAGCATCGGGAGGTTTTGTTGCACCTTTTGTCAACCCAAATTTGGTCTGGGATTTCCGCCTCGAAAAGGTCGTATCCATTAACGTTTCTGGCCACAAGTATGGCCTTGTGTACCCAGGCGTAGGGTAGGTTATTCCTGACATCCAAGTGCTGAAGGGTATCGAGAGTGTCTGCTGACTATAGACTAGATGGGTCGTCTGGCGTGATCCCGAGTTCTTGCCAAAGGAACTCATCTTCAACATCAACTACTTGGGTGCCGACCAAGCTTCCTTCACCCTCAACTTCTCTCGCGGTGCTTCGAATGTGATTGCTCAGTACTATCAAATGATTCGTCTCGGCAAAAAGGGTTATCGGAGCATCATGTTCAATTTGACCAGGACGGCAGACTACTTGGCAGCTGCTGTGGAGCAGATGGGCTTCCTTCTAATGTCTAAAACTCAAGGCGAGGGTCTTCCACTGGTGGCTTTCCGCCTCAATCCAGAACACGGACACAAGTTTGATGAGTTTGCCATCGCACACCACCTGCGAGAGAGAGGTTGGGTGGTTCCGGCGTACACGATGGCACCCAATGCGAACAAGATCAAGATGATGCGCGTTGTCGTCCGTGAGGACTTCTCCAGGAGCAGATGTGATGCCCTGATTACAGATCTCCAGATGGCAGTGAAGGAGCTTTCGAAACTGGATGTGAAGCAGTTGGAGGATCGTACACAGCAGCATCGAGCTCGACGAGCAGTGCGGGCGGAGAAGAAGAAGACCAACAATCATTTCAGCGATGAGAAGCACAGTCTGAAGGGCAAGACTGGCAAGAGCCATGGCATTTGCTGAGCGCCAAACTCTAGAGGCCCCAAGATGAAAAGCAATGACAGTAGAGATGCAGGCATGAAAAATATACAGACAACCTGTACTCCCTATCTACTCTGCCCTCAGTGTGATGTCTCGGTGAAGTACGTGCCATGTATGTGTATATAGGTAGACATGGACAGGACTTGTGCCCCAGCGGGGTCGTGCTTTGCTCGATACAGAGGGGCGGCCCAGCCTTTTCTGTGAGGCAGCATCTTCAACACTTTCTCCGAGAGCAACCCTGCACTTGCTGATTGAACAGCAGCTGAAGTCATTGTGTGCAGCGGGCAATGGTCAATTTTCCGATATCGCCCTCTGTCTTTTCTCTTTTCTGCATTCTCGTCTCGCGTTTCTCATTTCTCTCCTCATCGAATATCAGGATCCATCATCCCGATCCAGTTCTTCGGTGGAGCGCGAGACTTTTTCTTACGCGGCTGCTGCATCATTGCATCAGTTACAGTTGCAGTTGCAGCAGCAGGAGATTTGACATGATGCACGGCGGGCTTTGCTGCTGCTGCTGCTGGCTGAGAAGCATCGTCTCTCGCAAAAAGTTGCACCGCACGGAGATGGGTATCTTTTCCATTTTGGTGATTTTCCAGAATGCGGACTTGCACGAGGAAGGCTCGTAGGACGGGGGGAGATAATTCATCGTCTTCATCATCATCATCTTCAGAACCGCCATCACCATGAACAGTAGTAAATGCTTGATGATGATGCCCCCGGGGTGGTCCCACTTTCGTGAAATCCACATCGATCCAACCCGTCGGTTGCTCAAAACTCATTTCGGCAAATTCAAGGAGATCGTGCACGCCCATTCCCGCCAGGAATTGGATTTTGGTCGGCGTGTAGGATTCGTCGCTGAGGTAGTCGAGGTAGATTCTCATGCGGACAATGGAGACGAGTTTGAAAAAGTGGATGCTGAGGAGATGGGGTTGTGGGCCGTCGGATTGCCAGAATTGTGCCACGTCTGCGGAGCGGAGGGCGAGGACGCCGTTGCCTGGCTTGGCGGTGCTGACGGTCCATGATGCGAGGGAGGAGATTTCTTTGAGGCCGGGGGGAGGGAAGGGTTCGTCCTCTTCTTCTTGTTGTTGTTGGTCTTGTTCTTCTTGTTCGTCGTCGTCGTCGTCGTCGTCTTCGTCTTCGTCGTCTATTTCTTCTTCGTCGAGATCGTCGTGTTCTATTGGATGCAGGAGGTTAGGGGCTGTGACACGGTCCGAAACAGTCGCCTTGTTTCCTACCTGGAAGTTCATCCTCGTCGCCTTCATGATCGGCGGCTCCAGACTCGGCGGTGTTTTCGTCGTCCAGGTTGCCTTCAGGGAGCTCTTCCTCGTCTGATGTGGTGGAAGTTGGTCGTCGCCCCACGTTGCTCACGCCTCTCCTCGATCGCAATGTCGTGGGCGGCATTATGTGCTTGTCAAAGTACTCATGACGTGTCGCCCGATAATCATGATCGGGTGTCTACTGCAGTGCGGGACTTTGGCTCTTGCCTCTCGCATGATCTGGCTGTTGTGGTTGTTGTCATTGTTGTTGGCGTTGTTATTGGCGTTGTTATTTGTTGTTGTTGTGGTGTGGTAAGGTTGTTGGTGTTGTTGTTGCCAAGCCAGAAACCACGCATCATTTTCGCTCCGATGTCCGAACCTCTCCTTCTACAACTTGACTCCTACTGGGAGTTACCTGAAGATTCACACGACTCAATCGGCAGATCGGCACTTTTTGCTTTGCGACGATGGCGACAGCAGAGAAATGAGGACATTCTATGCCACCCTCGACTCGGCCGCGCTGACTACAGGTACTGTACATAAGCATTTAGCCATATCACGTGACGCAAGCTATTTACGACCATGTCAGGTCCATGTCTATACCGATGCTGTGCTATACACCCGAATATGCAGGAATCACGCCAGTTTTCCTTCGTGCGACTGTCGAGGCATCTACCAGGACCATATCAGCATCAACATTGAGTATGCCGCATTCATGTCACCCAGCTTCCATCCTGCGATGATCGCAGCGTACCGTTCTGAGGCCAAAATGTCCTGATGAGCTGGGCAACTCATTGTTCATCTGGCCGATCCATGCATGTCGCGTGGCTGCATTCACATTTGAGATGCAGTTCTAGCCTCACGTGCTCGAGCAGACATCCTGGTCGCCTGGAGAAAAGGAATAGTTCGAAACAACCAAGCCTGACTCGCCAGCCGCTCATCGTATTCCGTTTTGGGCAACGGAGCATCGGCCGACCGTTTCTATACCTCCAGCCCCCTCTGCTGGTCATGAGACAGGTGCTGTGGATGGACAGCTACATTGTCGTATTTCTGTTCTTCTCCTTGGCTTTTAGGGGTTGCGACAAGACAAGATAGACTTTGAGCTCGAGCAACGACACATGTATGTTGATCTACTCCGTATAGGATTATTAGTGGAAAACGTCTATTAACGCTTCCTGACTCTCTAACTCTATAGCACGTCTTTACGCATCCAGCTAATCCACTCTGGCAGGTACACAACAATGCTCCTTCCCAGCTCCAAGTTTCTTTTGCCTTCTTTGATACCTATCGATGCTCTGGCGCCCGTCGCCCACCGGAGTGTGGCCAGATGTTATTCAACACCCCTACAACGGGCCAAGTTCAGATCCTGGCCACGGCGGGTGTATTTCTAGCGATTAGCTGGATCACATTAGGCCTTCGCTTCTGGGTCCGCTTCGTCGTCATCAAGAATCCAGGCTGGGATGATGCCGCCTTGCTGTTTACTGCAGTATGTGAGGCGACAACAATGTTCCGAGCTGATACTGACGCCTTGTCACCTAGTTGATATTCACTGGCTTCTGTACCACGTTGATTCTGATCGAAACAGTCGGCGGCGCAAACAGGGTCAATGAACTGAATTTTCCACAGCTAAATCGCCTGATTGGAGTGTGTGTAAACCTCGCTGTTGGGCAGAACATAAGCTGACTGCTGGACAGATGGTGATCGCTGCTCTTGAACTCTATGTCGGTCTCCTCCCCTGCACATGGATGGCATATGAGCAGTTTTGGAAACCAGACTAACAGGTGACAGCTTGCAACCATGGTGGTCTTCAAGATTTCACTGGCAATCTTTTACCTCCGGATTGTGATCCGGACTTGGCAGCGATACGTTGTGATCGGGGCATGCGTTATCAATACGATCTACGGCGTATTCCTCCTTTTTACGGCGCTATTCAACTGCGGCAACCCCAGCAAATATCTTATAAACGAGATCAAAGGCGCGTGTCTGTCTAATACCGTGACCAATGGCATACAGCTTGCAGGGTGTATACTCAACGCAGCCACGGACGGTATATTCGCACTCCTTCCCGTCTCCATCCTATACAAAGCTGCAATACCGCTCTCTGCAAAGTTCATCTCTGGCTTCATATTGCTACTTGCTTGCGGCGGCAGTATTGTCAGCGTGATTCGCATACGCTACATTGACGGGCTGGTACCCGGGCCGGACTTCTTCTCCACGATGATCAACTTGTGCATACTATCGATCGTCGAGTGCGGAGTGGGAATATCAGCAGCATCTGCGGCCACGTTACGACCACTCTTCTGCAGTCTGATGCAGCAGGTGCGTCCCGTCATCACTTCGCAAGGGTCCAACGCCGTAAAAGGAAAATCGTCGCCGGGCTATTCTGTCGAGGCACGGAGCTCCCAGGCCATGTCTCCGCCTCCTGGAAATCACGAGCTGTTTGAATTCGAGGATCGAGACTATGTCAGCCGATTCAGTCGATGGAGCGATTGGAGTCTTGGACCTGGGCAGAAAGGGTCACGCGCAAAAGCTAGACTCGGGACCACTGGTATGGACGTACCAGAGAGCAATCAGCAGACTGCGAAAGATTCCGTCGCCTACGAAGTCCTGGAGCGCGATACATCAATATCTCCTCTCCGTCCACTTCCCCCACCACCAGAGCCACCACAGCCACCACCCAAATCGGGAGAACAAGTCGTCACGCGGACAAAAAGCAAGAGAACGAAATCCCAGATCAAGCGCACGCTCAGCGTCCGAGACAGAGGCATCTCCGCGCCCATACCCCACATCGTGAGCCAGATCTCACCTACGACTGCGTCGCACATGCCGTCAGCCTTCAATGTGGATCGCAGAAGACGAGGGTCGCCCGACTGGGAATATCCGGATGGCTACGACCCATGGTCACCAGGGCCGGTATGAACGATATGAAAATGTACAACACAGACGGCAGAGATAGATGAAGGTATGAGCGAACTGGCGTTCAAGGATGAGCGATACAGCGATACACCGGTACCAAAGATACCACGATACAGCGATACCGCGGTACAACAGTACATCGATACAGCGATACAACAGTACAGCGCTACAGCGCTACAGCGATATAGCGACATAGCGATACAACAGTACCGGGACACAGCGATACAGCGATACAACGGGGTGACAACAGGTACAACAGTACAATGGATGTTTTCCTTTATAGGCGAGAGTGCGAGCGAGTTTTGTGATACCAGAAAAATGACCTTCCTGCCTACTACCTTATGTAACATACCAAAAACTACATAACTTATGTTCAGTTTTTTCTTTTCTTTTTCTTTCCTTTTCCTTTTCTTTTCTTTTTCAATGTTAAATACAAACTTAGGTACCTAGGTATACCGTACCGTATACGTAGCATATCCTCAACTTGCCCTTTTTTTCCAATTCTTTCTTGCTATACCTACATGTATATAGTAAGCGTACCTGATAAACAATTTATTAGACAACTTTTCGTTCGTTCGGCCGGACGAATAGTCTATATCTAAAGTACCTAGTAGTCTTTTTCTTCTTCTTCTTCTTCTTCCCCTGTAACTCTTACCTAAGGTAGGTAGGTACCTCTCTCTATATTTGTTCGCCCGGGCATTCACTCGCAATACCAAGAAAACACTTACCTAGGTACCTACCTAGCTTCATGCTTGTATACTTTGCTTGCTTGCTTGCTTGTATCATGGATAGGTACCTGTACTTTGCTTACTTTTGCTTGCTTGCTTCCTTCCCTTTGCTTCCTTTTCTTAAACCGCTAATAGCCGCTGCCCCCCTCTTCCCCCTCCCCCGCTACGCGCTTGTGCTATACTACCTACCTAGTAAGTAGGGAGATACTTTGGTGTTTTAGAGAAGATAATCGTTATACGACAGTCAAGACGAGACGAGATATATATAATCAGGTAGGCTTGCAACAAATAAGGTAGTAAGCGAGTAAGTACAGCAAGACAGCAAGACAGCAATACACAAGCGCGATAGCGGCGATACTGCTGACTACGGTACCTACTGACCTAACCTTACCTACCTTATATATACATTACCTAATCTTCCCGAAACTAGGAGGTAGAGTAGAGTAGAGCAGAGTACAAACGTACAAACGTAAGAGAGACCCAGAGAAAACAAGGCAAAATACAAGCATAAGTATAGAGCCGAGGCAAAGCGAGGCAAGACGAGGCGAAAAGCTACGGATTAGTACTACATACTGTACCTGACCTACCTTACCCTACTTCCTAGAACAACGCGCGCGGTTCAGATGAATTCCAACTAAGAAAAAAAGTCTTCAAGAAAAAAAAGGAAGAGGGAACAAAAGAGGAAGGAATAGTGAAGTATGTACTTACTCGATTAGTACATTTCTGGAAGGTTGTTACGTACAAAGAAAGAAAAAAAAGGACCGATGATATATACATACTTCGGCTATAGGTACTTTTCTATAAAGGTAGTGCATATACGGACGATTTGATAATGAGAATTCATTGGTACGGGATCTAGACCTCAACGTTGTGAGCTACTCAGCTGCACAACATAGAGCTCGAAAAGTGATGGATGGCTGGATGCAAAGATAGGTACCATATATCGTGTGTATTATGTGTTATCGAGTGCGTGTAGCAGCTCCCGTCTGCTGGCCCCAAGTAAAACTAAGGTAGTTGTAGATCTAATAATGTTACAGCCTTACAAAAGGACCCAGTTCTATCGCCTTCATAATAATAAAATTCTATACCATCAACCGTAGAAACGCCGTTGGGGGGGAATCCGGAAAAGCAAGCGATATCATGTGTACTCGCAAAGGGGTATCACAACAAATCGCTCAAACGCTAATATGCAGAAATCATATGCAAGCCAACTGTTGTTGCAGCAAGAAGCGAAGCGCTTGAACGCGTCACGTGGCCTTTCCCATAGTACCGAAATATCCTTCAAATCAAATCGTGAAAACTCCAAGTTGGAAATCGTTAAAGCATGGCCGTCAGCGACCATGGTGGGGGTTCTGGGTGCGGCGTTGAGTAGTTAAAAGGTGCTCCAGACCATGCCTCCCTCCGAGCGAGCCATGCTGCCGACCCGAGCATCCTCAGTCTGTCGTGACTGATTGGGAATAGGCATAGCGGTACCTTGCGAACTATGTGTGGAATCAGTGACAGAGTTCGCACGAGAGTGCCATAGCTTCTTGAACGTCTTGTACTCTTCGTGACATGGGTCACATGATTTGCTCCGATGGCCTTCGGGGTGTATGCGGGCGTTCTGATCGAGAGGGATCACATTTCTGACATGGGCGTAGCAGACGACATTGCCGCAGCGACGACAGTGATGTCTTCGGAGCAACCAGCCAAACGTCACTTTGCAGACATAGCAGCCCTTTGCGGACTCGTCCGGCTTCCAGTGTGCCGTCGTTGGCGCTCCAGTGACAGGTCCCATCTCTTCAAGCGAAAGCGTTTCGCTTGCGGCGCGGCTGAGACCGTGTGGGAGTGAAGCATGATCACCACCATCGACTTGTCCGAATTGGAAGGCTAAAAAGTCGTTCTTCGACGACGACGATGGCGAGGCAGCCCTCCCACTGTCGAAGCTGCTTTCCGTGCTCGTCGGGGGTGTGTCGATGGCACGTGGACGGCCAGGGATGTCGGTGGGTCGCGTGATCTTCTCGTTCGGTCGCAGTGCAGCGGGTACATACAGCGGTTGGCGAGGCTGTCGCAGCTGGCGCACGTTGGCGTGACAATTTGTGGGGGAGATATTGTTCGAGGGTGGGGGGTAGTTGTAGGTTGCCTCTGGCGGCGACGGGCCTGCGGAAGGGTTCATATAGTACTTGGAGTGGTTGGGTTGTTGGGTAGAGAAGGAGGTCGTAGCCATCATGGCCAGGCGCTCGATCGACACAGTAGTAGTCGTGGTAGTAGTGGTAGTAGTGGTAGAAGTGGTAGTGGTAGTGGTAGTAGTAGGAGCCGGAGTGGTGCAGTGTGGCGCATCTGAAGGACGGACGATGAACGGGTGGCTTGGAGCGAGCAGCAGAGGAGGATGAGGTGGAGGAGGAGGAGGAGGTGGTGGTGGTGGTAGTGGTAGTGGGCCGAGATCAGACAAAGAAGGCCAGAGTTCAGCCCAGCGGCACAATGGAGGATGGAGGGTGGGAGGGTGTCAGATAGAGAGAGCGAGCGAACGCGCAGAGAGAGAGAGGGAGAGAGAGGGAGAGAAAGAGGCACAGCGGCGCGGCGTTAATAGATCGTCGTGGTGTCGAGAAACGCCCAGAGACCAGAGACCCGAGAGAGCCCCAGACGAGGCAAGGCAGTCTAGCAATCGTAGCGGTCTGGAGATGAGAGGCTGTCAGGTCGCGACGGTGGCAGGTGCCGCAGATCTAGTGCCCGATCGAGCCCACTGGCCCACTGGCCCTGCGGTGGGAGGAAAGCAGTAAAGAAAGGCTAGGAAGGAGCCCGAGGCGGAGGGCAGGAGGGAAGGAAGGAGGGAGGGAGGGAGGGATACCGATAGGGAGGGTCCGGCAGATAGGATAGCTGCCGGAGCCTTTTGGGTTATCAGCAAACGGAATGATGACAGGGAGGCAGGGAACAGGCTGTGGAGTGGGCGACGAGTCGCATAGGCAGATAGGTAGGGTAAGGTAGGGTAGGGTAGTGTAGTGTAGGGTGGGAGCGGGAAGCGATATATGAGTACCTACCTCCTACTAGCTACATACTCTGTGTTGGAGGTAAAGAGAAGTGAGCGTGCCGGACAGCAGCAACAGGCTTTGGCGAGTACCGCCTACCTACTGTAGTATAGTACTAGTAGGTAGTACCTTAGTGCCGTAGAGGTTGAAGTATACTGCGCTGCCATTCTCCGATTCATCCATTGTTGGTTCTGTTCTCGTGGGTTGAGAGAGAGAGGTGGGCCCGCGCACCATGCGATAACCGACCGACCGCCCAGCCCAGCCCACTACACGCCCGCCGCCAGCCAAGTTGAGGCAACTAGTACAGCCAAACTAGTATCGAGTAGGTACAGTCGCTACAGACACACTACACACTCGAAACTACCACGAGCTAGGTTCATGCCGCGCGGTGAGCGTGACAGTCACCAGGCAAGCTCTCGCGTGTGGCCAAACCCTGCGCCACTGTTACTGTCTACGACACTACAGTACTACTGTACCCAGACGGTACGGTGGCCGGCAGCCTCCTCCAGGTAGCTCCTAGGTACTTCTGTTACAATGCCCCAATCCGGTCCGGTACGGCGAGTCGGCGACGGGCTATCCGCTGCAGCGCGTGGGAAAAGGCACTTAAGGCAGCACGCCGCACGCAGCACGCTCCATGTGCTCCTGTCTGCTCACCGTGTGCTCTTGTGCTCCTGTGCTGAGTGTGCTTGCCATGCTGTGATACAGTGATACTCCGGCAGCTTACTCCGAGAGATTGGCACATGCCTCTACTGTAGCTATGTGTGGGGACATCCAAAGTTCTCAACGACAAAGCGACGCCTATGATTGGCCACTGCGCGTGCTGCTGATAAGGATTTCCCAGAACAGCCTAGCGTGTGTGGTCGTCGCAGGGATCCTTTTCCCGCCAATGGAAACGCCGCCGCCGCCGCGCCGGGTCCGATAAATGACAGTCATGATGAATTGATGATGAGAAGCTGTGCTTTGTCAGGTCTCAGATCTGGTGCCGATGCCGATGCCGATGCTGATGCTGATGCTATTTTGCTGCTGCATGTGACATTGTGATCTGGGTGTGGACCGAGACGAGACGGCCGGCGGCGGCAACTTCCCCACAAGAGGAACGACAGGCGTCGATGAGGCTACTGTAGGTACGGTAAGGGATAATAACATGGACACACCCATACCACATTTCCATTTGCCAAAGTGAAAGAAGACAGCGAGTGTAGGTAGGTTGGACGGCCTGGCAGACGCGACACGTCTCGTCTCGTCTCCTCTCGTCACGTCACCTCACGTCTCGTCCTCGGTCGCAGAATCAGAAAATGTGTGTGTGCGCGCACATGGGTGATTCAGGGTTGCGCCCGTCGATGTGAACATGGAGGAGGAGTTGGCAACCTACCGAGGCCTCCCTTTCTCCTCCCAGCGCTGCGCTGAGCTGGAATCAATAAAAACGCACTGTTGACCCAGCACCCCTGTCAAAAGAGCATCAATCATCCATCATTATTATTGAATAAATCGGAGCTAGACATCTCCTGAACTACTCGTACATCGTACATGCGCTCACACCACGACTACGACTACTGCGGTTGTGGAACAGCGAGCTCCAGGGTGCATCCATCCTGCGCTTCCGCACTGGACTACTACAGCACACCAGATATCGACATTGGAACAAAGTCTCTGCACCATCTACTGTGATCGCAGAATCGCTTCGCATCGCCTCGCCTCAGCTGTACACCGCAGCTCCTGAGCTCCTCTTGAATCGCGCCATCTGGGCAACCCGGATTCGAGTTCCACGGGCCGACCACGACTGGCATCCATTCCCCTTCCCCTCCCCCCCCCGATACACCACCACGCCGAGAGAGATAAGAACATGTCCGCTGAAAGCACGACGTTCAATGTGTCGGACACACCACTGCCACCATCTCCCCAGCACGATCCCTTGAACCCACAGCAATGGAGCATCCTGTTTGCCATTGCCGATGCTGTAGTACCGGCTTTGACCCGCACTGACGATGGCGACCATCACTTGCTCCAACATCCTCTGCGAGTCCATGTCTACGATGCTGCCGTCAAGCGTATCCGGGACCTGGCGAGACACGAGTCCGATGAAACGGCGCTTGCTTACCTCAGCGAAAGCGCCTCCAACCACCCCATGTTCAAGGAGAGCATTGCCAGGCTGGTAGTATTCTATATGAGGGAGGAAGCCAGGAATGGGCTATTATTCATTCTGACTGCATTGAAGTAAGACCCTCCACTACTCTATGTCGTGGCAACTGCCGTTTGCATCATGGTCCATGAAGCGGATATGGCTCTCTATCCGTCCAAGTGCACAAGCGCGGCGTCCCCGATTGATGGCCGAAATTAGTCCAACATCACAGTGAACGCACCAGTGACTTTCATATACCTTACGTACTATCATGATATTCCGCGAGCATCAGCTGACGCAAACTCCCCCTTTCTTAGCACACGAGCCGGCTCGCTCCTACTCACGGGCCACACGACACCTTTGACAGGACTGACAGTACGCGAACGCGAAAAGGTCTTTTTGGGATGGGCCCAATCTCGCATACCACTGCTTCGAGGCTTGCACAAGTCTTTGACGCAGCTATGCCGTGTGATATGGCTGCGAAACTCACCGAATCTCGAAGCTATACTGGGCTATCCAAGGGCACCGATTTACGCCAAAGCTGCACCCTCTGGATACAGCTTCCACTTTCTGCAGATCCCGCCACCTGTCTCTGCTGAGCCCAAAGTCATCGAGACAGATGTACTCATTGTAGGAAGTGGCTGTGGTGGCGCAGTCGCTGCAAAGACATTGGCAGAAGCCGGTCTGAAAGTGCTTGTCGTAGAGAAGCAGTACTATTGGTCACCAGAGCATTTCCCCATGGGGGAACGTGAAGCGACCACCCATCTCTTCGACAACGGGGGTGCAATCATCTCGGATGATGCGAGCATGACTGTCGTGGCAGGCACGACCTGGGGAGGTGGAGGCACAGTCAACTGGAGTGCCTCATTGCAGCCACAAGGCTTTGTGCGGAGGGAATGGGCCCAAAAATTTGGCCTGACTCACTTTACTACATCAGCTTTTCAGGCAGATCTGGACTTTGTTTGTGATCGGATGGGCGTAAGTACCACTAACATCACTCATAACAAAGGCAATATAGTACTTCTGGAAGGAGCCAGGAAGCTCGGCTGGGCTGCGAAAGCTGTCGCGCAAAATACCGGCGGCGAAGTCCATCATGATGGATTCTGCACCAGAGGATGTCGCACCTGCTCCAAGAAAGGACCTACAGTCACATTCCTGCCCGACGCAGCAGATGCCGGTGCAACTTTCATGGAAGGTTTCGAGGTCACTAAAATTCTCTTCGATGAGAAGAACACCACTGTAGCGACGGGCGTCAAGGGTATTTGGACTTCGCGTGATAGCATGAGCGGTGTCTCTGGGACAGACCGGACCACTCGCGAAGTGATCATCAAAGCCAAGCGTACCATCATCTCGGCTGGTTCTGTATACTCACCACTCTTGCTGCAGCGGTCAGGCTTGAAGAACAAGCACATAGGTCGTCACCTCCGTCTGCATCCTGTCAACATGGTTGCAGCAGTCTGGGATGAAGATGTCCGGCCGTGGGAGGGAGCAATTCTCACGTCCGTCGTAAACGAATTCGAGAACATGGATGGCGACGGGTACGGCACCAAGCTCGAATGTACGACCATGCTTCCCAGCTCCTTTCTTCCGCTCTTCGACTGGCAAGGTGGCCTCAGCTTCAAGGAGTTCACAGCCAAAATGCGTCGCATGACAGGCTACATCGCGCTGGCTCGCGACCGATATGGCGGGCGTGTCTATACCGACGCCAAAGACGGGAGTTGCCGAATCCAATACACGCCCAGCAAATACGACCAAAAGCACATTCTCGAGGGAGTTGTCCGACTCGCCGAAATCATGTATGTGGAAGGTGCTCGAGAGATCCACATTGCAGCACCTGGAATTCCACCCTTTGTCCGACCGGCCTCGGACACCGACTCGAAAATTTTCATCCACACCAACGCGAGCCCTTCGGTCACGGATGTCGATTTCGCGGCCTGGATCGCCCAAGTCCGAGCGAACGCCTTTCCTTCGCCCGGCACGGGCTTCTTCTCGGCGCACCAGATGGGCTCGTGCAGAATGGGTACGGCTCCGCACAATAGTGTGGTGGATCATCGAGGTCGCGTGTGGGACACGCAAGGGTTGTACGTCGCCGATGCGTCGGTCTTCCCTTCTGCGAGTGGCGTGAACCCGATGATTACCAATATGGGCATTGCGAGGGGAATTGCCAGGGGGATTGCAGAGGAGGCCGATCAGCTTACTTTGGCGAGTTCCAAGGCTGACAATCATAATACGGGTGTCAAGGCGAGGCTGTAGTGGATGGGAAGGAAGGAAGGAAGGAGAGTGAGAGTCGTGGGGAAAAAAAAGAAAAAAAAAAGAAAAAATCCGATGCGAACTTCTCGCACTTGTCAGGATGAGAGCGTTGTATAGTGTACAGATGTGTATATGTCTATCAAAAAGTTGCTGCCAAAGCTCAGCACAGCTTATGTTCAGCATCCATCTCAGATACCGATCGATTACCCCCACCACCACCTCATCATCCACTCTGTACAGCTCTCTCAGCTCTCTCCAACGGACTGCCGACAGGACGATCGCGGTTAAAATCGTCTCGACTGAGATAGCCCTCTTGCCGCAACAAGCCGGTCGAATGCACAAAATCCCAAAACTGCCTCTCGCCAGTTTTGGAAATCCTTCCCTGCTGATCCCTCATGTCAATCGTCGCAGCATCCACCAGATTCCTCATCTTGTCCCACATATGTCGTGCTGCATACACTCGCGCCACACTCTCCAAAGCCTTCCAGCCCGGTTTCTTGGACGACGCGCGAGACAGGGTGAGAAATTTCTCCATGGGTTGGACGCCGACGAGATGGTGATATCGCGCGTACCATTCGATCATTCTGTCGTAGAAGATGCCGTCGATTCCAGTGAGCAATTCACTGTGGGTGATTTGTTGCCACAGAGCTTCGATGGCGGCGAAGTCGGGTTGTAGATGTTCTCGGTCGAAATAGGATCCCATGAGGATTGTGTAGATGTGCGTGGTGGGTTTGAGGCCACGTGAGAGCATGTGTGAGTAGACTGCAGCTGCTGCAGTGTGATTTTGGTAGTGTTTGATTAGACGGTCGATAATGAGGGCGTAGCCCATTGAGTTGATTCCGGGAAGCTTTTCGGATTTGTCGGAGAGGGCGTCGATGAAGTTGAGGATTTTGGTTTGTTGAGCGGATGGGGAAAGACCTTCCAGGAATCCTCCTTCGAAGAGAGAAGTGACGATGACAGTCCAGGTTGTGGAGTCGGCTTCTAAGCCACGCCCTTGCATTTGTTGGAGCACTTCGAGGGCATCTGTGGGCCGATGCTGTTTCATGGATATGCTGAGGAGAGTGTTGAAAGTGGCAAGATTTGGCTCGATGCCGAAAGAGCGGCCCCAGCTGAAGACTTTGGGCACTTCATCCGGTCTTGTGGTGGCCAGAGCTGCCATTGCAGCATTCATGACCTCCAAGTTTGGCCGAGGTACGCCGTCAACAGGTCCAGGATACCTCTTCATCAGCTCAGAAACCATATTCTTGTTCGACGCCATCCAATTCGTATCTGCTGGGAGCCCTTCTGACACCGCTTTTGCTTTGGCTGCAGCGAACCACTCCTGGCCCATTTCACTCAATGCTCGCATGCCAGTACTGACATTTCTAAGCTTAAGAAGGCCGAATATGCGAATGGACCAGGAGTAAGCGTCCGGCCGAAGTCCAGCCTGACGCATCCTTTGAAAGAAGGCTTCCATGCCTTTCACGTCTCGTGCATTCTGCGAGCCACGCATCATGACCGTGTACGTTTTGACAGTGGGCTCGAGACCTAGCTGAGCCATGTTCTGCCAGACCTCGACAGCAGTTTTGGTATCGCGTACAGACAGAGTGGCAAGCAGCATATGTTCGTATAGGTCGATTGGCAAAACTTCGCCATGGCTTAGTGTGGATGCGTATTCCTGCACCTCTCGCACAATTTTGGCTACTTGTGCCACTCCCTGGCCTTCCATGGCCTTCAGGAGTCTGTAGATCTTTTCTCCGGCGTATGATTCGACTGCAGGCCTCTCGGCCGCTTTCACTTCCGGCGATAGCTGTTCAGTGTCATCAAAGCTCGTGGGATTCTCAACACGGGCAGGTATCCCCACGCGGACAGATGGTGGGCTCCTGGCTGGAGTTTGGGAACTGCGTGCAACGCTGGTAACGTTGGCTGAATAGCCTTCGCACCCGACGCGTGCAAGCATAGCTTTTAGCTGTTCCAGTCCGAGTTCATCGGCCTTTAGAGTGAGCTTGAGCTCCAGTTCTGGGGGAACACGCGGCGACGCAGCGATGCCGAGCATTTCTGCGATGATTTCAGCAAATGGAGCATATCGTGCAAGAGTGGCCATGGGCACATTCTGTCCATCTTCGGACGGCTGTACAGTCTTGTTCAACAGATCCACAGTGAGAAGTGCAGCGCTGGCATAGTCACCACGAGCTGGAAAGCCTTGCTTTACATCGGTCGGAGGAACCAATAGGCCGAGCATTTGCTCAAAGGCAGTGCTCGAATCGCGCTCATGCAGAGACGTAAACGCTGCGACAGCTGGGAGGAAGCTCCAGTCTTCCTCTGATGTTGCCACAGAGGCGAACGCGCGGGCTTTCGCCTCGCGAACATCGCCTAGTGATTTATTGGAAAGGCTACCGCCTATACATAACCTCCATATGCCCATAAGCTCATTTACACCGTTGGAGAGACGCTGATCATGAATGTCCGCACGACGACCAGCCTGGTAAGTCCAGAGATAATCAGACAGCCTCGACAGCACCGGGCGGACGTACAGTGTCTTGGAAACGTATGCCTGGTGGAGAAGCAGCATGATACGGTATGGTGTTGGCATAGCAGAATCAACGTCTCCTGTTCGAATGCTATCCATCAGATTGATGATGGATCGATGCAGCAAGATCGAAACGATCCTCGACACACCCGAAATGTTCAGGAAGCGCGCTGCATGGCGAGGGTTACCCTCAGAATATATCCGTGCCAATTTCTGCAGGACTCGCCATGTCGATGGCCAATCTTCAGCTGTGGAGTACCCGGACAGCTCATTCACAACGTTCATGACATGCGTTGGTATAGCGAACGCATTATCGTTGGCATGGTCGTCGGTCTGATGTGGCCGTTGCGGCGCTGGACGATTCGCGCGTTGCGTTGATCCGGTTCCCACAAGTCGTGATCGAGGTGGTTCTGGTGGAGCGTGATGGAACGGAGTGTACGGCTGCTCCGGCCTCAGCTCCCGCCCCGAGTATCGTCCTCTGACAGTATAGCCGATGCCACTGCCACTGCCATCGCCGTCGCCAATCCCATTGTGATCACCATCGCCATCCTCCCGTGTGCCATTGGACGCGATTGCTTGCGAAAGCGTTCGTAAGTGGCGCGCGGTCCCGCGTACAGTTCTGGTCAGCGGTGCGAGGCGGCAAGCGCTGCAGATATATGGCACCGACATGTCTTCGTCATCTTGTAGTTGGGGATTGTTCAGGACGTGAGTGAGAGAAGCGCACCAAGTCAATTCTGGTACTCCCGTCTCTCTCCCGCCTGAGGGCACCCCCGAGTCTTCGCCGTGGCCTTCTCCACATTCAGCCAAATGCGGGAAAGTCCTTCTCCATCTTTCTTTCCTCTCTGGACTCGGCTACCGCCTTTTCACGTGCCAAAGTCTATTCAGGTACATGTAGTTGGTCTAGGCAAGGAAGAGTCAAATGTTTGTTAATGTTACGCTACCACCACAGACACATACACATACACATACACATCACCACCACCACCACCACCATCTCGGGATGATACGCACTTGACAATCGTCCCTACAATGTCGACTCTTCTTCCCAGATCGCCCTACAGCGAATCGGAGCTTGCTCAGCTCTACCCACCCACCCTCCAACTGTGTCAGGTCCAGGTGCTGCTCAGGCATGGCGAGCGTACTCCGGTGTCATCGCGATTCAAAAATGCCGGATTGAACGGGACATGGAACTATTGTAGAGCAGCAAACGAGCTCAAGGCCACCATCCTTGCCGCCGACGGCTCGTGGGACACGCTTGCCTGGAAGAGGAGGATGGAGACATTCGGCGTCGAGGATACTCCCAAGCTGGCAGCAGGCTCCAGAGGCGACATTGATGCCGTATGTCAGCCGGGAGAGTTGACTGACCGAGGCCGTGAAACCACGCTCGCTCTCGGTCAGCGAATACGAACGCTCTATGTCAATCAGCTCGCGTTCTTGCCTGCGTTCCTGGACGAGCAAAACAAGTCGAACGTCAGTCTGAGGGCCACACCGATCCCGCGAGCACTGGAGAGCGTACAGCAGGCCTTTGTCGGCCTATACCCAGCAGCATCTCGATCGCCAGGCCTGCTGCCTCCTGCAATCGTGCAGCGAGCTTTCCAAGATGAAACTCTGTTCCCAAACGAAGGCGCTTGCAAACGCTTCGCTGAGCTCGCACATCAATTCGCCGACCGAGCTGCAAATATCTGGAACGATTCGAACGAGATGAAATATGTCAATCAAAAGATCGGGAAGTGGATGCCCAAGGAGAGTCCGATCATCAAGGTCGACTCCCATCCTCGGTTAAGTGGAGTCATGGACTCCATCAATGCTACACTTGCACACGGTCTGGACACTAAGCTGCCCGCTGCGTTTTACGATGAGACTGTTCGCGCCAACATTGACAGAATATGCGTGGAAGAATGGTTCGCAGGCTACCAAGAGAGCGCAGAGTACAGAAAATTGGGCATTGGTGGTCTCATTGGCGACGTCACGCAGAGAATGGTCGAGCAGACTATTGGTGTTCCAAAAGAAGGCCAGGGGGAGCCATTGAAATTCAGCATGTCCGGCTGTCACGATACAACCATTGCTTCCACACTTGCAGCTCTAGGAGGATTTGACTATGAAAAGAATAAGTGGCCGAATTTCACCTCCTCAGTTGCATTCGAACTATTCAAATCGAAAGATACCTCCATGAGCCCACCCAGCAGTAACGGCAAATCCTGGCTATCATCCCTCTTCTCGTCATCATCATCAAAAGCGAATGTTGACACTGCCTCTCGAGCACCTTTGAACAGCATGCCACAGTCCACGCAGCACAAACTCGAAGGGCACTATGTCCGTTTACGCTATAACGACCAACCTGTCACGCTTCCCTTCTGCAAAGCTCCGGGCAGACATTTGGAAGGGGACGAGACGTTTTGCACACTCAAGGCTTTCAAAGAGGCCGCAGATATGGTCACTCCCAAAGATTGGAAGCTTGAATGTAAAAGCAACCTTGGAGCTAGTGCTTTCCCGGCGAAAATAGAGCCGCCTCCTGGTGTCGGAGTGTGAGTTAAGGTTGTCAGAGGCAGAGGCAGAGTGATCGATACTACAAGGTACCTCAGGTACCTTGTATATAGAGTGCATGGCTTTGCAGAGTATCTTCCTAGACGGGAATGGAAAATGGAAAATGCCAACATACAGCCAACGCATCAGATACTCTTGTCCCTTCCTATGTGTAGATGGTTCGCAGAAAGGTGCTGTAACAAAGTTCAACTGGGGGTATCGTGATCGGCTCAAGACGCAAAGGTCGAGCTTCCAACATAATAACAACAAGGAAACATGTTCGGCGTATTGCCTCTTGCCTGCTTGCCTGCCGCCTGTATTCCTCAATGTGCTTGTTCGTTTCCTGGCGTGGGTGTTCCTGTGCCAAATTCCAGGTCCCCCGTTCATCACCGACTGTTCGACCGACCGAACCCCCCACCGCGCGACAGACACACAAGACAACAACAACAAAAATAACAACAAGAAACGCCTCTTGCTCAAACAATACACATACACAAACATAGCTCAAGTCTCAGAGCTTCAACTTCAATGTATAGTCAATCTTCTCTTTGGCCATCCATTCTCGCAACATGGCATGTCCAGCTCTGGCTGCACGCACAGGCGTGGTAGCAACACCAATAGGCAACTTATAAGGACCAGAAAGCAACTTTGCAGGATCCAGCTTATCGTCGTTCGGGGGGATTTTCTTCGTTCGTCCCTTCCAACTTCTCGGAAAAGTTTCCTGTAAAGTGTCGAGATCGAGCTTCTCTTCCAGGCCCGCAACAGCTCTAGTCAGGAGGAGAGCAGTGTCGACGAGGACTTCCTGCTTGGGCGGGTCGGAAACGAGAGTGCTGATTTCTAAAATGCGGGCGTTGATCACAATACCCAGAGCGCACACGAGGCCGCTCAGGGGCGTAAACGCAGAGGTAGTGTGCTTGACAAACGCGTAGAAGGCATTGAGACTACACCAAACCCTGTACATGGGAGGCCGTTTCGGGTCTGCACACGCATTGCCCTCATCCACGCATGCGAACGCTAGGAGGTAGCATAGTAGTGACTCGACAGCTTTGACAGCAGCCAGTTTCTGATCAAGGCCAGTCTGCGAGTGGTTGAGATGGGCAGTAGCCGAGTGCTTCAACTGTCGACCTAGGTCCTCAAGCCGCTTCTGCTCCAATTCAAAGGCATTCAGTCTGTGGGACTTGCTGCTCGGCTGACTGGATGGTGGGCGAGTGATACCACTCGTCGAAGTGCTCCCATTCACAATGGGCGTGTTGGCCGCCGCTGGCGGAGTATGCGTTGAGTTGCTGTCCTGTGATAGCTCTCGCTTCATCGAGTGCGACAAGAAGTCTCTGCGTGTTCCCGGTGTATTGAGCTGACCTGACTTGGGAACTATTGGTGAGTCCATTTCTCGTGGCCCTGGTGTGGATGGTTCTTTGTGTGCATCAGCGGCCTCGAATTTCCTGCGCTTAGCAGACGGACCTTGCCTGTCATCATCGGACTTTCGTTTCGGCGGAGAAGTCGGATTCTCCGCAAGCTTGATTGGTCGCTTCCCGGACTGCTTGGGCACGGTTTTCTCCGGTTTTCTGGCAGGCGTCTCCCCCGCCACTTCTTTCTTGTCCTTCTTAACCGGTCCAACCTTTTGAGCAACTCCTTTTAGCTTCGCCGACTCGTCCTTGCGCTCCTCATCGGGCTTTTCAATAGACTTCGTCGACACTTTCGGCTCTTCGCTTGTGCTCGGTGACAGTAGCATGCTCTTGTCGGGCTTTGACCGCATCTTCAGAATCCGCAGAACATTCTCTTTGCGGTGCCGTCCGTACTTCAATCGGATGACCAATGATGCCGACTTCTCCAGATCCTCAGGCATTTGGGCTATCTTGACCAATGCTGATGCTTCAACGTCTGCTTTGTTGGCACCCTTCGCCTTCGGCACCTTGGCGACAGCAATCTCATCGTCCTGCGAATGCTCAAAAGTTTCGGCTCGTTGGGTAGAGGCGACTGCGGCGGCCTTTGCCTCAAGCTCAGAACGAACCGCTGGGCTACTCGGGCTAGCGCGAAAGCCATTGCGTGGTATGGGAGACTTGTGCTTAGTAATGCCTTCGGTCTTCTTCAACGGCGTGAGCTTGCCATTCTTATCCTTGACGATCGTGCTTGGCGTTGGCAGATTTGAACTTGATGTCTTAGACGAAGGCCGTATATTGTTGTACGCTTCTAAAGCTTTCGTGATGTTGTCGGGAAAGGAGAGTGACAGTCGCGCAGGCAGCTGCTCGCGAGCATCTGCGGGGCCTGCTGAAGCTCCCAGCACTGTAGTCGTATGTGCAGTGTGCAATGGCGATAGTTTGTCAGGCAGCCCAGGCGACAACCGAGGAGGTGAAAGACGAGGAGGTAATTCGGATTCGCCCATTCTGGTCCCGTTGAGGAGCTTGTTTTGTGATCGCGCCGTCGTACTCTTCTGATGCCGTGGCGTATCGGTCTCGACTGATTGAGCCTCTGCCTTCAGCTTCTTTAGGCTGGGCTCAGCTTCGCCATGTTGTGCCCTGCTTTCAGGTCTGCCCGCTTCACTTTGCTCCATCCTCTTGCGCTTCAAGTCACCATGCTCTGGCGACCTTTCCCTTTGCATTTTTTGCTCTTCTTCGTTCTCATCTGCTACCGCTGCTAGCGTCTCCTGTGTCTCCGCTTTGACGCGCTCCACGGGGCCCTTGACGGCAGGTTGCTTTCCTGCTGCATCCACGCTCTTCTGCGCATCGAGCTCTGGAGTCACCGCATCGCCGTTCTGCTTGCCCTTCTTGTACGCGCTGAAGCTGATCTTCTTCTTGGGTCCAGTGTTAGAAATATTTGTGCGCATGCTCGGCCGCGGCTTGTCCTGGCTGCCACTAGATTCGCTGATCGGTCTGCTATTATGCAGCATATACATCTCTTTGCCTGGCTCGTGGTAGTGGAAGGTCAGGTACTGGGTAGCCTCGTGCTCGCCGTCCTCGAACGGCGTGCTGTATAGCCATTGCTTCGCCTGTGACTCGTAATGATGGTGATATCGCGGCTCCACGTCTTGTGGTATCGTAATGACATAGGGATCGACGGTGATATGATCGCGCATGCGCTGCAGTTTCGTGTCGATGGCGTCGAGATCGGCTTGCTCGTCTTTGTTGGGTGTCCATGTTACGGTTCCGGGCGGTCTGTCTTGTGCCCCATGTGCGATACCAGGCATGATCGCGCAGAGGTGACGCAGGGCGCTATGAATAGATCATGGGGGTCGCAGTGCTGCTGAGGTGGAAGCGCGCAGCATTGGGCGGATCCACCGCGAGGACTCTGGTATTCGACGTGAGTGGGGGTGAGCAGAGGAGGGCAGGCAGGGCGGGCAGGGCAGGGCAGGACAGGACAGAGCAGAGCAGAGTAGAGTAGAGAAGCAGGCGGAATGCGTCGCAGAGAAGGAGGTTGCTGTCTTGCTTGTCGCGACGACAGTGAGACAGGTCCAATGTGGTTATTGATGTGCACGTGGTTGCGCGATGTGCAAGATCGCCTGCTGGAGATATGAGGTCAGGTAGGCAGCTGTGGTGAGCCTGGTAAGGCAGTAGTCCCTAGTGGAGGTGGATGTCAGGATACGGAAGAGGGCTGGAGCGGATCCAGGTAGTTACGCGCTGGATCTTCGCTCGCTCGCTCGCTCGGCAGGCGATCCGAGCAGAGCGACAACAATGCCACTTTCTCGCTGTGTGTGCTATTGTTGATGCTAGGTATCCGCTCACTCTGCGTTACATGTACTTCCAGTGTCTTAACCTGCTGTGGATCATGATTCCTACGAGACTGCGGGCGCAAACAGTTCTTTGGTCACATCGTGATAGACTCTCCCAGGTCTTCGGTTTGTGCTATATACCTCATCCCACCAAGCCAGCCCGAGGTCTAGCACAGGGTCTTAGGAGGTAAGTCATCTTCATTTAGATTCTACACGTGCATACACAGCGCATCATGTCAATATCCGTGGCCCACCCCGCCCGTGCCGTCTTACTTGGTTGCACAAGACGGTCCATCGCATTCGCAGATCGAGACTTGCGCCCGGCCCCTGCAGTAAGTCCGACCTAGTCTGGACGGCAGCGCTGGAGACGACACCATCACGTCTGCAGACCGCTGTATCCGATTCCTATCAACCCAATACATAGCTTCCTCCATGCCGAAACCTCTTATGCTGAACCTCCATAGTGTCATCTGTCATAGTTCGTCATCCGTTTCATCCTCGTCATCGCCAATGTTCGAGGCCTTGGGCGGCGTAGGCTCTTTCTCTTTCGTCTTTGGAGGCATATCCCTGGTGGGTGCCTGCCGGGTCGGTGCTGCCTCATCCACATCCATTGGATCAGATTCTTGGCTTGGTTGACGCCGCTGAGTTTGCTCCTGGGTAACTCGATGTGAGGCTCCAGAACCAGCAAGTACTTCAGGCGAGGCAGCATGCTCCTCTTCATCCTCGACCGGTTCGACAGCAGCATCGGGCTCGTCCGGCTCGGGTGTGACTCGATCGTGCCTTGATGCGCCTTCGCCTTCGCCTTCGCCTTCGCCTTTGTCGAAGCCGTTGACAGTGGCACCGTCCTCATCTGCTGCGTCTGAATCTGTCAAGGGCGACAGTGATGCTCCATTGGCTTTTCGCTTTCCGCCTCGAGAGGAACTTGCCTCTCTCGGAGTACTTGCTGATTTCGATCGACTCACGTCTATCGCGGCATCTGAATCGATCTTGGCACTCTTCAATAGCCGTTGTTGATCACGAATTTTCAACTTCTTAGCATTGAGTAGTGCGGCAAATTTACTTAGCAGTTCGTCCTCGTGTGCTTTCTTCGCTCTGACTAGCATGTCCAGCTCCGTGGTCAACTTGGCAATAGAGTCTCTCTGTGACTCTACAGAAGCACGTAAAACATCTAGCTGCAATCGTAGACCGTCGGCCTCGGCAGCAGCAGCATCAACCCATTCTAGAGTGTCAACTTCCGTGTCCGTCTTCTGCAGAGGTATGGTTCCGAGTCTCTGGGTAATTTCACCAACCTTCTTCCGAATAGTGATTGTTGCATTGGTCTTGCTGATAGCGGCGACCGTCTCCACACCTTGTAAGGAGTCTGGTAACAGACCCTCCGGTTTATGGTGCAGCAACGCGAACATAAGGAGGGTCTTCCATTCTTCGAGATTACCCTTGAAATTGCGGTCCTGATAGGCCTTGGTGTCGGCTTCCTTGAACGAGACGACGAAAAGTTCGGACTGATCTGTGCCAATGAGCTTCAAGTCTAGGTCTTTTCGTCCTTCCTTAGCGATATTAACGAGCATGTGCTTCGCAGACTTGTCGTCCGTCCGACGCAGGCGAAGGACGTGCTGTGTCGGAGGTGACATAGCTTTCAAGGCTATTGTTCGGCCTTAACTGGTAGGTTGCCCTGCATGCGTATGTCTGAAACCGAGAATAGAGATGTGTGCTTGCGCAAGGCGAAGGCGAGGGAAATCAGGATATGTAGCTCTTCTGAAGCTGTGATGCGGCCTTCACACAGGATTCATCTGCGACAGCGCGTGCCTTGCAGCGTGGCGTGATCTACGGCCGCGATATTGCGGCAATCAGCTGTTGCTATGTGACTTCAAAATCTTGCTGGCGACGCGATATTCGAGACCGCGTGTCGGCCAGTGCGCTCGCTCTGCACCGGGGAGCCGGTCGGGAAATAGAGAGAATCGACGTGCCGTGCGTGGAAAATTGGTAAAGTAGCTGGCGCAGGGGTCACGTAACTCATGTTACGGGTCTTACAGTTCGCGTTGCCTAAGGTTATTTGAATCATGCCAGCCATCCTCTGAACATCGGGCAAGAACAATCGTCGAGCGCGCCGTATGAACGCACACCATCTCCAGCACCTACACCGCGCGTCATCCTGTTCACGGCCTTCCTCTTCCCAGGCTGTGCAGTGACCGCATGACGCTGCACCTCGCGCACGAGACATTCGGAGCACCACGACGGCGGCATCACGACGGCGGCCACAATGGCGGTCGAGAGCTGGGACCTGGATGATGACTTCCAAGGCGACTTCCAGACCTTTGGCAACGCCAGCGTGGGAACGGGACCTCTCAGTATGTCGTCGCGAATGAGCACGCGATCGGAGTCGGTGGCTGGCGATGAGGACTGGAACGTGGTCATCACACCCAACGACGAGCACAGCACGACACAGGCGATTCAGTCCGCGAAACAGGCAGGCATACCACTCCCGAACAACGTGCCCGCAAGCGCACTGTTAGGCGGCACGATAAAGCGATTGGGCAAGAAGAAGTCGAAACAGAAGATTGATCACGACTGGGACAATGACCTCGAGATGTCGGACCAGCCGTTGCAGCTGAAGCCGAGGGCAGATGATCCAGGTGTCATGTCGGACGAAGGCTTCGACGATTTTGATGACGAGCTTGAGGGAAGCCTAGGGATTCGCTTTGCTGGAAAGCGTGACACGAGAAATCGCAGTGGTTCGGCATCAGTGATGAGTCCGAGTCTAGGTTCTGCGACCGCAGACAGTGAGGTGGATGATCTGGGTGGGCTCGATTTCCCCGAAGGACCCATGGACTTCGACGCACTATTGAAGAAACGACGCGCTGCAGATGCAGAACTATCAGACTTGTCGCAGCCAAGCTCTGCGGTAGTAGAGCAGGAGCCTACGATGACCAAGACGCACAAGAAGTCCAAGCTGGAGTCCGACGACAACGACGACTTCTTTGGGGATCTGGATCTGGGTGATGGCGAGGTGCTCAATGTACGGAAACGTACCACGAATCGAAATGTGCAGGTCAAGTCGGCCAGAGTGCCTCCAGCTGCTCAAAGAGCCGCTACTACTTTGAACTTCCATGATCGAGCCACCGACAAGCCCATATACACACGATCGCATATCCCGCGGCCCGTCTCTGGCACCAGACACACGTCTCGACTGGATCCGGTCTTCGAAAGTGGCGATATGCAAGGGCTTAAGAATAGGAGAGGGCCCACCACGACGAGTGCGCAGCTACTTCGTTCCAAGCGGTCTATGCCCGCTCTGCGCAACCAATCGAGCCATGGTTCCTTGTCGAAGCCTTCTGTACCATTCCTGCCCGCAGGAGTATCCAATATGCAATCGCCACATATCACTACACATCGAGCAATGCCGTACCACTTGCGGCGCGACTCTGATCCGAACAGACCAGGTGCGCAATCACCACCACCACAGCGACCCAGTTCGAGGCTATCCAACCAAATCACGCCGGATACTCCTTCGCGAGTGGCAAGGCACAGAGAAAACGTAGCGCCCGCCTCGCTGGTTCGGCAAGCAGCTGCTAAGCACACTCTGACGAAGCCGATCAAGAAGAGGCATTTTGGCGATGGCAATGAGCTTGAGATCTTTGATGATCTACCAACATCCGTGACCACAGAGAGCAAATTCATGAAGCAACCTGTCGGTCGCGGCCCACCTAAGCAGAGCACTTTACGGGCCACCCAAAGTCGTAGCGACCTGACGGATGCTAGTAAGAGAAACTCTGCAATCACCATCGTACCTGACAGAATGATGACACCTGCTCCTCGAACGCCGGCGAGTCCCACCAAAGGCTTCTACGATGCGCCGACGGCCACACCTAGTTACCTTCGTGATACTGCTGCAAGTAGAATTGCCAGAGAAACACGCCTCGCAAATCAGCCGCGACCACGAAGTGAAGGGCCCCTTCAGCCACTGACTACCAACTGGAAAGCTCAAGTGGCAGCAAGAAGTCCATTCTCAAGCCCAGGTGCACAGAGACAGAAGAGTATTCGGAGGCCGGGCTTGATTGCGGGCATCGGTTCCCACGTAGCCAAGAGTATGTGTCAAGTATATTGCTTCGCGCGAGAAAAACACTGCTGATCAGAATGATAGGCGAAAAGGGTATGATATATAACCCGCAAACACTACGCTGGGAAGGCAACGAGAACACGTTGCAAGCATTCGACATGGCGCCGTTAGAGACACCCACTCCACAACTTCGACCCCGATCGTCCTATATCGGACTAACGCACCAGAGATCCAACACGTCACCTTCACGACCCGCACTCATCTCCCACGTACCCACTGGCAGTGGTTTCAACATTCAAGTGCAGAATGGAATGGTGTACGATCCGCAGCAGATGAAGTGGTTGAAAGTCAAGGGCGGCCGAGACGTGTCTAACCAATTGTCTTCTTCTGCAACCGATGTTGAAGACGAGGAGGACGCATTTGCCGGTATCGACGACCTCAAGGACGAAAATGTTCCTGCAGGCGGGCAGGGTATTGATGGCATGAACCTTGCAGCACCCCCTGCAGAAAACTTCCACGAGGAGTTCGATATTGGCCTCCGATTCATTGACCTGCAAAGGACAGAGGAAGAAGCGTGGCGCCGAATCTGTTCAAATTGGTTCGTGGGCGATCAGCCACGGCCCGACAATGGGATGTGGCGACACAGCATCAGAGACATCGTGCCCGCCGACGGCTTCTGATGATGACGATGACAAGACGGCGCTCGCCAGTGTACATGTTGTTGCTCTTAGAAATGCAGATAATATCGTCGTCTTATAGCCTGCAGCATTTTGGGATGGGTTTGGAAAGCTGGCGCAGGTGCACAACAAAGTAATAACGACGAGACGAAGATATGATGGATAGCTACATGTACCTTATCTCTACTACGATGAGCTGTGTGCTACACTCAGCCTATAAGCCTAGGAGTTACATGTACCGTGCGTGCGACATGCGTGTGTGAATATCGTGATTTACTAGCCCCCATGTGCATACCGCCTAGTCCTGGCCATGTCCCGGGCGTCGGTCATTAGGGAACAGATGTAGCAACTGAGCCGGTCCCTCTGCCCTTGCACGCGCTACCGATACGCGAGAGTGCGAGGGACATGCTGCCCACGTGCACTTGGCATGGTAGGACATGGAGATGAACATTTCAGCACTCTTGCGTTGCTGTGAGCCTCGTTTCTCCGCACCACTCAGATGCCATCCTGGATACACGTTTTCCGACTAACCATTCGCGGCCCGCCGACTCTGGTATAGGTATCTCCCTCATTCCCTGAGACTCTCTCCAGCATCGCACGTCTCGGTTTCGCTGCTTGGTCTCCCTGCAGGCCAAGGCTCCTTTCTCCCTTGGCAATCATCAAACAGGCAGGTGAATGAAACCTCATTCTGCGCCTCGAAGCACCTCCGACCATTCGAATGTCGCGCTCGAGCACGGGTTGTCGAAGGGTGCAGTCTGGGCCGAGCAGATGCAACCTATACCGAAGCTTATCCCCTTCCTCTCGCTCTTGACGGCTGAAGCTGGCAGTCAGTCTGCTTGTGACGAGTGGGCGGCATGATAGCGCATGTGCCGGCAGACGATGGTTGGGACTCGGGAGAAGGAGGAGGAGGTCGGGGTAGATTTTTCTTCCCTGGTGGTCAAATCTAGGACTACCTAAGGTACCGCAGGTAGACTTTTAGTATAAATGCACCAGGATCGTGGGGTGACGGGTCGAATCTCCTTCAGGTTTGCAACGCTCCCTTTCTTCGATCGTTCGACATCCAATGGCTACTATGAAGCCTTTGACAAGACTGTTCGCAGCTGCTGGGCTCGTTTCACTAGTTGGAGCCCAGACATTCCAGAGACATGGCACTTGTGAGTTCGGCGTGAGGTAATTGAGTGGGTCGCGTGCGGTGGTGCTTGTGCTGAGAATTTGACGCGTCACAAAGGCCCTACACTCGGATGCGTAACTCCACCTGACCAGCAGGACTTCCTCGCCGGCCAATACTTCGATATACGTGTCGAGGTTCACGCACCTGTCAATGGCTCCGAAGCCACCAACGGCGTGCCCGATGAGCACTTCACATTCACCATCAGCAAAGATGGGAGCGCTCCCCAGCCCGTCACCACCTACTTTGACCTAGACGAGCCCGAGATCGAGACTTGGGACTTCAGCTGGTACGAGGATCTCTTCGCCTATGATGCTCACACTCCGTCCGCCGTCAATGTGGCTTCCAAGGCATGGCGAAGAGTGGCTCTCTACGAGCCGGGCGAATACACTGCGGTCCTGACGTACAACAACGGTACCACGACCACGGCCAACTGGCTGGTGCGTGACATCGAGCAGGTCCGCAAGACCAAAAACATCCTCCTGTTTAGTGAGTCTTCACCGACAGACGCGCCCCAGCACGAGACACATAGCCCGGCGCTGTGACGACAGGTACTGATACATCGCAGTTGGCGATGGCATGACGACGAATATGGTGACCGCAGCTCGCCTTATTGCACACAAGACTGTGAATGGCCGTTACCAGAGCACCCTGGCCCTGGACAAGTTTCCGACAATTGGACATCAAATGACCCATTCGATCGATACGTTCATGACCGACTCTGCCAACTCTGCAACCGCGCTGTACTCAGGTCACAAGTCGACCGTCAATGCTCTGGGTGTATACGCAGACACCTCCCCGGATACTTTTGATGACCCCAAAGTAGAAAGCATTGCCGAGATCTTCCATCGTCTGGTTGGCGGCCATGTGGGCATTGTGTCGACCGCTTTCATCGCAGACGCCACTCCCGCAGCTTTGACTGCTCACACGCGAGACCGTGGTGATTACGAGGCCGTCATCGATTCCTTCCTTCATGGTATCGTCAACTATACTTGGACTGAATGGTCTGGCCCAGATGTACTATTTGGTGGTGGGGCCGAGAACTTCTGCGACCCAGCTAAAGGTGCCTCGGGCGGCAAGACTTACCAGGATCTTGACTACTACAAGGTCTTTGCTGATGCTGGTTACAACGTGGTCTACAACAAGACCCAGCTGGACGCTACCCCCAGTGACGAGAGGACCCTTGGTATTTTCTCCCAGTCGAACATGGCCAAGTGGCTCGACAGGAACGTCTACACTGCCAACCTCAACCAAACCCTATCTCCAACGTGCGACAAAGGTGCAACTGCTGCCGACCAGCCAGGTCTCAAAGAGATGACCATCAAAGCCATTGACATCCTCAACAACCGTGCCGGCGACAAGGGATGGTTCATCATGTCCGAAGCCGCCTCCGTCGACAAGATGATGCACGTCCTCGACTATGACCGCGCTCTTGCCGAGCTGCTCGAATTAGACGACACGGTCAAGCACTCCATCGCACACCTCAAGGAGCTAGATGCCCTCAAAGACACACTCGTCCTCGTCACATCCGATCACGGGCACGGCTTCGACGTTTTCGGAAACGTCGACACCAAATACTTCAACGCGCAAACCGACGACCGCGCCAAACGGAACGCCATCGGACCCTACGAACGTTCCGGTCTTTCGGGCTACATCAACAGCGGAGACCTTCGCTACGGCGACTCCAACTTCCCCTCCAACTGGGAACCCCGTTACACCCTCGCTCAAGGCTTCTCCGCCAACCCCGACCACCGCGAAAACTACCAAGTCCACAAATTCGGACCCCGCTTACCCGCGTCCAACATCTCCGGCTTCGCCACGACCGATTACTTCGTCAACCTCCGCGACAACGTCAACGGATTCCTCGTCAATGGCACTTTACCCGCATCCTACAACCAAGGCGTCCACTCCCTCACCGACGTCGCCGTCTGGGCCCAAGGACCCTGTTCGGAAATTTTCGGAGGCGTGTACAATTCCATTGATGTGTTTTTCAAAATGGCCGAATGTTTGGGTTTGTCCGAGGTGAAGAAGAAGGAGAAGTGGGGGTCCCCCAAAGAGCATCCGGATAATTGGGCCAAGTGTGGTGAGGGCAAGAAAGGATATCAGAAATTCGATGAGAAACATCCGCGTTATGCGGGCGAGAATGCACATGGACATAATACGGGTGTGAAGCCGAGGAGTCCGTCACATGGACATGATTATTGCTAGAAAGGAAGAGAAAGTAAAAAAAGATTCATAAAGATTATTTATTTACCTGATACCGATATTCGATTCAACAACAGACAGACGGGTGGAGACAGTGGGCTGGAAGGACTCTAGAGCCGCAAAACTAGCTGATTTTGAAACTTCGGAAATGATGGCACGATAATGAGATAGGAGGTAGTCTCAATTGTGGGCTCTAATGACCCAGTCGCTGACTTTTCCGTAAGCAATGCTCACTGCCGCTAGCATACATTGTACATCCGGTTTTTCCTGCATGCAGGAGAGCGTTCGCGATCACAATCGTAGGTAGGATAATAAGTTTCTCCGGGATATCATCAATCATAAAGCCATATGAAGCATCATCGTGTCCGCCCGCACATCTTTTGCTCTGCCCACGCCTACTGAGCAGCCATGATCCGACCGTGATGACATCTACGTCTGCCTCTTGTCCGTCTTTTGCCGGCATGGTAATGCTATGTTGGGGCGGGAGTAGGAGGGGGGACGCCAGTCTTTGCGGCTTTGCGCTTCGCAAGAAGGCTCTTCAGCGCACCCAGCCATCGCGCTAGACTGTCCTCGTCGACGGCGCAGAACCGGTAGTTTCGTTCCTCACTCAGAATCTGCATGCAAGCTGTTTTAGTCTTCGAAATATCGTCGATCTCGACCGCATCAATGATAGTCGGGAAGGGCAGGACGATTAGAGCGGTGTACTCTTCTTCGTTCTTGTACACGGTCAGTTGCTTGGGCCGTAGAACCATCCAGACCTTCTTCCACTGCCTCACGCCAGATGTGGACTTCAAAAGATAGATCCAGCCGTGGCAGATAACGCGCTCTGGATCGTCCGGCGCGGACACCGACGGCTTCTTTGTACCATCCTCAGCACCACCTTGATTGATTCCTGACATCATGCTGGCTGTTCTGACGCCCATAGAGGGACGGCCAGATCCTTGCCCGTAAACAGGGGTCACTGGTTGTGTGCTGCTTGTGGAGGGTCTATGGTCAGGATGGGATAATGAGAGCGCAGACTGTCGTCCGGGAGGCCCTCCGCCCCAATCTGAGAAGTCGGAATAAGATGCATGCTCTGCGCCCGAGTAGTCTACAGCCGAAGACTTGCGATTCCCGATGTTCACAGACCCTCGATTTCGCGATCGAGGAAGGGGCTGGCTCTGACTGAGTCCTTCTACATCAGATGAGCTGTATCCCGACAAGGCATCGTTGGTCATAGGGCTGATATGAGCGTCGATGCTGCGCTCGAAGCCCCTGTAGTTTGTACTTGCACCTCCCGGGCTGGCCAGGTACATTTCCTCCTCCTTCTGATCCATGCGCGCTTGCAGCCGTATGGCCTCGACCCATTCCTGAGCCTCCTGCTCGGTGGCGGCCTCGAGGTGGAAGTTGCGCGAGGGCGAGAAGAGGCCAAAGACATGCTTGTTCTGTCGCTTGGGGTCCTTTTGGCGAGCGACGGCGGTGAGGTGGTCAAGGTTGATGGCATGCCGCAGCTTGCTCTCCTTTTCGTTTTTGTAGATGGAGAGTTGTTTCGCGCGGAGCACGATATGTACCGGCTTCCACGACTTGGTCCTACGCGTCCTCTTGAGCACCGGACCCTGCTTGACGATGCGGTCGTATTCGTAGCTGCCGAACTGCGTGACGGGCGAGGGCGTGTCGATGGCGAGGGGTCGCGTGGGTGGGGGGATCGTGACGCCGGCCATGACAGGCATCTATGTCAATTCCACCTGCATACGACGACTTCGATCTCGAGCCTGACGGGGACTACATGGAGGGAGGAGGGAAATGTCACTGATTTTGGTAGTGGTAGTGGTAGTGGGGTTGTGGTGATGGGGAGGGGGGGAGGTGGCAGAGGAGGGGAATGTCAATGGTGGTGGTGGTGGGAGAAATATGGAGGAGGAGGTCGGGATCGACGGCGGTTGCGACCAGCGCATGCGCGACGGTGAAGTTATGTGGTGGTATTACATATCCATACAGTAACCGGTATCATGTGCTGTAACAGTGATAATCGTGTTCATAAGAGGCGGGAAAGAGGTAGTAGGTTGTTCGTGCGCCGCGCCACCACCGGCAGAGAAACGAACCATGTGCATTTCTGGGCACGATTATATTGTAGTCTTCTGTACTAAGGTACTGTAGCACCGATTCCCTCATTCATGCCCGCCCTGGTGAATCATCCATATCGAGGCGAATAGAAACATATAAAAAGCTGCTTGCTGTGCTTTCGCTGCTGGACGTGGAACCGTTGTCGTTCTTGTTACCACGACACTGCACGTACGCACGCACACACACGCCCTCCTTGGACACCGAGCAAAAGATGCCTGTCGTCCAGCCAGAAAAGCTGGTGAAACTTCAGCAGGCCGGCGACACCATCCGTAACGTGAGCTCATCACATCGACCTCACTGCGAGCAGAAATCCGCTGACTGCGCGTCTCGTAGATTTGCATCTTGGCGCACGTTGATCACGGCAAGACGTCTCTCACTGATGGACTGATTGCCACAAATGGCATCATCTCACCCAAACAGGCTGGCAAGGTCCGCTACCTGGACTCGAGGCCCGATGAACAAGAACGGGGCATCACCATGGAGTCATCTGCCATCTCGTTATACTTTCCGCTGTTGCAACGGAGTGCACCAGACACGGAACCCGAGCAGAAAGAGTACCTGATCAACCTGATTGACTCTCCGGGCCACATCGACTTCAGCTCTGAAGTTTCTACAGCATCGAGACTGTGTGATGGTGCTATCGTGCTAGTAGATGCTGTCGAGGGGGTGTGCTCTCAGACTGTCACTGTACTGCGGCAAGTATGGACGGAAAAACTCAAGCCTCTCCTTGTTATCAACAAAATGGATCGTCTCATTACCGAATTGAAGCTGAGCCCCGGCGAAGCCTACACACACTTATCCAAACTTCTTGAGCAGGTCAATGCAGTGGTGGGTAGCTTCGCTCTTGGCGAACGAATGGAAGACGATCTGAAGTGGAGAGAGCGTATCGACGAAAAGGTGAGCGCTGCAGCTGCAGCAAAGGCACAGGAAGATGATGGTACATGGAGCCGGCACAGTAGCATCGCCCAAGATGACAACGGCGTTGTGATTGGCGAAACGTCTGCCGAGTACGAAGAAAAGGATGATGAAGATATCTACTTTGAGCCCGAGAAGAACAATGTCATCTTTGCCACTGCTATTGATGGCTGGGCATTCACGCCCAGGCAATTTGCAGCGCTGTACGAGAAGAAATTGGGCATTAAGCGCAATATGCTAGAAAAAGTGCTATGGGGCGATTTCTACCTGGACCCGAAGACGAAGCGTGTCCTGCTGCCAAAGCATCTGAAGGGTCGGAACTTGAAGCCAATGTTTGTACAATTGGTGCTGGAACAGATTTGGGCAGTGTACGAAGCCACAACTGGCGGACCGAATGGCAAGGGCGATGAAGCTTTGCTCGAAAAGATCACCAGGGGGCTTGGTCTCAAGATTCCAGCACACATACTTCGTTCCAAGGATCCGAAGGCTCTGCTATCTGCCATCTTTTCAGCTTGGTTGCCTTTGTCGACGGCAGTTCTGGTATCCGTGATCATGAGTTTGCCGTCTCCCAAAGCGGCTCAGGAGAATCGGATACCTGGTCTGCTCGAAAAGTCACCTGGCTCAAGCCATATTGATCAAAAGATCAAGGACGCGATGACGCAATCAGATGCCACAATCGGCAAGCCAGTTGTGGCATATGTCAGCAAAATGATCTCTATCCCGGAGAGTGAACTGCCCTCCAACAAGAGGCGGGGCGGTGCTCTCACGGCAGAAGAGGCTCGCGAGCTAGGGCGTAAGAAACGGGCAGAGATTGCGCGTGCTCAAGCACTTGCCAGTAGTGAGGTTGGCGTAGACTCTGTCACCGATGCGCTCAGTACGGCCGCCATTGGGGACGAAAATGAGCTCGACGACGACGCTCCTGCTGAGGATGAGGAGGAAAAGGATGACCCAGAGCATCTCATTGGCTTCGCGAGGCTGCTTTCTGGTACACTGACTGTAGGCGATGAAGTGTACGTTCTGCCACCAAAATTCACTCCTGCGCAACCACATGCCGAGCCGCTGCCCCAAAAGGTTACCGTGACCGCGCTATACCTGCTCATGGGCCGTGGACTGGAGTCACTAAACTCGGTTCCAGCTGGTAACATCGTGGGCATTGCTGGACTAGAAGGAGCGATCCTGAAATCCGGCACAATCGCGTCACAATTGGAAGGCGCACCAAATCTATCATCTACCACGGCGATCTCGACCAACGCACCTATCGTGCGAGTAGCACTCGAGCCCGCATTCCCAGGAGACCTGGACAAGATGATACGAGGCTTACAATTGCTCGTGCAGGCCGATCCTGCAGTCTCCTACGAACAACTCGAAAGTGGTGAGCATGTCATCTTGACTGCTGGCGAGCTGCATCTCGAGCGGTGTATGAAGGACTTGCAAGAGCGTTTTGCCAAGTGTGAGATTCAGGCTGGCGAGGCAATGGTGCCGTATCGAGAGAGCATCGTTAAGGCTGAAGAGATGAAGGAACCCGCCAACCCTGCTCTTGGCCGTGGCACGATTGAGGGTGTCACTTCGAGTAAACAGCTCACTATTCGGCTGTCAGTGCGACCACTCCCAACGCCTGTCACTGAGTTCCTGGTCAAGCATACCGGCGCCGTGAAGCGCCTGTATTCGGAACGCAAGGCACAGGAAGAGGAGCGGTCGGCTGGCGCCAAAGCAGGACAAGCCGAAGAATCCGGCGAGCAAGAAGTCGAGGCTGAGGATACCTCAGCCATTGCTGATCAAGGTCTGTCGATGAGCGAGTTCAAGCAGCAACTCGCAGAGGCGCTTCTGGAAGAGAAAGCCGACCGCGAATTATACAAGGACGCAGTCCACAAAATCGCAGCATTTGGGCCTCGTCGTGTCGGACCCAACATCCTGATTGACAACACACCAGATGGCATCTGCGGCCGATTCTTCCACGACAGCATCGATCACTCCTCCAGCGGCAGCAACAGCACTTCGTCCATGGCAGCCTTAGCGGACAAGATCGCCTACGCATTCCAACTCGCAACCTATCAAGGACCTCTCTGCCACGAGCCGATGCAAGGCGTCGCCATCTTTCTCGAATCCGTCTCCACCGAACTCTCTCCCGACGACATATCCGCCAACATGGGCCGTCTCACAGGCGAAATCCTCCGCACGGTGCGCGATTCCATCCGCGCCGGTTTCCTCGATTGGTCGCCCCGCATCATGCTCGCCATGTACAGTTGCGAGATCCAAGCCTCGACCGAAGTCCTCAGCAAAGTCTACAACGTCCTCGGACGACGCAATGGTCGCATCATCGATGAGCAAATGCTCGAGAGTACGAATAATTTCACCGTCTTGAGTCTGTTACCTGTCGCAGAGAGTTTTGGGTTTTCGGATGAGATTCGGCAGAGGACGAGTGGATTTGCGGCTCCGCAGTTGGTTTTTGAGGGCTTTGAAATGATTGATGAGGATCCGTACTGGGTTCCTTATACCGAGGAGCAATTGGAGGACTTGGGTGATAAGGCTGATAAGGAGAATGTGGCGTTGAGATATGTGGATAAGGTGAGGACAAGGAAGGGTTTGGCTGTGAAGAAGAAGGTTGTGGAGGCTGCAGAGAAGCAGAAGACTCTGAAAAGGTAGAGATATAGTCACGTCCAGAGCAAATTCCGACTTGCTCCCGTCTCGTCTTGTTTTCCCACTGCTACATCATCCATTATCCAATACGCGATAAATGATTCGTATGCACACCAGCTGTCACTCATTCACATTTGCATTCCATCACGCAGCACCCCTTTGCAATTCCGGAGGGAAATCCTCGTCCTGTGGTGGTCCACCAGTGCACAACGCCAAATCAATATACAAAACCAACCTCAAGAATAACCTCGGTCTCTTAAAAACCAAATTCCCCCAGTCAAGCTTCAACTTTCCGCCTGGTCCACCGCCACCACTAGAACGCCCCAAACCAGATATCCCATGAACATTCTCATTTCCATTCATCATATCCTTCCTCATCATGGAAGAAGAACTGCTGTCTTCTCTGCGAGCAGTCATCGAATTGACAAACTTGCTATCATCCTGAGCATAAGCCTGTCGATGAAATTCGTCAGCACCAGTCACTTACGTACTCACTCATGCACACAATGCTACCTCTCAAAAAACATATTTCATGACTTACGACAATATTCGCCAAGACATCCGCGCAGAAATCCGATCCATCAAAGTTCTGCTGTTGAGACTTCAACGTCCTGGTGAAGACATCCAAACGACGAATCTCCACAGCTTCCATGCCCGAACCTCTCGCCGCAGCGACATTGATAGCCTGCAATATCAACGGCAGCGCCAATACAGCTGACGCACTAATAGGGAGAAATTTGACCAAACGAACTTGAACCAGTTCTTGTGTGCGACGTGACACGTCATTGTTCGCTGCTTCCATGGCTTGAGCAGCGTCGGAGACGGAGAAAAGAGATTGCGTAGTGGGAGTTGGGAAGACTTCGCGAAGTAGGATGAGGTAGGTATTGAGGCCAAAGACTGCAGAGGCATGATATGAGAACATCATATTTGCGTACACGCATATGGCTTCGGGAGCGTCGTCAAGACTGATAGGAAAGGGAAAGGTTCGGATTGCTTGGTCGTGCCAGAGACGGAGTGAATCGAGCGATTGTTGTATGTTTGTTACGACGGCTGGAAGGTCACGGGATGCAAATTCGAGACGGTCATCTAGGCGTTCGTGCGCGTACAGGATTCGGCACGTTTGGGAAATACACTGCATAAGTCGGCAGGTAGTGGCGACCATTTTTAAGATGCGAAGTTGAGTATCGGCGTCGTGAACCGGAGAATTTCCTATTTCTGACTGGAAGTCTTCTGCGGACAGTATGTGCTTTTCGGTATCCCAATCGTTGGTCAACGGCTCCTGGATCGATCGACGTAAGCCCAGTGAGAGGATATGATCTCTGAGGATTACACCCCACCAGATCCTCTTCAGCAGTCGAGAACGCGTGGGATCCTTGATTCGGTAATAACTATCGGCCCTGACGATTCTGGCGAAGCGGATGGCATTTGTTACCCAGTATGTGTTTAGTCGGAGGAGATTGTAATTGGGTGCATTGTAGGATAGTAATAGGCAGGCTTGAGCGTTCGCGACTGGATCCCGTTCGATACCGAAATCGTACAGAAGCTGAATTGAATCAATACGAAGACATCCTCCTCTTGACCGCTGATGGTACTCACCTTTGCCTGGCGATAGTGGGTGTTTCTGGCCTCGCGCTTGCTGACAAACCCAACGCTGGAGAGCGTGTCAAGCTCGGCATACTGCATAGTCATCAGCATCAGCGCTATTGCAGAGAGCTAGGGAGGCCGTGGCTTACACATGTGGCTGCAAATATCATTGCTCTCAACAAGAGAAAGGAGTAATCTCCCACTCGAAACTCATCTCCATCCCACAGTGCCCAGAATTGGTCTTCTGGAACGATGGGGAGATTGGGATGCACCATGCGGAAGTACATGCGCATCATGGGCTTCAGCACATGAGGGGGAAGTAGCTCGAAGCATCCCTCGACACGCAGATACTCTTGATCGCGAGGATTTAGTCCTGGTATCTGCACTGTCGAAGATCTCCGAGGCGGCACATGGGGATCTCCACTGAGAGCCAGCCCATTTGGGCTGGGTAGAAGGGAAGGAGCGCTCAGGTGATGTGGAGGATATGTCTGCGGCAGCGGGAAGTCTTGTCCGGGCGTGGGTATAGCGGGCATGAATGAATTCCCAGTAAAGGTGAAGATGTCGTCCAGATCTGTCAAGTGGCTGAAGTCGCAGCTTGCTGACGATGCTTCCACCATGCTGGGATCCCAAGGAAAGTTACTAGACTGCAACTCCTGCCACAGCTGGCCATCAGCGGTGGTCGGTGAGCCTGATGATTGCGACTGATTCTGTAAAGAGTAGCCATTTTGGTTCGAGTTAGTCGTCGCCACGCTGGGTCGACGATCCACCGTGTTGTCGGATGCCCACGCCGTCGAGGGTATGTTGGCTGACGAACGCGTCACAGATGGCGTTGGTACTCTCCAACTGTGCGACTGCTGTTCCAATACAGCCGCCTGCTGGGCCTCCTGAGGAGGAGTGCTGTCCCGTCTGGCCAGTGATCAGCATCTGCGCATACCTTACTGTACCTGATGGATTATTCACGCCGAGAGCCGGCGACTCAAGACACCCACCGTTGGTTCTTCCGGCGTCGTATGACACAGGTCGTGCCTGCGTCGACGCAGTTGGAGCAGGGCGTGCCGCCTTCGAGGACGTTACATCGGATCTTACCTACATGCACCGGGGCAGTCAGGTCAGTCCCTATCTATCGAGGTAATGTCATGTATATAGGTATGTAGGTATAACCGTATACCATGCGTGAGGGAACTGGAAGTGGTTGGATGCAGTGCAGTGAGGCGGTGGTGGAGGACTGGAAGTCTTACGAGTATGGCAATGCTGACACGCCTTCCGGGAGCGTCGTTGCTTGAGTTTTGCTCCTCCTCGCAGGGCAGGCGCGACTGCTGGTGGACTGACTATAGTCTCTTCCGCGTGCATGTTGCCGTTCGGCCTCGCGGTACACCCAAGACGCTGGCAGAGACACGGCAAAAGATCAAAGATGCGAAAGGCAGCCGCATTTACCGCGAGTGTAACGGTCCTTTATTCTTGCTTCACCTTGTGGACGATGCCACAAAAGCCTTTGTTGGACCCCAGAAAACCCCAGATTCTTCTTCCCCGCACGCGTGGCGGCATCAATAAAAGTCTGTTTCGAATAAGCTCCCAGAGAAGGCCGTATCCCCCCGACTCAAGCAGGCAGAATACGAGAGACTAAGAGTGGATGGCGCACACACTGCACAGATCCAAAAACGACAGACTGGAAGTGGCGTTTGGAAACCTCTTTCATTTCGCATCCTTCACCTTCATTTCTCACAAGGTCGGAGCTCGTCCAGGTAGAGCTCGTTGTATTTGTGGTGAGAGACATCGGTGGTATTAATCTGTGCCCAGGAATTAGTTCTAGGGCACCTCCCTAGAGTCCCCACAGTCATGGAGCCCGCGGCCTTGGACGAGAAGCTGCCCTTACCAAAGATGTTTTATACCTCCTATGGGCAAGGTATGATGATGCTTGGCATGCTAGCAGCACTTCGGTACATCACTCTTGGCTCGCTAACTTAGAGATATACGCTACCTTAGCTATTGGACGTACCAGATCTTACGGAAGTTGGATTTGATGAGTTGTAGGCGGTAGCAAAAAGCACCATTTGTACGCGTGCAATTTCACTTTCGGATGGCCGCGTTTCAGGTGGGAAGGCTCCTTTCCTTGACTCGGCCCGTGATCAATAATAACGAGAACGTGGACAAGCGCTGCTGGAGTTCGCAAAGAGAATCGAGAGATCCCCAAGTGCATTGAGACACTTGGGTCAGGGGATATTTCGACCATAGCATAGCACGACGAGCGGCGGTGGTTTGCGAAGTGAGCTTCGAAGGATTAAGCGAGAGACGGAACAACACCTGAGGTTCTTACCTCCTAGCTCCATGGCCTCGTCTTGCGGGTCCATGCGTATCATAGTGGATGTCGAGGTACATGTAAAGATTACTACAACATTGAACCCTTGTTTTGTCTTTCATACCTGAGGTATCAAAGTAATGATGTCGGCTTCTTGCCTTCACTGCACGTCACCTTCTAGCTTCACTTCATGGATCGCTTCATGCAAATACGGCGGCGATGACAAAGCGAGCCAAATATATCCATATTTTCATTTTTCGAAGGCTACTTGACCTCTCTTTTCAAGCCTGGCAGTTAAAACCATATTTGAAGACTTGATGTCCCCCCATGTGAAGCCTGCTGGGCCTCGTAACAGTCTCTTCACTACCAAATAACGCCTCGCTCGAAAACTAGTCACAGAGAATTCCTCCCTGCCAGTGGCTCCTTCGAAGAATCTGATTCTGATTATACACACTAAAGCGCCTGCTAGGAAGCTCATGCAAAATGCTTGAGCTTCGATGGCCAACCAAGCCAACATGCGCATCTTCTCGATTTGCACCTCCGCGCCTCTCCAAGTCTTACTTAGGAGTTAGGATGGATGCGATCAAGGCGATCGATTGCGTATGGTTCGGTCCTATCCTATCGCCACTAGTCAAGCGTATCGATCGGCGTTCAACGCTTCAGCTTGAGCCCACACTACTTCGCAATCAAAGGCAATTTCCTCATCGCCTTCGCCAGTGATCGCCTGTCCTTGCCATCTCGCTCCAGGACCAAGATGAGGTCACGCAACTCGATGCCTTTGCCATGAACATCATCCTCTCGCCAGTCACCCCACGTTGGTGCCTTCTTCTCCTCAGCCTGCTTTGCCTCTGCAGGGCCTTTCGATGGTTCTGGCTGTCCTTTCGGCGTAGCAGTGCCGCTGCCAGGTTTGGCGAAGCGATTCGTTGGGACGTTTGCGCTACCTCCACTCATCCAAGAATACCTGTTCTTCTTGCCGCCGAGAGCCATCATGGCTGCCGTTTGGTTGGATTGGTTCAAAGCTTGCGCTTCGGTGTGAGCTGCTGCTTCCTTGTTCTTCTTGCTTATCTCCTTCTTGGTTAGCGGCTTCACGGGCGCAGCTGTGGCAGATGTGTCGACGGGCGCATCGGAAGCAGCTTCTATGGGCGCTGTGCCGTCACCAATCTCCGCTTTGCGTCGTCGGGCCTCCCGCTTCCGCAATCGCTCCTTCTCTGCCCGCATGTCGCTTTCGGCGAGCTCGCGAAGCTTAATGTTGAGACTGCCCTGGTATGCAACAGTCTGCATTGGCCCAGGCGACGGGGTGGACTTCACACCATTCGTAAGCGCCTCGCCGTTCGCATCTCCATTAGAAGTCGCCGTAGGCTTGTCCCACTGTGAACCCGTCACGCTCTCGGACACAACAGTCTCCTGGCTTTTCTGACCTGGCCCAAACGAGATATCTGCAAAGTCGACTGGAACGACTCTGCCATGATCACCGTACCGCCTCGCGCGTGCTAGGCCGTACGAATCATCTACTAGAACCCGCATACGCTCCTGGGCAGCCAAACTCAGCAGCGTGATCATGTGCTCATAGGCTACACCCGACTCGATCATGGCTTCTGGCTTGTTCTTGACCACCGCAATGCCTGATGTGCCATCCCCGTTGACCATAACCTGTGGCTGTGGTTGGACTCCTGGGTCCCTTACGTAGACACCGTTAATATCCAGCCGGACGCCACTCTCCTGAGCCCTTAGGTGCATACGATTCCTCACGCAGTTGCCTTGCAAATATTGATTATTCAAGTGATACTGCTGCTGCTCCGCAAGCCTTCGCGCCGCCTGTTCTCGCCTCCTCTTCGCCTCATTCTCGATGGCTTCTTGTGATAATGGCGCTCCCATGGTGCCAGCGAGTGTACCGTTTTGCCCTTGGCTACCGAAAGACATGCCCTGAGTCAGATAGCCATAACTGTTGTTCCCACTGGAGCCATTCGACCCAAACGAGGTTGACATATTTGTTGGAAAGCTCTCACTGTGTGAGTGCCTGTTGTTCCACGTATTGTGCAGATAGTTCTCCTCATCCTTGAGATTGATACCACTGCCAAACAGACTATCGCCAATGTCATCGACTCCGATCTTCTCGTCCTTGTCTTCTTTCGGTCGTGGCGGAGGAGGCATGAGATGGGACTGAGACGGTGGAGGTGGGCTGATCTGGCTCGGCCGCTGCTGAATAGGTGGATACGGTGTTTGCTGCGGCTGCTGCGGCCATTGTTGCGCAGGCGGCGAGTACTGCTGTGGTGTGTTGAAGGAACCTTGTGGTGAAGTGTACGGCTGGCTGTACGGCGATTGCACAGGTGAATGGCCATAATTGCCATAGACGGGCGTTTGCGCGTATACTGGACTACTGTTCGTGGGCGAGCGCGGGTCCGGTGAGAGTCGCTGTCGCTTCGCGGGCGGCGCGAAGGGCGTCTGGCCGGGCGGAGAGTTGGCGGACGCTCCATATGGCGGGTACGAGGGCTGCTTCGGCGCTTGTGCCTGCAATGGATAGGACATGATGCCGATGCTGCTGCTTCACGTATCTCGCCTTGCCTGGAGCAGAGGGGTCGCTTGATGCTGACGGGGCGAGGGCCTTGCCCGCAAACCACAGCCGCGGACGGCCGTTCCTCCTCACTGGCCAGTCACACCTTCTCTCCTCATCAGACGGATGTTGTCGCTGAGCACCCGACACTCCGGCCAAAGGGTCGCTCGTATCTTCGTGAATCGCGTGTCGTCGGTCGGTCGGCCTCGAGAGGAGGCGCTGGCAATGATGGCGTTGTGTCGCGCTGTGCTGTGCGGTGCGGTGCCGCTGGCGTGTGGATGTAGCGGAAGAAGCCTGAGATTGATGCACTCATTCGTGCTGGAACGGCTCTACCCGACAGCTTCTCCATTGGATGTTCTTGCTTTACGACCACCTGCCTCACTTCATGCCTTTACATCTTCTCCGCCACTTGCAACACCACCGCCATCGCACCCACCGTACAGGTAGTCAACACCATCGCGTGCCTCATATGTGCCAAACCATCTTAGCTGGCTCGACACCATTTGACTCTACATCACAACTCGAGCGCGTCTGGTAGCACCCTCTCCTAATCTGTCGCGCGTGTCGCGCAGACAGCACCAACATGGCCGCGAAACGCCCGCACTCGGCCATGAACGCGAAAGTGGAAGATGATGAAGCGGTGGATCCGTCGGATGAGCTGATGTTCCTCGCGCTCGGCGGTGGCAATGAGGTTGGACGATCTTGTCATATCATCCAGTATAAGGGCAAAACAATCATGCTGGATGCGGGCATTCATCCGTCCTATGAAGGCTTAGGCGCCCTGCCCTTCTACGATGAGTTTGACTTGAGCACTGTTGACCTGCTCCTTATAACACAGTAAGTACCTTCGATTCCTCCAAGCGGCGAATGGGCAGACGACTGGTTGCGGGATAACACTGGCACACGTGTCGCATTTGCAGCACTTGTGCATGCCTAGTTTAGTCTTTTCGAGCTCACCACTCAGACTCACAGCAGCAAAGTAGCCTTTGTAGCAACCGTATGCCAGCTGTTATCTCCACTCTTCCTCTCACTCTCTACAGAGTCTGCTTTGCCGTCACCCATCGAACCAACTCTTGTAGATAGCCTCTGTAGCCAGTGGAACGCCAAGCGCTAACAAGCTACCACTCCAGCTTTCATCAAGATCACTCTGCTTCTCTGCCGTATGTCTTGTCCAAGACCAACTTCGCTGGCAAAGTGTTCATGACACACCCAACGAAGGCAATCTACAAATGGACAACGCAGGACGCCGTTCGAGTCCACAACACGCATGCTCCAGCTTCGTCGACATCGGGCACTGATGGCTATGTCAGCCAACTGTACACTGAGCAGGACATCCTTTCCACACTACCAATGATCCAGACCATCTCCTTCCACACCACGCACTCGCACAATGGCATTCGTTTCACGCCATATCCGGCCGGCCACGTTCTGGGCGCGTGTATGTACCTCATCGAGATTGCTGGCCTCAATGTTCTGTTCACTGGCGACTACTCGCGAGAGAATGATCGCCATCTCATACCTGCAGCTGTCCCTCGTAATGTCAAGGTTGATTGTCTTATCACGGAGTCGACTTTCGGCATCAGCACCCGGACTCCCCGACAAGAGCGTGAGAACGCTCTGATCAAATCCATAACCACCATCTTGAACCGCGGTGGCAGAGTATTGATGCCCACGACTGCTGTTGGGAATACTCAGGAACTGCTACTGATCCTGGAAGATCACTGGCATCGGCATGAAGAGTATCGCCGTTTTCCTATCTACTATGCTTCCGGCCTTGCGCGAAAAGTCATGGTGGTGTATCAAACTTACGTCGACGATATGAACGACCGCATCAAGGCCAAATTTCAAGCTAGTGCTACAGGCCCGTCGGTCGGCGATGGCGGCACGGCTGGGCCATGGGACTTTCAATTTGTTCGTGCACTCAAAGGTGTCGATCGATTCGACGACGTTGGTGGTAGTGTCGTGCTTGCATCGCCCGGCATGTTGCAGAATGGACCTTCTCGTGCATTGCTCGAGCGATGGGCCCCCGACTCGAAGAATGGTGTGATCATCACGGGCTACAGTGTTGAAGGCACAATGGCCAAGAATATTCTGCTGGAGCCAGACAATATCCCGGCTGTGACTGTCGATCGCTCAGCTGGTAACGTGCTAGGCAAGAAAGCTGGTGGTCCTGACGGAGAGAGACAAATGGTCCCACGACGGTGCACGGTACAGGAATTCAACTTCGCCGTGCACGTCGACGGCCAAGAAAACAGAGAATTCATCGAGGAGGTCGGAGCTCCCGTGGTCATTCTCGTTCATGGCGAGAAGCACAACATGAACAGACTGAAATCTCGTCTGCTTGGCACAGGGAAGATGAAGGTATACTCTCCAGCCAACTGTGAAGAAGTGCGAATACCTTTTCGACAAGAGAAGGTCGCTCGTGTGGTAGGCCGACTGGCGTCTCAAGTTCAGCCTCCGACACTGCTACCTAGCCCGCCCGCAACGAGCGATGACGAAGAGGAGACGACTGAAGGAGAGAACAAGAAGCCTAAGTCTGAGCTTGATCACGAGTCGTCACTAGGGCAAGTGATCTCTGGTGTCCTGGTTCAAAATGACTTCAAACTCTCGCTCATGGCACCCGAGGACCTCCAAGAGTATGCCGGTCTCACCACAACGACGATCATCTGTCGCCAACATCTCACGCTAGCTTCCGCATCACAAGACCTCATCAAATGGGCACTCGAAGGCACGTTTGGTACTATCGATGTCCAGGCGCCCAGTACAAATGGCAAAGCCGATACAAACGGCAAACAAGAACACGCGGACGAGGAACTTCCTGCCCATCACGCAATCATTTTTGAAGTCATGGGAGGATGTGTACGAGTGATTTGCAAAGACCAAGGGCTAGTCGAGCTCGAGTGGGAAGGTAATGCCACGAATGACGGAATTGCTGACGCTGTCATGGCTGTTCTACTCACAGTCGAAAGCTCGCCTGCCGCTGTCAGGCAGAGTTCTCAGCTCCACGACCACGGTCATGGCCATGGACATGGTGTAGGCATGGCTGCCGGCAAGAGGAATCCGCATGCTAATCTTACACCCGAGGAACGCCTTAATAGGTTATTCATGTTCCTGGAAGCTCAATTCGGCGAAGAAGCTGTGAACCCCATCAATAAGCCGAGAATTTCTGGGCAAGGGATGGATGCGGAAGGTGGATCTGAAGATGTCGATCTCGAGAAGCTGCAGCAGCAGGAACTTGCGCGTCTGGTCTCAGTGGGTGTTCCTGTACCTGGTCTGGAGATTAGAGTTGATAAGAATATCGCCAAGGTCTGGTTGGAGCACTTGGAAGTCGAGTGTGCAAATAAGACATTGGGCGATCGAGTGAGAGCTGTCGTCGAGAGAGCTGTGGAAACCATCGCGCCAATATGGGCTTGAAGTGCTCTGGACAGACGGATTGAAACAGCTCAGACAGGAGGTCGTGGCAAATAGACCCTAACTTATTCCACCGGCCACAAAGATTATCCGAAATTCAAAATGTCTCTGTCGAAGTGCTACCGCTGCGAGTTTTCCGAGCCGAGGGTCTACCTATAGTTCGTGAGTACATGTACCTAGAAGGAGAGGGAGGAAGGTACCACGCATAACTCGGAGCTGTGGCCGCCAACACGCCAAGACTCTAGCGCAAACCTCACTGCTGACGGGAGCTTCTTCTACCTTGCCTTACCTAAGGTACCTAGCCTACCTGTATCTTACCTCTTCCACGATCATAACATTACACTTCACCGCTCGCCGCCAGCCTCGCAGACGCCGCCCAAACTCTCGTACTGCGTCGTTTCACTCTCTTGATCAAGCGGCCTCTACTGCGGCCGAGGCAAAGGGTTGCAGGCATCGCATCGCAGCGCCCAAGCAAGGCAATCTTCCCATTCACCGGTCCTTGATCTGGCAAGTCGGAGGCAGCTCCCATGCGGGCTATGACGAGGCGTGTTGCTGAGCAAATAAGCGGGTCAGTGCCAGGCGTCGCGACATGCACACTCGATACGGGTCACCGACGGCATCGAATAACATGCGCCCTTCGGAGTGCGCCGCTCTCTGTGGGATATGAGAAGCAAAAGAAGATACCTGACACGTAACGAGGTTCGGAAGTACCAGGTCATGATAAGCTGTATTGTTCAGAGCCTAGGTTTCTGCGATGTGAAGGTGGTCTCTCGGTCGGGAGAAATCGCTCGATTGGACGGCTTCCCAACGTGCGCCCTTACCGCAAGTCCGCGACCTACATGGCGGTGCATTACAATTGCCACAAGGCACTCGCTGCAGAGGCCGTCCTGGTCTGAACACATCACAGAGGCCTACGAGCTTGACGACGATAGGTTCTTGATCATTTGGTCCGTCCTCGGTCACTCTCAGCAGAGCATGACTGGCTCGCGCTTGGGTCATGCTCTTCTCTCAGCAATGCTCGATTCTGTACAATTGGTGCCCGACTGTGCGACATTCGATGCGCGGCGCCAGCAATTCGTTTTGATAAGCCCAGCAGAGTTTTACTGTGACAAAAGTTTGGAAGGTCTTCAGGAGCCCCATGGCCTCTGTTGAATGGCCCATGAGTTTCTGGTAGCGCCAACTCAGGGCGGTGCATGTCGACTCGTGATTGCTAGGGAATCTTTCATTGAGGACTGCACAGCACTGCCCAGTGATCACTGAGCAATTCTTGGATTGTCGCAAAGTGGCCACTGCTGCCGTCCGGTTGGATATAGATACATGCCTTGAGCGATGCTCTTGTAGCGGCGGTAAGTTGGAACCTGCAAACAGCTTCCCTTCTACCTATCTCGACTTCTCCGGCCGCAACAACACTTCTTCGGTCAACCAAGTGCTACCATCACAGGCCTACTATCCCCTCCTTCAGAACTCAAGCACTATCCAGTCGACGAACTTGCAACGCTTGAAGTACGTTTGGATGTGCTGCCTCGAATAACCCTTTGAGGAGGTCAATTAGTAATGAAGTCAGGACCAAGAAAAAAGCGTCCTCTTAGCACATAACAAGCCAATAGTGGGGTGCCTCAGTATGACCGCTTTATCCTTTGCTCGAAAGCTGCGTCTCCCAGAATCTACGCCACGAGACCCACCCAGTGGTGGTCCTATGCGAATGGGAAGAGCAGGTCCGAGGTCTCCCAAGAGACCCATTACCACCTGCAGGATCGCTCCAGACAAAGCTCTGCTTGTAAGGTAAAGGTCCTTGAGGTTACTCAGATTCCCGAGCAGCGCGCCGTGGTTATTCAAGTGTGGATGAGGCTGTTGGTTTCTGCTATCATGGATGAAGCAAGCCCCTTGGGGTTGTTGTACCTCACCTGATAATTTACCTGATGTTGGAGGTCAGAAAGGAGGTTTGGATTGCCTATGATAGGTACTATGTTTGTGTACTACTAAGTTCTTGCAGTTCGCAGGTTTAGCATAGGGTTTATGATGCATGAATAGAAGGCGGCTTGTCTTTGGCCCTGTGAAGGTCGTGTTGTCCCCATAGTGTCATCTTTCATGTCCATGTAATCGAGTGAGGTGTAGAAGTGCAGTTCTGCTCCATGCCCCCGCAGAAAGCCCGTGACGTGTATGGAGAAAGATGCCTGGCGATAATCGGCGAACCCCACTAGTGATAGCGTTCCGCAAACGAGGGGTGATGGACTACCTTGTTAAAAACTCGATTGACAAAAGTTCCTCTACCATCACAGTAACCATCTGACCGCCGCCATCAAACATGTCGTCCGATCACGTTTACGAGCTGCTCGCTCTCGAGAACCCGCTTCTCGACATCCAAGGCCAAGGGTACGTCAGTCCTCTTCATAATATCATCCCAATGGCCAGCGATATTACTCGCCAACAACCCAGATCCAGCAGCATGTGACACGTACACAATAGAGCCCTACTGACCGGTACCTACACTATGCAGAGATGATGCACTCCTTGAGCAATATGGCCTCAAGGCTAATGACGCCATCCTCGCCGACAAGCAACACCTGACATTGTACGAGGAGCTGATCAAGAACCGCAATGCGAAGCTGTTGGCAGGTGGAGCCGCTCAGAATACTGCAAGAGGAGCACAGGTACGTGAGCTGTAAGATTGAGGTGCGCATTAGGCATTTGTTGGCGGCGACCCTCCAATGGCAGGGTCAAGGCACTTTGATGGGTGCCTCTGCTCGCAGAGCACAAGCGGCCGGGCTTTATGGTCTTCGTGGGAAGGTTAGATGGTTTCCTGGATATGAGCTTGCCATGACTCTCGCAAATGTCCAGCTTGCTGCGGCGAGGTGATCTGAGCTGGGCATTCTTGCTATTAGCCAATACGACTTGATCCGAAATTGAGAAGCCATGGCGGAAACGAAGACGAGATGATTTTTGGGCTAACGACATTGCTTCACCACAGTACCTGCTCAAGCCCGATTCCGTAGTCTTCTTCGGCTGCGTCGGCAACGACAAATACGCCGAAATTCTCCAGGACGCCAACAAGCAGGCCGGTCTCGCTGTTCGCTACCGATATGACGAAAAGGAGCCAACTGGACGTTGTGGTGTCATCATCACCGGCCACAACCGAAGCATGGTCACCGATCTTGCCGCAGCGAATGCCTACAAGATTGAGCATTTGGAGGAGAACTGGGGTGTCGCAGAAAAAGCAAAAGCCTACTTCGTGGGTGGATACCATCTGACAGTCTGCGTCCCAGCTGTCCTGAAGCTTGGCGAGGAAGCTGCGAAGTCGAACAAGGTAGGACGATGTTTCGGATCAGCTCCAGGATTATTGCCCAGCTGACACGATCGACACTGCCCAGCCGTTCATTCTGTCGCTCTCGGCGCCGTTCATCTGCCAGTTCTTCAAAGAACCTCTGGACCAAACGGCTCCATACTGGGATTACGTTGTTGGAAATGAGACCGAAGCCATGGCCTATGCTGACTCGCACGATCTGAACACTCACGATATTCCAACCATTGCCAAGGCACTCGCCAACCTGCCAAAGAAGAACACTCAGCGAAAGCGAGTGGCCATTATCACTCAGGGAACAGGACCTACCGTTGTTGCGGTGCAGGACGAGGGTGATGCCAAGAGCTACCCGGTACATCCGATTGACAAGAGTGAGATTGTTGATACCACAGGCGCTGGCGATGCCTTTGCTGGTGGTTTCGTTGCTGGCATCGTCAAGGGCGAGAAGCTCGACACATGCGTTGACATGGGCCAGTGGCTTGCCGCGTTGAGCCTGCGCGAGCTGGGACCTGCGTACGTGTGACCTGAGAGTGAATTGACAGGCAAAGACATCATCACTGACGACAAACACAGATACCCATACCCTAAGCAGACATACGGTGCTTAGATGTGCCAACTAAGATTGAGCCTTTGGGGGGAAGTAGGCCTGGCGTTTCAACAACTTTCAACAATTTCTGTCGCATTAGTGATACCCATACCTCCCATCCTCCACGATGTGAGATGCTTAAAAGTCTGGCAGGATTGCACCATGGGCGTGCAATTGGCAAAGTAGTGCACACCGTAGTGCGCGAGTCGTTCATAGTCATATAGACACTGCCACTAGAGGTGTCGATCGCGTCCAGTTGATCCCGCGTGCAATAGATGGGGCCGATCACTTTCCGACTTACACGACAGGCTCAGCATAACAGGTCGAGTTATAGGTCAGATGCCACGATCACTTGCATGAATTGCGCCTTATCAAGGGCCGCGTTATAGGGCATGCCGAGACCATCCATTTCCGGGCGTCGGACGGATGAGGGCTCCGGAGACTCGTGATGTGATTCGTGTCCAGGCGCGCGACCACGGTTATCCGAATGCGCTTTTCGAAAGCTGTCGACATGGCCCACCACCAATTGGGTGCCGGAGAAGTTGCACTCGCGCCGGTTTGAGATCCCTGAATGAGATGCGCTGGCAAGCTTTTTCTTTTTTCTTTTTAATTTTTTTTCTTGCTTCTGCCAACCGGGCTTCTGGGAACGGTATCCATCGGAACAGGATGCACAGATGTGTGTTTCATGACATGACCGCAGATATCCGAACAGTCGGGCAGAAGGAAGGTCAGGTCAGGTAGGTGTGCATACGTAAGGCAGCCGCGGACGACTGGTTTTCTAGAAGGCAACCACAAAAGCAAAAAAGGCAAGATACCTCAGCATTGGGCGGGGCTTTGGGATGATATGTGAATGCCTAAAAGAGATCTGCAGTGATGCCCAGTTGACGCCTTATTGTCGCAAAGAGAGTAGAATCTACGTCGATCATCACGAACTACCTGTACTTGACCCTACCTCCTACTGCACTGGTAGCGGTACGGAACCACCGTTTCGCACGTTTTGGCTAGTCATTGCTGAGTGTGCAAAAGTAAGGCCACAGGAAGTGAGTGGGTGAGAGAGAGTGAGAGTGATACAGACTAGAGGGCGCGACGTTTCTGACATCCAGTGGCTCTCATAACAATTGTCCGCGTGGTGATACACGCCGCGAAGCCGCTGCATCGCACGCACGCCACGAACTTTGGGCGGCCGTATACATGCCTTACATGCACGTAGGTTTGGCGAGTTTCATCCTTCAACAAGCGGTGCAGATCCCGACGCAAGATGATACCTTAGTACAGCATCGGCCACGTGCGATAGCTCGCCGGGCGACACACACGTCGTCTGCCCGAGTGTATGATCCGAGGGAGGTTGATCGGTGGTGGAGGTGAGGTACGGAGGTAGGTGTATGAGAGTGTTGGTGGACATGGCCAGCGACGGCGGTCCGGTCGGCATCCCCATCATCGTTGGTGTGTCCTGTGGCTGTGTGATCTGATCTGTTTAGGCCCAGTCGTCAAGGCCCGCTTGTCGACCGACTTGCGCTCCCGAGTCCCATGCGCGCCCAGTGCTGCGAGGCGGCTATGGAGAGCCAGTCGGAGGCGGCGTCCGGGATGTGGCATCAGGCACAAAACGACGCTTGCGATGCAGGTACCAGGCAGGCCTCGACAGTCGAACATGCAGGCCGGGCTGTCGAAGAGTGCACCGGTAGGAGGTCAGGTAAGGTCAGGTAGGCCGTAGCTGCTCGCGGCTATCACCTCCACCTCAACATCCCCAAACTCTCTGCGTGCGGGCTCTCCCTGGCTTGTCGTCATTGCAGCACGTTCGCATCGCTGGACCTGGGATGCCAGTTGCCACTGATGCGCGTCAGTCGCTCGCGGACTAGGAGCTACCTGACCGTCATTCACTGCTGACTGGTCCCTCCCTCTGGGCCTCTAGAGGGTGAGAGATGACGGATGCGCCGCCCGGAGAATCAGGACCAGGCGACCAGGATGCATGTACGTACGTACGTACGCCGTGCGCCGTACGCCGTACGGCACTGGAGGTCTAGCTGCGCACCACCAGGCTCCCGTCAGTGATGAGAAAGAGCACAGATACAATATCTCACTTGCTAGTCGCGAACTCTATCTGCACCAAGCGACCAGCGAACGTGACCACGACACCGCCCGCGCACACCACGAACGAGCCTGTGTCTCTGCGCCGTCCAGCGTCGCCCAGGCTTGCCGCACGGCAACAATGTGTCTGGCAAGCGTCCCAGGACACACCCGCCATGCCTGTCGACCCAACTGCTGCACAGGCCTGAGCGGTATACTCAAAGCAGACAAGTGCCCTGGTGCAAGCAGTCAGTCGTGAAGGTGAAGCACTAAGCACTGCCACTCCGGCCAACAACGGCATCCACAGCACCGCTCTAGCTGACGCCTCTCTTGCGTTATGATCCCTGAGTCTGAAGGTTGGGTGGCAGCAAACGGCGACGGCGATCCTGCGTCTGAAGTGGCCGTTCTTTTTTGACTTCGCGACGTTGACGGCACTTAGTTGCACCCCAAACGCTACCATCATCATACCAACGGCGGCGGCGGCGGCGGCAGCGGCAGCAGAAGCAGTAGCAGCAGCAGCAGCAGCAGCAGCAGCAGCAGCAGTACGGCCGCCCGCCCGCACGCACGCACGCGTGCACGCACTCCTTAACCCTACAGCTGCAGGACGACAACGTCTGCACCGCGAGGGACTATGAAGGGCCGACGCTTCCTAACCAGGGCATTCGTCTTGTTAACTACTACTACTACTATTACTACTACCACTACTGTGCTGTCTACATCCGTACTCACATACACACCTGTCTGCCTCACTGCACTTCTCCCCCAGTGAGCCTCACTTTTGCTCGATCGACGGACCGCGCGCCACCCCACCCATAATCTTGTGCATCTGGCACACTCTTGCTTCACGTCTCATCACGCCTTGCGTTTTCAAAATCTAATCGCGAGCAAGGGTGGTCTCCCCCGGCATCGCTTCCTGGTCTTCCCGTCCTCGATACAGCGACTCAGAAGCCTGCCAGCAGAACCTCATCAACCCCGCGCCTCGACCGGGCCCTGTTCACGAGATATTCTAACTACACTTTGGCTACCCAACCATACCGGTGCATGGTCTGCTTTGCGCCCACTGCCATTCCTTTGACCTAGCAAATCTCCGCCCAGGCTATAACGTTTCGTCGCTCGCTCAAGACCTGCTTCAACAAAAACATTCATTTGCGCCCTCATCTTTGCTAAAGCACGCTTCCACCCAACCTCCAAAAGTCGGACCGGCTCTCTGCACCGCCCACTCGTGTGACGAGGAATCGACATTGGAGCCGCATCTTTTAATCTGCCAGCCCGTCCGTCTTGGGCAGCACCCGGAACAGGCATCTGCACGTTCACCACTACAACTTTCAACTTTCTCTCTGCCTGAGCCAGACCATTGACCAGACCTTGGCCAAGCTTGTGTACCCAACCGTTGCTTGACGCCTGGGCACTTTTGGGTCCTCGAGGTCGCACAAAAGAGATCGAAACTCGTTCATACCACATCTTCCACGAACCTTCCAACCGTCAATCTGGCGACTGTCTATGCATCACCGCCCTTCTCGCCGGTGGCGTCGACGCGGAAAGGGATAGCATACGGGGACCGTTACGATAACTCTGTGATGGACTACAATGATCCATCACGACGGCAGTACGCGCAACAGACCTCATATGCTGCACAACAATCACAAAGCGGTAGCACCCAACCCGGTAGCCAGTTTAACACCCCTGGTGGATCTGTGGAGCGATTCAGGCAGTCTTCAGGGTACCTCCAGCAGTCTCCACAAGCTGTCGCCTCGACTGCACGAGCGAGCGGCGATGCGCAAGTATATGCCTTTCCACAAAGCTCACAGTATGGAGCCGGTCCTTCGGCAACAGCACAATCGATGCAGTACTCTTCCGATTTGCATGGTGCAGATGCACCGCGACAGAGCGACAGCGCACATTATCAACAATACGGGTCTAATGTCATGTACGGCATGGCGCAATCCACGCAACAGGCGACACAATCGCCTTATGACCCAGTCTCACGTTATTCCCAGCGTCCTGGTACCGCGTCCGAGACATTGGCTTCTCAATTTGGGGCGTCACAAACGGCAGCAGCACAGTATTACCTTGCAGGACAGTCGCTTCCGAGTGCGACAGTTCCCGAGCTGGCGGCATCGCAACTTCCCTCTCAGTATCAGCCTTCTGCATACGCGGCCGCTGGACCTTCGTCCACTTACACGAGTACGATGATGGATCCCACGCAATCTGGTGCATATTCATACGCGGCTACTGCAAACCAGTATACGCCTAGTTCCGCGCAGTCCGTAGATCAGGCATTCGCCAACTACCAGAGCCAGATTCGGACCCTATTCACCAGTGTGAGAGAAGGCGCTTTGCGCGAAGTTGGCGGGCTCTTGATGGATGTTTCGCACTATCTGCTTGGCAATGCAGAGGCCCTAGGTAAGTTGATCACGCTACCATAGTTGCAATCTCAAGCTGAGCTAATTCCCAGTTGCAGGCCTGACGCGCGACGACGACAATTTGCACGATGAGCGCATTCGACTCTGGGACGAGTTCAACCGAGCCTGGCTGGTGACGTTGGAAAAACAACGCGAACTCACTCAGGAATATCTCCAAAACCAGGGCCTTCGTGAGCCTCTTTCCATCATGAGCGTCCAAATACTGGAGCATTTGTCGCGAGAACTGGTCCGGTTATGCGACAGTGTCGAGAAGCACGGCTTGGTAGACTATCAGATGGGCGTGGCCGAAGAAGAGATCATGGACCGTAAGTATCCTTGTGAAACGGCAATCCTCTTGCTCGTGACCATAGCTAACGTGTGTGTGTGTGCTGCAGTGCTGATACGATGCTTGAGCCTACTGGATCCGGACAGTGCGACTACCGGAGCGGAGTCGTCAGTGTCTGCGTCCCGGGATCGATAGCGACCACGAATCGACAGTCTTACTCTGGAACACGACCCGACGAATGACGGAGCATCAGGCCCGTCGACGGACTCTCTCGAACTGCATACGATATAGACCGGGACTGCATGGCATCCCGGGGCACAACGTCTCCGGCTACCGCAAGAGCTTGCACGTTGACCGTCAGCAGCACAAGGCTACGCTCCGCAGCGTAAGCTATAGTTTTTTGTACGCGTGTTTCGTCATAAGATACCACTATTTTACCTGGGCGGCTTTTTATCTGTGCATTTGATGGCTTGCACGAAGACACGATTAATTGTAGCTGTAATGCAACAACAGGGGTGGGAGGGGGGGATGGGAGAAGCGGGAAAAACGGAAGAAACAACAAGTTGGCACGGGAATAGGTGTGTTCATCCGGGCGGTATCCTCGGCTGGTCCAGAACGGGCCGCCTGGTTTTAGTAATGTCAACAATGAGAGCGAGAGAGAGAGAGAGAGAGAGCGAGAGAGCGAGAGCAGCAAGCAAGGCCAAGCAGTAGCAGCAGCAGAGCATGGATGCATGTAAATAATAATACCGAGCGTACGGAACACCCCAGTGCTGTGCACCGCATGTGCTTTGTGTCACGTTCTATTGGCTTACATGTACTTTGTCACTTTGAATCACGTCTCTCGCTCGCACTTGCTCCACGCGACGGGACTTTCCAAAACATCAAGTTCCCCTCCAAGGCTCCACCCGTCGTCATCCTTGCACTTCTACTACCTCCTACTGTACTACCTTACATTACTACCTACAATACACAGACTGCTACATACACCTCATGTACATGTACTTCTGTCGACATACCACCGACAACATTCTCCCGAGGCTGGTTGGCCCCCCAGTGGCTCCTTGCTGATAAACTGACGATTATCCACCCAACATGCAAGGCTTGCGACCTGTATCACCACCACCGGGGGGACACAGTTGGGATTTGGCTTTTTTCCCGTCAAAAGAGAGAAAAACATCCATGCCTATAGCGACCAGGCTATCATTTCGATTTATTGGTTTTCCGCTCACCATCTGATGCTAGTGATGATGATGCTGATGGTGCTGATGCTGGCGATGACGCTGATGATGATGATGCTGCTGATGATGCTGGTGAGAGGCTGAGAGCTGAGGCTGCCGAGCTGTCTGAGCTGTCACCCCCGGCTTATCTGTGCCGATCCCTTCTTTACTCTCTAATCTCTAGCTGACAGTCTTTTTTTATTTTTTATTTTAATATATTACTGTCATTAGGCTCCATCTTCGCTTGCACTGGTGCTCACGCATCTCCGGTCTTGGGCCCCAATCTGCAAATGAGGAGGAAAAAAAATGAATCACACACATTAACATCTAGAGTTCGACTGTTCGAGTCATCTCAATCTGATATCGTATCCTCCACCAGCTTGTGATGATGAGGGGAGCCGATGATGATGATGATGATGATACCAACCAGCAGGCAAGCAAGCATTGTTGTCATCGAAAGGGAAACACTTTCCCCCTTCCCAAGAAGCCTGGAGTCTGGACAATCAAATCGGGTTTCTTCGGAGAAGCCCAGGAAAAAACGGACCTCCTTGCCATGCTCGGTGCATGTCCAAATATTCAGCTTTGGGGGTTGTCCGACGTCACGCGCTGGTTGTCGTATAGCCAGGGATTCAAACCTTTTATTGTTTGGTCCTCGACGCTTCGCCACGGGAGACGCCTGCCTGGTTCAGCCACCCCCCCGTCTGTCGCGGCCTTCGGTCCGCGATAGGACACCTGGTCAGCGCTCGTGATACCCAGGCAGAGGGTTTGATGAAGACAATATTTTATATGGCTACCTAGCTGGCTGGCTAGCTTCTCTCTATTGAACATTTGAAATATCCATCTGCCTAGACAAGCCTTGCCGAGGGACTGGAAATGAAGTGCGCTTTGAGCGATGAAGTGATGTGATCATGTGAGCGACGCGCTAGAAAAGGAGAGGTGATATCATGGAGCGATGAGAGTGAGAGTGCAATCTGTGAAGTTGTCGTATATGAGGTGCGTACTGTTATCACGAAGCCCCTTGTCGTCATGTTTTTTTTTGGCGGATTTCGGCCCTTTCCAGGCTTCCAGCATTGGGGATACGCGGAGAAAGTGGGACACCTTCCCGGATGCATGGAGACGCGTATGTGTAAGGTATGTACCGTATGTGTATATGTGTGTATGTATGTGCTTCTGCAATTACCTTTCTTGGAAACCTCTTCTTGCTTCTCCGGAATAGGTAGGTATTCATAATGCCTTACCTCAGGTCCTCAGCAAGGTAAGGTAACACCTTCCTCGCCCCCTTAGCCAAGCCTACACACCGACTGTCTCACGTTTTTTTTAGACACCACCACTTCAGTCTCCTTGGATATAAAATTATTGAAAAAGCTTGCTTGCGTTGCTTGCTTCGATACCTAAGATAGCAAATCCGCCCCGTGCGCTCGAGCTCTCTAAGCGCGTCAACCGGCGGCTGGGCGGCGGCGGGGAGAAAAAGACAAAATAAAATGTACATAATAATATACCTAGGAGTGAAATTTCATCCTTGCTGGAGACGGCCGAGACAGCCTGTATGTACTGTACTGTACAAACGATAGAGTCTACCTCCTGATATCGCCTACCGCCTAGCCAGGCGCCAGGGGGGGTAGGGAGTTAAGCGCATACTTTTTTTTTGTTGGTTTGGCCGTCGTTGTTGGTTGGTTGGTCTACTAAATAAGAGTAAGGTATGTAGGCATTAAATCAATACATTACCAGGTACAATGTATACCTTACACTTACGTACTGTAAGGTAGCCGCGGGTCTGGTCTTTCCCTTTCCCTTTCTTCCCCCCGTTACACTCCCGCATCCCCTTGGAATTGATGTGATGTACTGTACAAAGGTACAATTGTACTGTATATATCGCTTGGTAGGCAGCCAGCCAGCTAGCCAGCTAGCCATCGCAGGATGCAACGAAAGAAAAATAAAAATAGGTAGGGATAGAAACACTTCCGTTTTCGTTTGATACATATCAAGGTACTACAACAAACCAAGAATTGGAATACGAAATACCCGAGTCCACCTAAAGTACAAGAAAGGTAACCTCATTATTCAGTGTAGAGATTTTATCGATAAGCCAGCGAGCCCCCAGCCCTATAGTATCTTTCTTTGCTTGTGATATATATTGGATTGGGAATTTATTGGTACCGAGGTCGTATTTCGTCTACAGTGCAGTACTACTTTTGGTAGACTAGTTTGTAGTAGAACCTCTCCTAGGTGTTTCGTTTGTTTTGACGAAGGAACGTCTGGTTGGTTGTTAGGAGGTACCTCTACCGTCCTCGGCTTTCGTACGAATTTGTTGGTGAGTACCTACCAACCTGTGTAGTGTACAATGAATGATTCAAAGTACTAGGTAGGTACCGGACGTACCTTTCTATCAATCCACTCTTCTCTCTAAACGATGGCTCCGCTGAACGTACATGCGTCGTTGCATGTATGTATGTACGTACATAAGGTATCTGTTGAATTTTGAAGTGACATATCTCTTGCTGCCTATGTATCTCTGCTTTCCATGTCTGAAAAGAAAAGTGCATCATGTAGATCCAATGTAGGTAGTGATCTGCTCTGCTCGGGTACAGCGTACAGTACCTACTACTTCTTTCTTACGGAAACAAGTCTTCGAAAACCCTCTCTGCTTCTTCTTCTGCTTCCCCTCACTATCCACATCCCCGCCTCCCAAAGGTTGAACACTCCCTATACAATCCATTCGATCTACGAATGATACAGCAGCAGCAGCAGTAGGAAGACTGCCATGTAACCCAACAGCGCATCTCCCTCTCCCTCCTCCTTCTCCTTGGATCCTATCCTCCCCTTCTTCTCCAACCGCAGCACCTTTCCGCTCTCTATGTATCGCCCTCCAGTCTCTTCAACCAACTCTCTATACCTCGTCTCCTCTTGCTCCTGCTTCTCTAGTCTCTTCTTCCTTTCCTTGTCCTGTTGTACTCCTTATTTGGTGAGCATAGCATAGCAGAGGAAGAATCGTAGTCCATCCATATCCCTCCTGTTTATTCAAACATCATCCACGCTATGCGTTGGGCTACCTGTACCTGTAGTCTAGACGCACACTTTGCCGCCATGGGAGAGGAGCGAGCACACCTTGAACGCCACTCAGCTCGCACATCGAAAGACGCTACCCTTCACAAAGCCGTCGCCGTCGCCGCCAATTGTCCGAAGACCCGCAATCATATGAGCACTGAAATCGCGTGATTGATGTACCATTATAGCGGAGAGAACAGGCGCCGGTGGGCAATACGCGTGTCTAGCAGCGCTCGATCCAATAGACTCTCCTACTACCCACCGTTAATGAGCAAATAGCTGATAGCATTTTCGGACTGGAACGGTATCAGATCGCGGCTTCGACGAGAAGTGACCAGTCGCAGTACGAAATACAAACATCTAGCATGTGATCGAAGTATGATACAGTAAAAGCAGGGCAGGAGTCAATGCTCGAAATCAGTACACGTGCTTGAAAGAACATACTGGTATATGCCATAGTTTGGGGCTAGTGCCGCGTTGGTGTTGCGGCCAAGCCATCATGGGTGGAATAGAGAGTGGTGGGAAGGCACTTTCTTTTGATGCTGTGCCTGCTCGTGCTAATTCGCTCGGCCACGCAGACGCTGAGGTCTGTGGCATTTGCGCACCCAGTTTCGTACTTTGCAAGAGAGTATGCAATCGCTAATCCAGAAAGGAGTTCAAGGATGGCAAGGCGCCAAGCACAAAAGCGTGAAGTGGTGAATGTTCTCGCTCACCGATTCCCGGCCACACCCAAGGAGAGAACGCCATGTTTCTGCACAAGTCTTTCTCCAGACGCCCGCTTGAAAATGACCCCCAACCGCTCAATAGAAAAATTAGATGATTCACTACTCCGTGTCTCAACTCAGAAATGCGGCATCGCTATCAGGTGTGATGTGCTCTTATCGCTCCGTGCCATTCATGCGTGTCGTGTCGCCAACTTTTCAGTCGTGGTTGTTGTTCATTAGAAGAAGTGTGTATGTGGCTTGGACATCTCGTGCACCTCCATTTCCTGCCGTCTGTGTAAGCAAGCATTCATCTGCACGTGCGCTCGAGGATCACTTACCATTTTGAAGGTGTTGAGCTCTTCTTTGATCTGCTGTGCAAGCATGGGCGTTAGACGATTGCAGGTTGCGATCTCGCCCCTACGGTCATACTCCGTGCTTGACCAAACGTCGTGGAACTGTATTCGTGGGCTGAAGCTAATATTTCGTGACCCGTTAGGCGTATTCGGCATGCTCTTCGCCACAGATGCCAGTCGTGGGCTAAAGTAATCCCCGTTGACTGCGTTCTTCATCGAGTCGCTGCGCACGCCGTCCTTGGGCGTGCTCGGCATGCTGGATGCGGGACTCTCAGATCCGTTCTGCGCGTCGGCTGGCTTGATGACTGGAGATCCGCTTGGCGAAGCTGTACCTGAGCGCTTCAGAATACCTTTCTTCACTGCTGCGAGAACTTCCGCGCGGTCTCGGTCACTGCCCACGATGCTGCGGCGCGAGAAAGAGTCGGATCGATCCCCAGAGCCCCGATTGGTGGGCAGACCAATATTGTTGGCAGCGTCGATGGAGTTGCGCTCTAACTTCGGAAAGCCTGTTATGCCGTGTTTCTCCGCTGGATGGGCGTCTACATTCACTTTATGTCGCTCGGCTTCGACGCTGACCATGGAAACCTGTGCAACGCTAGGTTGCGCTTGGGTCGACACTGGTCCATCAGCCGCCGGCACGCCAATGACAGACTTGGGCCGGAATAATCCCTTTACGCTCCTAGCGCTCTTCTTAGCTCCTCTGCCCATCTTGCGCAGCATCATCGAGGCCGATGATGCGGTCGATGAGATGGAAATGTTGTCAGTTGAGCCAGTCAAGGCCACCGACGTATTTGCATAAATGCTTGCGCCCAGTCCACCCGCTTCCTGCTTGCGTGCGATTTCCTGTTGTTCGGCATCAAGCTCATCATCAATATGCTGCTGATGCTGCATCCTCTTCTGCTGAGCCTGATGTGCAGCTGCATTGGCAGCTTCGTTGTTCTCAGCCGCGCTTCGACGCAGTTCTTGTGCACTTCCAAAAGAGAAGGCCCGTCGCAGACGTGACTTCATTCCCTTGTTGAGGTCTCTGTCTGACACCGCGGCAAGCTGCTGGGCAGCAGCGGACTGGGCTTGTGCGTGAGCCTGAACACCAGCCTGTGCAGCAGCAGCATACGTCTTGGGTTTCTGCGCCGAGCCGATCGGGGTGGCTTCGGAATCAGCTTCCTTTGCAAGAGGTGAGGGCCCCTTTGCAAGTTTCCCAGTCTCAGAGGAAGTCCTAGGAGGGATGCTGGGAGACTTCTGTCCTTCAGGCCGTAATCCGGTCACCATTTTGGCGGACTCTTGGGTTCCGCCTGGAGTCTTCCTGCGTGACGCTGTGCTGTCATCACTTCCCGATCGGGTATGCGAGGACACCGGGCGAATAGTCAACAAATTAGAAGAGGAGGCAGCCTGTGCTGACTCTGGGAGTGGAGCGCCAGCGCCCGTCTGCAGCACATTGGTGTCAATGGTGTTGTTCATGCTGCGCCTCCTGTATCTCTTGGCTAGCTCTGCGCTGCCTGACTTGACCGCCATGTCATCCTGGCTCTCTCTTCGCTGTGTGAGTTGTGAAGCCGGTCGCTCCTGCGTAGACTGGCTCACGACATTGGCAAGAGGCATAGAGGCTGCCGCAGCTTGTGGAGCAGCCTTTGGTGTAGTGTTACCGGACTCGGTACGCGGAGCGGCTGCCCGACGATATCGGCCAGGGGAGGGCTTCGCAGGCTGGTCGAAATTGGTGAGCGAAAGGTCGGGAACAGCGGAAGACAAGTTGATCAACGACGAGTTCTTCGACCCAATCACGGAATCATCCTTCGCCGATGGCTGTGAAGAGGCGTCGGACGATGTCGTCGAGGAGTTGGACACCGATTGAGTATGTGTATGCGCTTGCTTCTGGCCGATGATGCCGTGGGATGCCGTGGATTGAGACACACTGCGGTTGTCCGGCCGCAGGGTGGGTGTGCTTTGGAAAGCATACGGCTGCACAGGAGCAGTGGCGGTGCTCCGGTACGAATTATTCTGTCCATTGTACATGCTGCGGGTCTGTTGCCCTTGTCGGGGAGAAGTGGAATATTGCTGGGACGAGCCGTTGAACGCGTCGGAGGATGAAGGGCGGGAATGCAGCATCGTAATGGTGCTGGTAGGTGAAGATAGCGGCGAGAGTACCTCAGCCATCGGTTCAGCCGTGACAGCAGCTGGTGAGTGATGTATTCCGAGCTCGGCGGCAGTCGAATGATCAAAGGCTCGACGCGTGCCTGGGGGCGGAGGAGAACTGTGTGTGATAATTATATGGGTCTGAGCCGTCCAGCAGTCAGTACGGGGTCGAAATAGGGTATTCTCAATGGTATGAAGGCGTTGTTGATGACGGCCAGCAGGCACAGTAAGGAGCGTGAAAGTCGTGAGTGTGTGGAGAGGGGTGGATAGATCTGATGCTGATGGGCCCCTATTTGGACACCGGGGCGTATCTTGCGACACGGGGATACGGGAAAGACACGACAACAAGAGCGCTCTCGTCGGTGGCGCAAGGTGTAAGACAGAGGATTCTGTCCTGTTGTGCGGGCAGACGGGTGGGCGTGCGGGCGGGCGTGTGTGAATGTGTATGTGTGTGTGTGGTGTGTACGTGTGTTCTGGCAGGTGAGAGCGGCGGTGCTTATCCGGTACGTACCTTCTTTTCCCCAGTGGGAACGAGATGGCTCTATGCACTCATGAGAGGCAGCTATCACCGAGTCTGCCTCGTGAAGTGAATGCTGATGCGGCGGCGGCGGCGGAGGAGGAGCAGGCGGGCAGGATGGAGAGGGAGATGCAACGTCGTCGCCGTTCGTGTCGAGAATGCGGAATGTCAGAAGTGAGGAAGCAACAAGGCCACGCGAAATGTCGAAGTCAAAGCCGGTCTCTCGCCAGAAACCCTGTGGTACAATGCCAGTGGGCAGAATGCGTATTCAAGAAGGAAATAATAGAAACACAGGACTGCAGATGGCTTGCAGTCGAGGGTGAGAGAGCGAGGGTGTGTGTGTGTGCGTGTGTGTGTGTGAGTGAGTGAGAGGGAGAGAGAGAGACAGAAAGGAAGCTAGCGAGTTTACTCCACCCTCACGAAGTGGATCTGCATGCATCCCATTTCCTCGTCGTCCCGTCGCCTCACCTCGATCAGTGTTGCACGCTACTACTGTTACTACTACTAAGGTACTACTGTAGGCATATCATACTCACACTACCACTACCACCACCACCACCACCACTACTACTACTACTACTACTACCACTACTACCACCACCACTACCATTACTACTACGACGTGAACGATTGTGCGCACCTCTGCTGTGGAGGTTCCTCCACCAACAACAGAGCTCGAACTATCGCACCCCCTCGGGTGAGGAGAGTCCGTGTGTCGCTTGTTTGGAAACGATCTAGCCTCGAAATATACTCTCCCCATGCTTGCTTGCGAGGCCAGGCCAGACCAGGCCAGGCTACAAAAGTACACTGTACATTGACATGGTGGCTCTCCACAGCGCGGATTGTTGGACGTTTGCGAAAGAGCACGACATGGCGACCGGTCCGCGTAGTAGGAGGAGGAGGACGACGAGGACGACGACGAGGCGTGTAGGACACACATATCGTATCCTCCAGCTAGCTCCATACGCACCATTTCGAGACACTAAGGAGGTACTGTATAGAACCACCGAACGTTGCTCGCCGGAGTGCTGCAGTAGCAGTGCAGTAGTATGCCGCCTCCAAGCTTGATTGCGTACTTCAGTCCGGCAATCTTATGTGCTCAACAGGGTCAGAAGGACCAATTGACTTTGAGTAAACCGCCTTGCTACCTCCTATCCGCATACCACACATCTCTGAAACACCTTCAGCTATATCGTACCGCTGTTACGCTTTCCACGTGCCCGTAATTATAGAGTCGACGTCGGAGTCTTTTCTCGATAGCTGTGAGTGCATTGCCGGGAAGGGGAGATTCCCTTCTGATGGAAAAGAAGCTTCTTCACCCTACCTCCCTTTACCGACCGACGAGACCCTCACCACGCCATTTGCTTCCGATGGTCTCACACTCCATCGCGCCATCCTCTCGCTGGGTCAGGGACTAGCACTCAAGCCTTCAGGGAGGTGCATAGTCATACGCACTACTCAGAGCACTAGGTAATAGGTCCCGCATGTCCCCTGTCACGTCTATCGCCATCCCGGAACTTTTGGCCTACCAATCTCGTGCGCCATAACCGCCTGACGACTGCATCCGCGCCTGCGTAGGCGCGAGAACCAGACACGATTTTCCGTCGTTGCGCTGCTGCTGCAAGTGCGTGGGGGAGAGACCACGGGCTTATATTTCACTACCATACACACATACGGTATACACACATACACGCACCCATACGCACACACATCCACACATTCCGGACTTGGGGCAAGACGTGTTTGATAGGCCGAATCATGGGCTACCCGGTGCCCAGCAGCTACATGCATTATGTACTTACTGTACATGCGTGCCATCAACACTAAGAACGACGACCTCCCAGGGGACGGCTTGCTCTTGACTGGCAGTGAACCTATCAACAGGCCACTTGGCTACCTACCTACGGAAGACAAGATCCGCATTATGAACAAAGCCATGCACATTTTCCGACTTTTCAATTGGTGCAAAATACAAGGCTGTCAAAGCAATGAAATGTCTCTCTCCCTCTCTTTTCATTAGCGACTTTATCTTTTCGACCTCGCTGCTTTTCTCCTCTCGCCCTTGGCAGTCTACAAGACATCCCGATGTACCTACATAGGTACAGGTACTCTCCGAATCCCGTACAAGTAAGCCGGAAGAAGCACAAAACAGTCGAGTACAAACCTCTTTCTCTACAGCGAAAAAGAGATATACCTAACGTTTTCCAATTCTCGCATAGGTACTCGCGGTTATCAGCTCCATCCGGGGCTACCAGGACCTCGTATTTAATTGCTTTGCTGTACGTCAACGGCATGGGTAGTACATTACCTACATCATACTACATGTAAATTCTCTGGCTTGCGCTTTGTGGTAAGATAAGTAGTCGCTCGTCCACAACAGACAGACAGATAGATACACTATACCATGAACTTTCTACCCATCATCAAATTCGAATTCGATTCTTATTGCTTGATATACACATATACATCTTACTTGCGCTCGTCAATGATATGTCAGGTCCACCGAAAGAGTCTTGCATACCTACCTACCTACCCACCGTACCGTCCCTAGGCACAGATACATACATGTAAACCTTCAACACCTACCTCCTACACCACGTAAGCTACATATACTACAGGTAGGTAAGGTAAAGTAAGGTAAGGAAACGCCGATGATCCCGATTCATGAACACGTACGCACAATCTATCTTATCTACCTGACGTGTCTGTGAAGAAAAAGAAGAAGAAGAAGAAAGCAGCTGCAAGATCGTACAGAATAACTACCTAAATTGGAAAGCGTATCGTATCTTCAAGATATAAATGTAATCATCTACTACTATAAACCTGGGTTAACTTATACGAAACATTCCTGATCTAGGGAATTCCTTCTTGATTTTTTTGAGGAGAACACGATTTCTTCATACCTTGTTCCGTACCCTAGTATCTTCGTCATCGTCATCAAGAGAGAGAGATAAAGGAGGATCGGTGTAAGACATATATTAACTTCTACGAGTGAGATAGATTACCTGTGCAGCAGCTTGTGAAGTACTACTCTTAAGACTACTACCTTCTCCTTACAACCACTACTACCTCCAGTGCTGGAGACTTTCTCTGGACTCTGGTAGACTTCACATCTGGCTTTTGGCCGCCCCCCTCCCCACCCTACCCCCAGAAAGGTTAATCGGTGATTTGATCTGATCCTCTCCACGAATCACCAGGACGCATGGTGGCCGATTTCCAGTCATCAGGGAACATTAAATCTGCCCTATGCACTGGTGGGACGATGTGATCTCACAATGGATTTAACTCGAGAGTGCCTCTGTGTGCACGCGCACACGGGCTCTTCCCGTTGCCTCAACCGGTGCTCGCCACCAACACTTTTTGTGTCCAAGCCTCATCACAGGCCGTCCAAAAGAAAAGTCCAGAAGGAGGTCGTGTATACCGGCGCCGGACAGAACGAGGGGATTCCGTTCAAGACTCCGGCTCGAGCGAATACCACAGATCAAGTCATTTATGTTCATCAAAGCACAGATCTATTGCTGTCTCGATGAACCCATGCAGGACCCCGTTTGAAACCCCAGCAAATCGTCAACCGGGTAAATTTGCAGCAGCACCAAACAGGGTCCAAACCGTGCATAATGATCTCGACCAGAAGCAGTAATTGCAATCATCAAGGTCATATATTGATTGATGCAAATTGTGCAATCACTTCTTCGCGTTCGGCAGTGTGCTGTAGCGCGCAATCATACAGCAAGCCTCCAGCTGTCATCAAAACCAATACGACTCTCCACTTTGGCTAATGATGAACTCGCAGCCCAGTCCAGCTCCAGTTTCCCGTAATCCTTCTTCGTGATCCTGCAACTGCGCAAGGATATTTTCGCTGACGTGTGGACCATCCTTGAATGTATCCTTGATATGTATGATGACCACCTTGATACCACTGAGAGGCGCATCGCTGATTGCAGGCAGGTTGGGCATGTCGTTGTTGCTGCCTGCAGTCGGAGTGGTCGCCACGCCGTGATCGATGGAGCGTGGGAAAGCGACAGATCGTGGCGAAGTGATCGCATCACTACCGGGGTCCATCGTGCTTGTCTCTTGAGCCTGAAAGTGGTAATAATTCAGTGCATCTGCTGAGCTCGCCGATGGGCTATGGTGGTTAGTGAAGCCTGTCGCAGTCTCGACTGCTGAATAGTGATCGGGAGCACTACTTCGTCGACGATCTTCTAGTAGTGCCCGATTCACAAGACTACGGCTGCGTTTCCTCGCATTGTCTGGCATGGTGAGCCGTGCAAAAGGGTCAAGCCCATTGGGTCCGTGGTTTTGAGAAGATCGCTTTCGCTTGGAGCTGGCTCGATCTGTCATACGCGCTGCTTTCGCATCGACGACCATGCTCGCCAGTGTCTGCAGCTCCGCGATCAGATGTCTCGGGTTCAAATGGCCAAAAAGGATTGCATCAGCCTGACTATCATCGTAGCTCGACTCGATGAATATACCGCCAAGCACACCCTGCGCGATCTTTCGTGCAGCCTCTTGCCACACGATATGATTTCGAGGAGCAAGGGACAAAGAATCCGGTTCCACGTCGCCAAAGATGAGTATCTCCCGCTGGGTTTCTTCGTCTCGCAGGAAGTACGCAGTGCTGTCGACCACGCATGCTGGCGCATGATCGGTCGCTCGCAGCTGTGGCGAAGGCTGATGTGCATGGAAGCTCTGTCGTTGTGTGGAACCAGGAGTTCCGGGTTGCGAATGCATTGTTGAGATCGGAGTTGATCGATTCATTGCTAGCGCGTCTTGCGACACACCCTGGACAGACCCATTGTATGGAGGCGCGGTATCAGACAATGCCGATATGCTGGCACGATGTAAATGACTTGGTGCGCTCTTGGTGCAGACTCCGTGAGAGACAGTGAAGGCTCTGGCAGCCAGACCATCGCAGACGTCAATATAGCCTCTGCCTTCGCCCTCCCCCATCATCACATCGCCCCCCTCTTTCAGCCGCTGGAAGGTCACGAAGCCCACTCCGCCATCCTCATCTGTCAGGTTGGGCCAAATGACATCGTTGAAGATGTGCTGCTTGATCGCATTGACAGTGCTCGGCAGAGCAGCCAGAGTCTTCGGCCGGGAGGTCCCATTGAAGGCTGCAGTATTGATCGCAAAGCCAGACAAGTGATCCAGATGCGGGTGTGTGATCAGGTAGGTGGAGATGTACGTTCGGAGTACATGTAGTGCATTTGCTCGAGCCGACTCATTGGGGAACTTCAGGCCAGCGAAAGGTCCCGTCTTGAGTATAGTGGGCTCCAGCTTCGGCAGCAGATCCACCTCAATGGGAGAGCCAGGTCTCCGAAGCGCGTTATTAGACACATGGCTGCTTTTAGAGCCCCGTTCGCGACTGATGCTGGGGAAATGGCGCTCCAGGATGCGCGTGATGGGCGCCAGATGCGAGCCGGCGTCGACGGCCAACAGTGAGCCTTTGGCCCAGGCACTGCCTACCGAGCGGACCAAGAAAGCAGTGACATTCTCTTCGCTAGGACCGCCGCTGTTGCCGAGACATATGACCTGCAAAGCGGGTCGCTGGCCATGTAGCCCGATATTGATGGTGTCCTCAACCTGATCACCGGCGTCTTTCATCGAGGCGCATGTAGCCGCCAGTCGTCCCGTGCTCGTGTCTCGCGTCTCGTGTCTCGGTGGATGGGATCGGGGCGCGGCGCGGGAGCGTGCAGATGATGGTCGCAATCACGGTACATTCGTCGACGGGCGCAACGAATGTCGGAGTCCCTTCTCGAAGGAGGGGGGTTGCGGACTCGGCGGGAGGCTTTGTGTGAAGTGCAGCAAGCAACACTGCCGTCAAGAGCTGGCCACGTGCGCACTTTGGCACGGGGTGGTGCTGCAGCGTGCCGCGCTGCGTCCAGCCGCGTCGCCTGTACGCAGGTCAAAAGGTGGTTCTAGAACGACGTCGCCGGGCAGCGTCGCACGATAGGCACAGCGCCAGTCCAGCAATGGGAATCGAAGTGAATCGGTCGGTCGTTCGGTCGGTGCAGTCGTGCAGAGGGGAAGAAGGAAGAACATCTCCATCGCCAGTCCAATACGGACATATCGTAACACATATATAGAACTAGTAGGTGATTGTGCAAGCAGCATCCAGGCAGCACCAGACAAGACGCTTACAACGGACCCGGCATAGTTTTTCACGCGTTACGTCAAATTCGCGAGCCAGAGCACTCTAGACGGGCCTTCCCAGTTGTTTCATCCTGCACCTCGCTGAACATCTAGAACTGATACCGTTTTGTCATCTCGAAGTACCTATTTTTCAGTTTTCACGCCATTTTCATCTTCTTCATTATCATTTTCTTCTACTTCCACTTCCATAACCAACTGGACTGGACTGGACTGGACTGGACTGGACTGGACCACCCGCGGCGTAACCCCCACCGTCACTGTCACTATCGGCGTGTGCACAGAGCCAAGTCCGAGGGTACCTACGCACATACAATATGCAACACCCCGTCCCGAAGATACCTCAGGTATATACCTAGGTACAGGTAGCAAGCAACCTCCGTCCTTCCGGCACTGTGGAACATACAGCAGTCAGCGACGGAACCAGTGGCGAAAAGAAAGAAAAAAAAAAGAACTAAACAGAGTGCCACCACATTAATGCCATTGACCCCTGGTCTCATGTTGTAGAACTAGCTAGGTACAGTAGGTGGTAGCCCTTTCGGCCGATACCCTAAAAGAAACACAAATATTTCACATTGCCGTTTCCTTGTGCACTACCTGACCTAAGGTACAGGGAGGTACTAAAGGTAGGTATGCATGGCGCCGACGGGAGGGAGAGACGGAGGACCGGGAGTTTTGGTACCTTGCCATCTTTGATTGATGCTGCTTTGATAAGCAGCACTGCCCGTAGGAGGTACATGTAGGTAATAAGCAAGGTAGAAAGGGATCTGGTCTGGACAGGTACACTGGTACGGATACTTGCGACAGATGATACCAGTGGACTCATTGCACTCACGCTACTGCTGGCTGTATCTGGAGATACATGTATAAGACAAGCATGCTCAACTTTTTATTCACTGCAAGCTATGTGAATGTGACTGATCTCATCTACTGGTCGTGCAATGCAATCGTGGTGCCGCTGTTCCACAGTCCTATTCCAGGTATCGTAGCAGTCCAATTCGCGCATCAACAATCTGCCTCCAACAAGGGCTGACCTGCTCACATGCTAGTAGCCTAGTACTGCTCAAATGGAGTGTCTGCGGGCTCTAGAGTCTGTTGATCCTGCCCGAAAACCTACCATGTCCGCCTGCCAACAGCCCATCGTACTCCACCGCCTCGGCCTTGGCTCGATCATTCCAGCCCTCACGAAGACCCCATGCGAAGCGCAACGCATTCAGCTCGCGCTCCGGCATATGCTGGGCAATCCGACCAAGGAAGCGATCGTTGGTCGACATCATCGCCGGCAAAAGAGCGATTTGGCGGATATGGAACCAGGCAGACAGACTTTGTCCCGTGCCTGTATCGATAGCATGCTGATCAAAGGTCGAATTGAGCAGGAGCTTCACATATCCACAGGACTGAAATTCGATACTCTGTAGATTGGTCTTAGCACGCTTTGAGAGCTGCTCCTCGCGACCTCGGACGTGAGGTAAGAAATCCCTGAACACTTTGCCTGGGCTCAGCTTGTCTAAGACTTGTGCCCAAGAGCCTTCGCGGTGGCCGTCTGACCAGTGCGAATAATGAGGTGATGGAACTGGTCCCGCGTGTGGAGGTGGTGGAGGGGGATGAGGAACGATGCCCCATAGAATTTGACCAGCCACTGGGCCTATTGGGGGAGGAAAGGCGATCGGCAGAGGCAGGCCTGCGGCCGTTTGCTGAGCGTTGTTGCCTATGTTGGCGACACCAAGGTTCGGCATAGGCATTTGAATCGGATTCTGATTTTGCTGCTGCTGCTGCTGGTTGTTTACGGCCTGTGCGGCGGTCATCACAAAAGCTCCTGTAGTTGGGTTCCACTGCCCTTGGGGGCCCTGGTTTTGTCCTGCGAGTGGTACCTGATTTGGCAGAGCGCCCTGGGCATCGTACAGGAACCGTGGGTGTGCTGTCAGCGATACGGAGTCGAGTACCAAATTCTTCAACGCCTTACTGGCGTGATTGTTTAGCAGACTCTCAAAGGTTACTGGAGTCATCCAGCAGTTATGAAGAGTCAGGTGCTCCACAAATCGAAACACCAGCGCAACTTGACCATTCACGGCTGTGCTATGCTCTAGCTGGGTGATTGGTGCGGGTAGAACGTGGTTGTTGCGAGCGAAGATGCCCTCGGCATGCTCGCCGCCTGCTGCCCAACCTATATTAAGCTTAGTGATCGACGATCTCAAGCAGAGGCGGTCTCGGAGAATGCATTTGTAGAAAGTGTTCACAGCTTCTGATGGCTGGCGCTGACTTGTTTCGGCGAAGCCAGCATTGTCTCGCTCAACAGTCCTCCAATCGGGCTTAACGTGGATGGTGACATCAGAAACTCCTGGCAGTGCATTCCAGAATGACTCTCTGGACAGGATCGGAAGGAGGCCGCTGGAAACCTTCGTGATTGTTAAAGTCTTCACACGCCCAAAGATGACCGGGTTATCTATCACAGCAAGCATGTAGCACTCGAGGAATGCTCGTTGCGCCCAATCGGTCTCCAGGAGCCACTCTTTTTGTTCCTTCCGAAGTTCAGCAGGTACGAGTGCTGATCTATCATAAATACCAGCGATATCCAGTTGACTAAACGTGGTATACAGTACTCCGTATCGGTCCTCATCAGCTGAAGAATTTGTCGAGATCGCAGGAGCTGCTCGGCCTGATGTGACTGTAGACCATAGTTTGGTATTGGCGTACTTGGTGTTGCGAAGACCCGGAATTCCAGAGGGAGCACTGGCAAGCATGTGGCGAGCAAGCGTAACCTCCCGCAGATTGCACTGGTGGCCAACACCTGCGTGGCACTCCTGTATAGCTTGCCAGAATACCTGCGCGTCTTGCATCTGCTGATCAGGTACTGGCCGAGAGTACCCAAAGACAGGCGAGCCATGCTGGAAAATGCGAGCATGTATGGACTTGTCAGGTCCGTTGAGCCAACCGAGGCCATTGTCGAGGGACAGTCCCAGGTCCTGTACTTTATGCAGGTTGGAGAAAGCGGCCTTCATCCGCAGTGTCTCATCTGCAGTGCGTTCGAGTCCGGCCAAGCCTGCAAATCGAGTGTACTCGTGCTGTGGCCAATCGTAGGATCCATAGTATGAGGTAACATGATCGAGATCTTTCTTGACAGGCGGACGTGCAAGCTGAGCTTCAGCGACCTCAAAGCTCATGCCGAAGCGGCGAAAGTATGGACCAAAGCCTTGGAAGACGCGCAGGCCATGTCCCCTGTATACTTTGCCTTCCGAATCATCCTTGGCGTTCTGCCAGTTCAGGCGTCGAGGAGACACGTTGATGCCCTGATCTGGCACCTCAATCGTCCCAGCCTTGCCCTTGCCTTTAGGTCGATGAGCAGAGCATGGCATCCTGTGAGCAGCTTTGCTGTCTTCCTCGATCATGTCGTACAATTCTGTGTTGAATGGAACTACTGAGGAGGCAAACAAATTCCCAGAAACCTTGCGCTCCCACTCTCGATTGACCAAGCGGGCCGATTTCACGTCGTCGCGTGAAAGAAGTTCAGTAATCATGTCAAATATCTCGACCGGTAGCCTGTCGCGTGGCCAGGATGCGCGGCAGAGTCTTGGGCCTCGAGTAGTGGCATTGATGCGAACCAGATGGCTCGGCAAGATGACCAAATCAGTGTTCTTGGTTATGGCCTGCTCATCATCTGAGTGCGGGACCAACGGCAAATAGCGCAGCTTGGCATGTTCATCGAAGATTTCGTTCGAGGCTGCTGGCCCTTCTCTGCTGAACAAGATTGCAGAATGGCCTCGAATAGAATCCACCGTAGTTGAACGCTTGGAATTTTCCGTCAATGGAGCTTGTGACTTAATCAAGCCTGAGGTCATACGCAGCCGTTCCGGTGTAAAAGCCGCACTGTTCGGAAGCGGGAGCATGTCATCGTCTTCGAATTCGAAGGAGTCGGAGTATATGTCCAGGTCGTCTAGGAAGCTTGAGGACCGACTCCGTGGCACATTACCAAGATCGTTCGGTCGTGTCGGTGGTCCAGGTCCAGGTCCAGGTCCAAAAATATCTGAGGCGTGTATGACGGGACACTCTGAGGTGCCTCGATCTGGAACAGCAGTGCTAGACGTGGCTGGAGAAGTCTTGGACGGTCTTGCCGAGGACGACGCCTTCCTCTTAGAAGACATTTTGCTGGTCGGCAAGAATTCGTTCGTTTCTGGATTGAGAAAGGGAGAGCCTCCAGTGTTCTTTGCGCAAGTGTCGGAGGTGGGACGAGCGAGGGCCTTGAGCATGCGACGTCTTCTCTTGGGCGTCCCTACCTCATCGAGGTTCTCTTCATCATCAAGTTCTCCTAATGTTGGTAGGCGCGATTCGAAAGGATTCAGGTTGTCAGCCATCGTACACCCCGTCTCTATTGGCAATAATCCACAATCTGTAGTGAGCGGATGGTTGAAGTGTGCTCGATGAATTCTCGCACTTACAATGGGTGATTGCTGACTACGTGTGATCAATGAGGGCGTCGAGCCGTGAATGGTAACGACGGTGACTTTCGAGCATCGAGTCGTCGTCTCACGCAAAGTCGGAAACGGCGGTTCTTGCAAGGTCGCGCGCGAGTTGTTGTTTTCCAACATGGAAGTCCAAAAGTTCGTGAAGTGACACGACCGGGCCTCGCAATCGGGCCGGGCCGGGTCTAGCTGCATTGCGCCTTCTACCTGCAGCCGCAGTGCAGCGGGAGAAGGTTCGAAGAAGAAGGAAATTTCCAAGCCTTAGGCACCTCAGATTACCTCAGGTTATCTCAAGTTATCTCAGGTTACAGGTGGCATGATGGCATCAATGAAAATGCCGACGGGGATCGAAACAGACCAGCCAAGACACATCGTCTCTTCCTCGCGATCCGACGCCGAGGAGGTCAGGACCTGTACTTGAGAAAGACCCCCTTTTCGCATGTGTGTTTGGCCGGGCAGGGACTGTTGGTGAAGATGTCGTCGAGAGATCCATTATAGGTACCCGACAGTAAGGTACTCACGAGCACAGTGGCCACCATACCTTGAATTGCATACAAATAAAGTCTTGAGGCATCGTGTTGGGGAGGCGCAATGTGGGAGTGACAGAGACTGGGTCTGCAGTGAGCCACCGTGGTGACATGAGAAGAGGTACCTAATAAGGTACGGTAATAAGATCGCACCGGACTGCAGTGGTCTGATGATGCTTGGCAGCATAGTTGGCTACATGGTATCTGGGGTACAGAACATCAGTACTCGAATTGGCCATGGGCCTTGACGACAGTGAATTGCCGTAAGATCGCGTGACCACGTGTCGACAGTCGTATTGGCCGAGCCACTCATACATAAGTACATAGCTAATCTCGACACACTTCGTTCAGCACCTCGTCCAGTGCCGTGATGATTGGTTCGCTTGCCAGGGAGTTCGCCTGCCCTGCCATGAGGCCAGCGGTCCCCCAAAGGCCCCAACCATCATCCCAATGTCTAAACATCATCTTCACATCCCGCGGTATGCCGCTGAACAAAACAAAACACTTCGGTACCTGTGGACGGTCCTCCGTGGAAGCCGCCATGATCGCGTAATCAGATGCAAAAAGGAGAGTCTGTCCGAGCACAGCGTTCCGAGTGTGCTCAGCATTCGAGGCAAATAGAGGTCCAAGCAGGACAAAAATTGCACCGTAGGCATCGAGAATATAGATGCCTTCGGCTTCGAGCTGCGATTGCAATATTGGGGACACCTCGTTCGTCTCAACCTTGACTTCCATCCCACCCGGCGACGGTGTCGATCGGGCAGGTGATCGAGTGTTCCAGCTGGGCCTACGATTCCAGAGCGCGGTCATCAGGCCTGTTCTTTGTGGCGCTTGTTGCACACGGAACAGCCTGGTTTCGAACTTGGTTGGAGCCAAAGCCTTTAATCGCCAAAGCTCCGTTGATTTCGGAATGCTGGCTTTGGTAGTGTTCGTGCCAAAAATCTTCAAAAAACTCGTGAACTCTACACCACCATCGACTTCAATGATATCACCTGTCTCGCTCAGGTCCATGGCAGCGAGTCTCGCGGCACTGAGCTCTTCCGTTGAACATGCAGATCCTTTCCATAGGTATAGCTTCGTCTCCTGTAGTGTCACCGGATAAGAGATGAGGTACACAAAGCCTGCACATAGACTCTCAACAGCAAAATCCACTTCGTCAAACAGAATGTGTCCCAAATGTTTTCTTCCGCGCAGCATGAATTGTTTGGGCGCGCTCTCTGGCGCGCCTTGTCTGGTGATCAGGATACCCGAAAACGTATGCAAGAACGCTGCAGTCTCGTAGCCCTGTCGTATCACCTGCACTGACGCTGACCCATTCTCACGCGAGATGCGCTTAGCGGTCGCGTGAGCAGCCTCCAGTGTCGTCTCAAACGCGCTGTCGCCAGACCAAACATAGACCTGGCATGCTCTGATGCCTTTAGAGTTTACGAAGCTGTGTGTGCAGACAAATACCGATTCGTCATACAAGGTGTACTCTTGCTGAGGCGCAAGAGCCTTCGATGAGCCGTCTGCAAAGACAATGAGCACAGATCTGCGAAGAGTCTTCACTGCGTCCTCGCGTTGCTCTTTTTCGGCCAGAACAGCAAAGGTGTCTATCGAAAGTGCTTCGCGATGTCTTGGCACGGTACCACTGAAGGTTTTCGCGAGCAACCTTCCGACCTCTGTTGTGGGGCTTGAGAATTCGGACGCGGGCGGATCTCCTTGGCAGACTGTTAGTTCATTGACCATCTGCAAGGTGCGCTAGGGTGTGACTGCAGTGCTGTTGTCAGAATGAATTCGAGAGAGCAGGATTTACATACTTGGAAGCGCACTGGGTATCCTACCTTTATTCGGCGAAGCCTCTGCGAGCTGTCCACTAACGACTCGCGATGATTTCAAAGGTCGAGGAGGCGCGGTTGCAGAGACTGAGGGTTGGTTGCCACCGCTTTTGTTCACATTGATGCCGAGGGCAGGCTGAGGGCGCGCAGCGAGCAGACCAGCTGATCGCATCGCAGCCGCGTCGTCCTTCCTGTTCGAAAGGTGAGTTTGCGCAGAAGTCTCGTCTTTCGTGGGACTGGCTCTGCGGCCCCACAACGACGTTGCTGTCTTGACCGAGGGCGAACCATTGCCATTCTCCTTGTTGTCTTCGGGGACCACAGTTGAATGTGTTGGCTTGGATGCTCGAGCTGCGGCGCCGAACCCTCTGAACTCGGGAACAGCAGTAGACGGCGACGAATTCGCACTCGCAAGTCCGCTCGCATGCGAACTTTTTGCCGTAGGCAGTGCCAGGGTTTTCGATGGCACTAGAGGCTTTTCGACCACGGCCAAGTCTGAGTCTGCAGCTTCCTTCTCATACTTATGCAGCGTGGCTTTCATCAGGGATCCGACGGACCCAGGCACGTCCCGCGACCGCACTTTCAAAGATGTTGCTGGTACAACGTCATCTTCTTTGGCCTCGAGTTCCGCGCTGGATGGGGATGACTTGTTCCTCGAAGTTGCCATGAGTGCAGCAAGTGAACCTGCTGTCGGGCCAGCCTCCGGTCTCGAGAGTTTTGGAGGACTGGCAAGCTCCGGCGAAGCGGGAGTCAGTACTGCTTTCCGAGGCGCGCTCGTTGTGTTTAGCGACGCTTCTGCTACATTGCCAGGTTCTTCTACTTTTATGGCAGACGACTCTTCACTAGCAGAGCTATCCAGCTTTGCACCCGCCTTTCGTCGCTTTGGTCCTTTGGCCCGGTCTTTGCGCACATCTTGCAGAGGGGCATCCGTTGAGGTGAGTGCTGAAGACGCGTTGTTTGGTGGCGAGAAGGCACCAGCATTCACCGGCGATTCGTTCCGTGATGGAGATTGTGAAGGTGGTCCACGAGCGAGCATGTTTGCCAGAGCAGGGTTGAAGCGCGACGCCAATTTCGATGTCTCCTTGATCTGCCTGGGTTCAGCGACCATCGGCGCACTGGTCTGCTTGCTCAAAGGCTCAAACTTTGTTTCCGTCGACGCAGGCGTTGGCAAGGACGTCTGTTTCGATGGGTCCTGGCGCAATGGCGCAGGTTTCGGACTGACTACTTCTGTTGACTTGTCCTTAATAGCCAAATTGCGCGACTTCAAGCTCTTAGCTCTTACGAGTGCTTCGGGAGTACTTTCACGAGCCCTGTCGACTGTGGAGGCAGGAGCAGTCGACTTACTACTATCGGATCGGCCGAGGAGTTCGCGTTTCGCCAGTGCCTCTGGCTTAGAGGGTGCTGCAGGTGGTTTAGTTTCACTGATATTTCGCGCATGTACAGCGCCAGGAAGGTCACGCCCCTCCTCCTTGGCCTTTTTGAACTCGTCCTTCTTTGCGAGTAGGTCCTCCTTGAGCTCGTCACGCCTGACAGTCTTGACAGGTCCGCCAGTTTGTGCAAGGCCGTTTTTGCCACGAAGAATGTTACTCTTAAGGACATCAGGGGCAACAAATTTCTCTGGTTGCGTCTTGCGCAGGGCGCCAAACTTAGCAAGAAACTCAGGCTGCTGATCTGACTTAGGCTGAGGGAGTGGCCGCGATTTCAGCTGACTTCGAAGGTCGGATGGCGTTCGAGGAGTAGCATCTGATCGTGCGTGGTCTGACAACGGCACGGCTGGAGATTCTTTGGTAAAGGTCTTCGATCTTTGCTTAACAAGCCTAGGCTCCGGTGTGGAAGGTTCATTTGAAAGTAGTGGCGATCGCGGCTTTGCATCCGTCGTTGGAGGCGGAGGCATTTCTGGGTTGTCTTCGGGTAGCGGTACTGACTGCTTAAATTCTACTTCGAGCTCTGGATCAACGTCGTCTTGCGTTAGTAATGCCTTCTGCATGGGTGCAAAAGCGATCGGCGCTTCAAGTTTTTTCTCGGGCTCAGGCTCAGGCTGTGGCGAGCGCGAAGTCACAGCAGGCGATGCCTCCACCCTGTCGGCAAGCTTGAAGGACCGGAACGTATTTGTTGGTGTCCCTGACACTGGCGTCCTCGGCGATTCCCTCGACTCTGCTCGTTTCAATATGCTCTGACCAAAAGGTGTTTCCTTAGTAGGTGAGCTTGACCTTGAAGCTTCACCCCCTGCGCCCAGCGGCGTGCCTAGATCTATACTTCCGCGCTGTGCCTTCCGGCTCGCCAGATCCGTCATCCAGCTCGGCTGAGAGTTCTTTGCCGGCGTTAATTTTGGGGATTCGGGCTTCGTCAGTGAACTCTCTAGCCAGCTCGATTTCAAAGGGCTGAAGCGCTTAGAAGGACTGCCAGGTGAGGCCGGGATATCGTCATGCGTGCTGTAATTAGAGGCCATAGACTTGCTGCGACTGTGACCATGGCCGTGATTTGGCAACGCCGGCTTCACAAAGCCATCAGTGTCCTGTTCCGTGACCAGCTTGGCCAAGTCGTTATTTGAGCTCGTGGGTCGAGCGGAAGACTCTTTCGTGGGCTCTGCAGCAACAATGGCCGGTTCAAGCTTCGGCATGCTGTGCGATCCCTGAAGCCCGCCGAGGCCACTACGATTGCTTACAATCGAGTTTGACCTACTTGCGAGTGCGCCAGGCTGTGCACTCCAACGTTTGTTTTGGCTGTCAGATCTTTTCATCATAGCACTTTGCACAAAGCCTCCCATGCCTTTCGTGGGCGATACAGGTCTGTCCACGCCTGTGAGTCTTGCCTGTGAGGTAGACATCGTGACACTGCGTGCAATGCTTGCAGACTCGGTGCTGGCAGTGGATGCTGCGTTGGATAAGATGTTGTAGCTGGGAGACACTTTCCGTTGTCCTTCATCCTCTGCGATCAATGCCTTCAAGTCGGGCTTACCGCTGCTCGAGGCCGATACAGTGGATATCCTACTACCTGCTGAGACAATGCTGCCACGCAACGAACCATCTCGCGACATCGAGTCTGACCTGAGACTTGCGGAGCTTGGGGGGCTGATATGAGACTCTGGCTCTGCCGGAAGTTCTCTCGACAGCCCAGGCAAGCCTCTTCGGCCGACTGACATCGGGGAAGCAGGCGCATCGCCGATCTGATCTTCTACCTGGCTCTTTCTGTACGCAGCTGAGTGCACACCTCGGTCGGCCGTCTGCTTGAACCACGACGGGTCTCTGGCGCCCAACGTGGCCGTGATTTGGTCTCTGCTCGGCACGGGCTTTTCCACAGACTCAGACCGTGAGTGTGTGGGTTGGCTTTCTGTCGCTGGTGCTGCCATGGATTGTGGAGCGCTACTGCCATGCTGAGACTGAGGTCTGCTCCCACCGATCTGGGAAAGTGGTCTGCTACCTCCCATCTGTGATTGCGGTCTTCTATTCCACGTCAAAGTACCAGATCGTGCCAGGCCTGATGCACTTGGCTTCGAAGGCTCGGCCATCGTTGTCCCTGAACGCGCGATGCCCATTCCCGATAGTCCTCCGCCCGTTTGCGCTGCATTCTCTGAGCCCGATGAGCGCATGCTCGACCTGCTTGATGCCGAAGCGCTGCTCCTCTTGATACTGCCGAAACCCTTGAAATCAGGCACGTCCGCGTCCAGCTTTGGGCTCGCTGTTATGATCTTTCCAGGCTCTGCGGTTTTCGAACTCGAAGGAGTCGTCATGGTCGCCGGTTGCGAAGAGACAAGACTGGCATTGGTAGCTGCCGGGCTGATGGTGCGACTCGATGGCGGAGAGAAGGCTTTGGGCTTTTCCGGCGAGATTGATCGTGCGCTTTCTAGAGTAAACAACAATGCGGTCAGTGTTACGGCCCTTGCGTAAAAATTCCAGAAGGTCAGGCTGCTTTTGTTCGAAGTGGGACTTTTGGTGTTCCCAGCAACGAGGAAGCCCAATAACAAAGCTTTCGGGGAGAAGAGAAGACAGAGGCGGACGCGTTGATGAGCAGCTTTGCAGGCGTCGGGACCATTGACCACAACATTGACTCGTGCGTGCGCATATTGAAATGGGACAGAACTCAAACACACCTGCTCGTCGTGCCGCTCGCTCCTCGCGCTCTCTCTGTACCTTCTCCTCCAGTTGCCTGAAGCGTTCCGCGTCTTCGCGGTCGCGCTTGTCCGAAAGCGCGCGCACCGACTTGAGAAATGCCGCTGGGTCGAGGTCGCTGTCCTGCGCGGCCGACGATGTCGGGGTCGAGGCTTCGTCCAAGGCCATAGTGGACGATTATAGCAGCATGTGCCGCCAGTCCTTGTTCACAAACACTGGCAGGGATGTCTTCCTCGGCTTTGGCCTCGTCGTCCACAGACCAGAACCTGGAAACGAAGCAAGGAGATAGATGCAAGAGACCGAAACAGCTAACTAGGCGCGCAGGACGAGAAGATTATTTACGCCAGTGATGCTTCACAGCGTGACATGAGTGAGGGGAGGCATGTGAAGACGCGATGGGGAGAAATGTCCACATTGCGGGCACTGAGGAATTCTACTACAGACTGCGACTATTCGATCTGCCTTTGCGCATAGGGTGGGCCCGATATCTTTAGCCCTGGAATGGTATTTCTCAGCCTCCATATTGTTGTGCTCGTTGCCGCGCCATTTTCGTCAAATCGATGCATCAATTAATTGTACGCTCCTCAAGTGAGTGTCAAGAGAGCTCTTCTTCGCAGATCTGGGAGGTGAAACATCAAAGCTGCCTTCAGGTTTCCCAATGCTCCTTGGGGGTGCCCATGCACACGCTGCAAGCTTGGTTACGTGATGCAGCCTGCAGCCGCTGGCTATGCCGTAAGGAGGTAGTCAGGTACCGATAGCCGATCCAGGAGTGAATGTGGAATCTGGCCTGATGGCAGATCTTGGATCGTGCAGTTCCTCCTAGCAGCAGCAGCGAAAGCATGATTTTAGTAAAGAAACAGTCGGTCCTTTGCGTCCTGAACGACCCATTGCAGACCTGCTTGTAGGTTCAATCCTGTCATGGCAGAGCAGGGCAGGATATGCCACTTGTGGGTCTGGATGTTGTCCAGCTGCAAACCCTAGAAAGCTTGTGTAAGCCCATGCCTCCTGACAATTGGCTTGTAGCCGATGACCCGATGTACCGCTGCGCGTGGGATGTGGATTTGTTTTGCCGCTCACCTTGCGAATATCGTCCTCTGTCATACAGCCCGCAACATCACTTTTGTTCTTGAACACCAGCAGAGAGGCTCCCATCAGTCGCTATCAGCTGGTGTTAGACATGGGAGATCCGAGATCAGATTTAAGAGATGGGATTGGATGAGGTACCTCTTGAACAAGAAGGCCTGTGAGCTCCTGGCGACAGTCCTCGATCCGCTCTTTGTCCGTGGCATCCACCACCCATATGAGCGTGTCAGTCTTCTCAAAGTAGTTTTTCCAATACGTGCGAAGTGTTTTCTGGCCTCCGACATCCCCTAACAACCAGTCAGCACGGCTGCTCACCTGCGGAGGTAGGATGCAGCGCACAGATATTCAGTTTGTATCTTTTCTCACTTCATCAGCCAATCCCACTCTCGCCTCACAAAGCTCACACCTGCGCTTACCCTTCATACTCGATCGTCTTGATGATGAAGCCCAGCGTGGGACTGACTTCGTTGACATCTTCATTCATAATCTTCTTCACAATAGTAGTTTTCCCAGCATTGTCAAGGCCCCTTCACCAGTCAGCTGTTTTCAGTCACCGAAGACTACGTCTGCTCCCTTACAGCATCAAAATGCGCATCTCCTTGTCCTTGAGACGGGCCTTCCTCAGTATCGACAGCATTTTCGGCAATCCTTGAATCTTGGTCTAATTGGTGCACAAGAGAAGACACAAGAACCTGCGAAATCGGCCCAAGATATCGATCACGTGCCACCAGGGGGTATCAAAAAGTCACCTTGATATGCCCTTCTGGGTCAGTCGGAAAAGAACCTGGAAGTCAACTTCGCGATTTTCCGGCGGATTACCTCACCAGCCCCATACTGAACGGGGTGAGGAGTTCGTCAAGAACGTGACGGCAGACGGTCATCCGGCCAAGGTGCCCAAGAAGACGGAAGACAAAAGACGAAGGGTAAGGGCTCACAATCACCACGCTCCACTTGCAACTTCTTTCAAGTCTTTCACTCAAGCGATTCGTTGCTAACCTTGTAGTGAGGCTTTGAGACTGGACTATAGTGAAGTGATCTGCAGAAACAAGACTTAGTGTACTTCCATTAGCTTCTGCTTCCTATTAGCATCTTCATTCACTCAACCAAGCAGCGAGCACCGAACAAACAGCATGGCATCGTTGCCTAGTCAGAAGGAGGCGCAGCCCGGTGATGGTGTGTGGCTTCTGCAGAATGCCGTCCCTCTCCCGCCAAAAAAGCGTCGAGCACGAAAAGGGAGGAATCCGGAAACATTTCTCGCGCGCAGAGATAGTGTGGTCGACAGTGAATTCAAACAACGAGAGACAAGTGAAGCTACATGTAGCAAGCACGGACCGTCACCCGTGAATAATGCAAACCTCACAATAGGCAACAGTGGAAAGCCGCTATTGTCCAGCGGCAGCGCAGCCAGCCACCGACATCCACAATCGACAGCTCCACACCATAAATTCGCAGCTCAACGCAGACTTCAACTTCAACTTCAACTTCCATCCTTTCTTCGCACACCACCACCGCCACAGCTATTACCACCACGCAACGCCGCTCCTTGCACACCTTTGCCTGCCACACTATCAGAACACAATCTACCTCTCACCGCGAGGATGGCTCCTGGCAAAGCCATTCCGCCGCATGTCCGCATGAAGAAAGCCGCTGCACCGGCCGCTGTCGCATCCTTACCTCCCAGTCCACCAACAACCAATGGCTTGCCGTCCAAGCATGTCTCGGTGGGTGCCAATCCCGACACAGAGACTGTCGTAGACTGGACCAAGTGGTCAATGGATGACAAGAGCCCGGACTCGACTCTGCTGAATCCCGAATCCTTGAAACCGCGTTCAGAGAAGCAGGTGTTTCATGGACGGCGCAACACGCACTACAACAGAGGACGTGGACAAGGACGTGGAGGACGTGGAGGACGTGGTGGAGGTGACGCTTCCCAGGCCAATAACCGCAAACCGGCGAATCATCTCAAACCTCTCAAACTACGTGGAGGCGCAGCATTCTGCAAGAGCCGCGACATCCCCAAGGGCGATCCAAAAAGGTGGCAGACGGACTGGACGGGCAATGACCACGCCCAGAAGGACACCGTATTCACTTGGATCACAGCACCGCGATCTCACGATACCGGTGGCTGGACTATATACGACCCTGCAACTAATCTCGCTCAACCGAATCAGGACTGGAATTTCATGCAAGAGTTCCGCCAAGGACAGAACGAGGAGCAGATCCAGAGATGGATCGACATGATGGAGGACAAGGCACTTGTCGACGTCAGCCGCGCACCAAATCTCGACGATCTCTCTGTCGTGGACGGTTTCACCTACACCTTCGCCAGTCCCCCCAAAGATGCCAAAGCAGGCGTTGAATACAAGACCATGGGAGATATCGTGCCACACTACTGGGTACGAGATCACTTCTACGGCAGGGTGCCCTTGACGACCTTTTTCGATCAGATCATCAAGGCCGATGCGCCACTCCCCGTTGACGAGGAGGACCATCTCGACTTGCGACCATGGTGGGAGAGGTTAGTAAGCGGCGGTAGCTTCCTCCATCCCCTCGCCGCACCCGAGATTAAGGGTATAGATCCAGACGAGAGCATCAGAGAGACTTTGTCTCGTGAATGCGATTACGGTAGCCAACAGCACGCTGAGAATACCAAACGTCGCGAGCTCGTCAAACAGGGCATTAGCTTGGAAAGGGCGATGCGTCGCGCCAAAGCCTGCGAAAAGAGGCAGGTGGCGCAGTATGCAGACTGTGTCTGGGAGCCTGAATTTCTCAAGCCGATCAGGGATAGAAAGCTTGCTGGAATTTACCTGCGACATGCAGTTTCCGACGACATGGAAGCCGTATGCAATATCCTCAATTATTACGTGGAACACACTACGTCTGTTTCAGAGACAGAGCGCCCCACAGTCATGGAACTCCGCGAACAGTTCAAGAAAATCACGCAGCAGAGCAAGCTGCCATTCCTAGTGGCGTGCGAAAAGGGTGCTCTGCTCAGAGCGAAATACAGCAGGAATGGGGATCTCCTTCTCGACCCACGCCAACTCCCTGACACCATTGTTGGCTTCGGCCGTGCGGTCGATTACGGCAATGGTGATGAAATGTATCGCTCCACTGCGGTACTCGAGATCTTCATTCGGCAAACTCACGTCTTGAGGAGAATCGGGACATGCATCATGGACAAGATGCTGGGCCTGCTCGATCCCGATCATATCGAGCGTGGCGGGTACGAGGTTGGCGACGACAACCTAGAGGGTGCCAGGCCAGTACGCAACATCAAGAACATCGTAGTTGACTACCTCTACTCGACCGACAGGCCCGAGAGACTTGAGTCTATGCGCAGGCGGCTGGTCCAAGGCTACCAATTCGAGGAAGTGGGCAAGCTTCGCGACATTGGCAGGAAACTCGACAGATCGGTCAGCAAGGCGGTCTTCATGCGTACGACTGGTGCGGTACTCGATCATACCGACCCTCCGGAAGTTATATATTCCGCGTGGCCGTGAGAGATCATCGCGCCTGGGAGAGACGGACAGACTGCGATTGACCCTGGTTCACGATAGATATCACGACGACCCTGAGAGAGACGACGCGCAAGATTTTCCTACTGTTTAGAAGAGCGAGGCAGGGTGACGGGACGGCAAGGCAACAAGACAGCAAGACAGACAGCAAGGCAACAAGACAGCAAGGATGAAACGTCTGAGGCGTTGAGCGTTGAGGAGTTTTTACTTGTTTACTTTTTACGCTTTTCTCTTTTCTTTTTTCTTCTACTGTTACTTTTTTTTTGGATTGTTTTCTGATTTGTTAATTTTTGTTCTTCAGGGTTGGCTTTACCGCAGTGAGCCTCACGATATCTACGGCGTTTGCGTTGCACTTTCAACAAAATTAAAAAAAGAAAAAAAAAAGAGGGTACCTGTCACCTACATAGCCTGCCTGCTTCAATAGCTCGACGTACTGCAAAGGGTCTCAGAATACAATTGCTGCATCTCATATAATCTTTTCTGCCTTGTCTGGTCTCCTACACCCTACTTATCATCCGCAACCACTACCAATGGCGTCCATCTCACTCAATCACTCTAGGTAAGTCTAAGCGTCCCGAAGTGCCGCTCTCGCATTCTCCCGCTCCAAATTCTCCGCCACCTCATCCACCCACGTCCATCTTTTTTCCTTCGTCATCTTCTCCTCCCTCTTTGTCTTTGTCTGGAAAGAAGAGGAAGCATCATCATCCCTCCTCCGCTTCTGCACATCCGCCATCCGACTCACGCCCGTGGCCTCTCTGAGGGGAACTCTCAAGCGCATTCGCACAAAGCGGCGCAGAGCCTCCAATTCTGTAAAGCACATATAACTGTCTGAATTTGCAATCCATGACAAATTCGAGAGATCGTCTCCGGCCGTGTTGGTTTCGTCGTCGGAGCCGATGGAAATGTAGGGCATGGCGACGTTGCAGCGTTTTTGGGTGAGGAGACATTCGTAGCCTGGGATGGGTTGGAAGGAGAGGACGGAGCCGGCACTGTTTTGGTTTTTTTTATCAGTAATTGATTTATTCATTGATTGATTAATTAATGAATTGATTGGAGTGAATTCAAAGATTGAGTATCTTGGAGAACTCTGTGTCTGTTGGGGCTTGGGAAACACAATAATTGGACAAAAAATAGGTATCTAACGTACTATCCATTCAGAGAAATGCAAGTGTTGATGGGCCAGGTGGAATTGACACATTCTCCTTTGAATTGAGGTTCGGTGCAGAGCTCGACGGTGGCGTTTGGTGCGGGAGAGGAGGAGTTGAGAGCGGCCCGGGTGAAGATACTGCTTTCATCGTCGAGTGATATTGGCTTCGGGGCCGCGAGGGTGTCGGATTTGGCGGATGGGTGGGCTGTAGTGGAGGTGATGGCTGAGGAGGAGGAGAGAGCGAGGAGGAGATGCAGGAAGTGGTGCATCATTGTGGTGGCCTCCTCGTTGAAGTGGTTGTGTGGGCGATGCTTGAGTGAGGTACAGACAGGTCAGGTAGGTAGGTATTGATGCTTCTGGGTTTCGAATGCGGTCGAAATCCGATGCTGATGGGAGAGATGTCGTTGTTTCAGGATCGGGTGTTTACCTACATAATCCCCCATATGCGAGATTCCTTGGTACCGAGGACGCGGTAGGAGACGTTGCAAGGGGGAACAAGGAATGGACTGACTTGACCTGCAACTTCCCGCAGTTGCAGGTCAGACTAGACACATGAGCTCCCGTGGTTTGCTCGCGATTCTCGTTACACTCTTCCGGCGGGTAACCGGCCTGTCTTTCCGATGTCTGAAAAAAGAATGATGAACACTGTGTACCGCAAACTCAGACCAATATGTACCTAAGGTATACTGCAGTGTGGCCTCCCCATTCGGTATGGATGCAGCCGAAAGACACTCTAGCAATCGTGGGATGATTGTTCATGTCCATGTGAAGCTTTCGACTGTGAGACGATGCACTATAGCAGTATCTATCGGGATGAGATGTGAACTCACTGGTGGACGTAGAAATGGTGACGATGCGTGCGTTCGTTCTCCTGAGATATATCTGCCTTGCGAGTCAATCTTGCTTGCGCCAATCGAGAGGCTTATTCATTCGGTCCTCATGGAGAGGACTGATATGGGGAGAGAAATATCTCGGCGAAGGGTGGGTGTGCTCAAACGTTCCTGGCGCTTCGTGCCATGGCTGTCGAAGGGAAGTACTCGTATATCTTGTCTCGTGGTGCCTGAGGTACTATCGCTCGAGGACTCCACATCTCTTGCTTGTATTCTTCTTCTGTCGAGATTGGTGGCCACAGCTGATGATGCTCCTGACAGCACCACGGCCTGGATCTTGGATGGCACAGTGACGAGGCGTGTAGCCTCGATCTGCTTAGTCCAGCAAACACATCGTGTCCCTCTCACAGCTTCTCTTGCCGCCTCTTGATATCCGCCATTTCCTGTAGCACTGCTCCCTTCCAACTGCTTTCAATACCTTCCACACTCTTCTCCTTCTCAGGCTGTATTCTCACCATACCGTCCTGGGTGACAGTCATGACATGTTTCCCCTTGGAATTCCACACTCGACTGTAAAACAGCCCTCTTCCCGCCACATATCTCGTCACCGCATCCTCCTTCACAAACCACTCCGCACTCTCATCATCATCATCATCTCCCCGATCCTTTGCGAATTTCAGATCCTCTACACCCGTATGGAATATCACCTGATGCACCAGACTGCCCATCACAGAATAATCCTCACCCAGTCCCACAGCATTCGCCACATGAAAGAGACTATTCCGATCACTCGCGTACAAGTGCGCCACTAGATGGAGATTCCCATTCTCATCATCATCGGGTAAATCGCCAATCGTCCGATAAAACACCAACTGCCTCTTATCCAGCGGATGTCTCCCCTCATTATACCTCGTCAAATCCGCCTGTCTCGTCCACAGTCCCGGAAAGACATCGTTTTCTTTCTTCTGCTCCTTCGTCTCCCGCCAGTACCACGGCACATCATACCCCGGAGCTTCCGGAAAACCTCTTACTCGAGTACTCCGACCCAGTTTGTATTTCTCCCAAATGTCAATGGGAGCTTGCACGTCCAGACTCTCGGCCTCTGCGAGTTTGAAGGAGCAAATACATGTAAACATGTACCCTTTGCCTTGCCGTTGCGAGACATTGACGATGCGTGTGCAGGATGTGCGGCCGTCGCGGATGCGTACGACGTGATAGGTGTACTTGATGGTGGGAATTCCCGGGGCGAGGAAGTTTCCAGAGACGTTCTGTTTTCAAATCATCGTCAGTACGAAGATGGCATGGTATTTCCCTTGTTTCGCAAATACACGCTCCAAGAAAGAAACAGGAAAAAAGTCCAAAAACAAGAAAACAATGCAGCTAAATCAAAACAGAAAATACCAACGACAAAACACCTCAAACCCAAAATACAACCACAACCACCCCCCCCCCCCCCCCCACCCA